CTGTGAAAATTAATCAAGAGATTCAGATAAGAGTCGTAAGGTTATAATCCAGGCCTGATGCGTGTTCGGCTGATTTAGAAAGTATTCAGGTCGAGTTATAGTTGAAGGATCTGGAGTATTTTTGTCCTGTGTACAGGGTATCTAATAGTTGAGCATTCTCTGCTCCACTTTCATTATTATTTTGTTTTTGCTATAAACAATATAACCTTCATTTTGCATGTTTGTTTTAGTTCTTCTGCGTTGGCAGCTGTTGTTGTTGGTGTTCTTGTGCCGCTGCGTTGGCGTAGGCGTTGGTTGTCATGGTTGCCACACACTCACACACACACGCACACACTCACACACACATGCACACGCACACTCACTGGTGTAGCTGTTGTTGTTGTTATGTTACCTGTTAATGCATACGTCATGTGGTAGGAGCGCAGAGCTCGAAGTCAGCAATCCATAACGGGGTTGGCTGCTGGCAGCGACGTCAACGTCAACGTTGGCGTCAACAGCAACACACACACACACACACACTCATAGGCGCAGCTGTCAGCACGATCGCAATTTCAATTCCAATTCCAAATTTTTGAATTTTTATTAAGCTTTGCTTTGGTTTCGGAACGCCAACGCCGGTTCGCGTTTTTCTTGTGCCGATTCCATTTCGTTTCCAGCGCGTGTTTTGTTTTTTGCTTTTCTATTCTCGCCACCTGACGCTGACTGCGCTGCCAGCTACAACGGCGTCGGCCGTAAACACCTGGCCAGAGCAACACTTTAAGCGTTTTAACTTGGCCCGATCGCGTTTAGTCGTTGTCGAGTCGCCGCACACATTTGTTGTTAGTGCCCCCCGTCGCATGTAGCTTTTATGTATATATATATATATATATTTGGATAGATACAGCTGTGAATGTATCTATAAGTCGTACTATATCTATGTCCATCTGAGCGTAGAGCCCAGGCGGTAGAACTCTGAACTATATTTGTCGCGTGCGTTGTTAAACGTTGCGTTGACGTATTTAAATAAATAACATCAATTACAAATTAAAAGGAAAATTCGCGCATCTGTTTACGAAGGGTCCTAAAAAAGAAAACAATAAAAATATATTTAAAAAAATATAAATAAGAATTTACATAACAAAAAATCGAGTAAAAAAATAAATTTAAAATTATATATATATATAAATAACGGAAACAGATGCAAAATAAAACAAATGTATTAATATTTAATACAAAACAAACAATTGCATACAATAAATATTATTTGCATAAATATTTCTAATAATCCAAAATCCACAAAAAATTAAATTAAAAAAAAAATAACAAAAAAAAAAAAAGCAAATGAATTTAAATATATATATAAATGGGAAACAAGTAAATTAAACGTTTTAAAATAATAAATGCACAAATTAAAAAAAAAAGTACATAAATAACGCCAAACATATTTAAAACAAATCAAAACCAATTTATATATACATATTAAAATTTATGTGCAAGACGGAACCCAACAAAAAAACAAAATATACAAATACATAAAAAAAAACTGAAAAACATGCAAAAACATAAACAGCAACAATAAATAAATAAACTCTTTTTGCATGATGTCACACAACGCGCCGAGCTTCAATTTCAATTTTGGATTTATATCTTGCCTGCAGCAGCATCAGCCGCAACTCGTTACCCCCCTCCGCACACACTGCTCCCCCCCTCCCGCACCGCTTAAGTTGTTAATGCGCCTGTAGTATCGTTATTTTTGATTTATTAAATGCCGCCCATATCAATTGATTTCAATCTGAATGCAATTGAATTCAATTTTCTTTCAATTAAGTTTTTTTATATGACGAGTTCATTTTGAAGCGGATCTCAAGTGTGTGTGTGTTGTAGACGAAGTGTGTGTGCGTGTGTTGTAGACGAAGTATGTGTGCGTGTGTTGTTTGGCCAACAACTGTAATAAAGTGTTGCTGTAATAGCCGTAAATATAATGACGTGCTCAGACATCTGAATTTCCCTCTTTCATACTTAGCTTGTACGCTTCAGAGTTCTGGTTCAGCGCGCTCTCGAAAAAAAGATTTATAGAATTTTTTTTTTGCCAATGACATATTTTTAGCATTTCGTTTTGTGTTTTAAAAGCATTTCTTATTGCCTTTTTATGTTTGTTCAATTCGAATTTATGTGCTGTCATTGCGCGCACAAAAACAATGCAAATTCGGCAATAATATTGTCCGGCCAGCTCTTAACTGTCGTCAACTTCAAACAGTAGCCAGCAGCCCAAATAGGCAAGAGCTGGTTGTAGAGAGAACAGCTGCTGCTGCTGCTGCTGCTGCTGCGGCTCCATTCAAAATGTCAAGCTATTAACGCCTCTTAGTGTCGCCTCCGCAGACACTTAAAGCCAAAAACAAAACAAAAATACTTTTAAGTCAAGCTTAAACATTTATTCAACTGTGTTGCAGCTTTTTTGTTTTTGTTTTTAATAATGTTGCAATTAGCATTTTTTGTGCTACGTGTGCTTGTTGTCTGTGCTATGTGTGGGGAGGTGCTGGTGACCGCCATGTCACGCATTTGCGCAGGCGTCACCTTTCAATGATACGTTACGCTTTAGCCAGGTGGGCGCGCATTTTGGCCAAACCACTTGGCGTTGTTGTTGTTGCTGTTGCTGTTGCCTGATCATGAGCTATAAAGATTAGATTTTAGGTTTTATTAGTGAAATTCATGCTGTCTCTTGATATCATATCAAACGGCCTTGCTTATCACGCCTTCAAACAAAAAACTGTCCAGTTAATTGACACAAAATCTCATGTCACATATTTGATAGACATTTCTGAAATGAACAAACGAAATTTCTATTCACAATTTGAACAATCGCCATAAGCGAAGAGTTTGTGAAACGGCATATGCCCTGTTTCATTCCATAATGTTCCTTCGCCAAAAAAAAAGAGGAAAAAAAGTAAATTAGCTGGTTTCACAATTAGCTTTGTTGTTGTCGTGGTTTGTGCCCCGCGGCTTTGTTTGGCCGTGCACATGAACTTTTAGTTATGGTTGTTTTTTGTGCCCATAAATAAATGGAAAAACATAAATAAATAAGTTTAACTTAGCGTAACGAAAAGCATATGCGCTATCTCTATTGATACCTAGTTATATAAGTGTATACACTTTTAGTTTACATTTATCTATCTAATCTCTTTATATGAAATCATTTAAAAATAATATTTTCATAGAGTTCAAAATGAGAATTTTTATTAGTTGGATAGATACATATGAATGTAACTAGACTGAATAGATGTAGCCCTTTATCCTTGTCCCATTTATTGATATTGCTAAAATATTGCGTATTTTCTAAAACTTGGACTAGATATTTTGTTAAATCTACATGTTTTATATAAAATGTCAAGTACCCTTTGTTAGAGCATAGAAAAGAATCCCAAAGACAGTTAGACAATTGGACAGGCCCAGTCTCTAGATGGTTCGTTGGATAATTATGTGTACGTACAAGACATAAATAATTCGCTCATCACCAGCAACAAGAACAACCAGCACCACAGTGGGGCAAAGTCCCCACTCTGTGGGTGCCTCTTGGCTGGCTCTTCGCAGTGGCAACAGCAGCAAAGAACAAGACATCCGGTGCCGGTGCCGGTGCCGCTGGTTTTGGCCGGCTTTTGACTTAATTAAACGCAAATTGCGGTGCCGGCAACTCAATTGTCTGTGAGCACGAAAAGTGCGGTGGTGCGGGCGGAGTTGGTGGTTTAAACAATTAAAATGATTTTGTTTGAAATCACGCACAAAAATAGCAACAATTACGAATCAAGCGCTGAGAGAGAGAAAGACACAAAAAAACGAAAACGAAACGAAATCAAATCAATAAACAAGTGAAAAACGAAACGATAAATCAACGTTAACAATAACGATAACGATAACAGGCTGGAGTCGAAACCGAAACCATGCACTCCAGCTCCAGCTCGCAGTCGACTCTGAAGCGCACTCAGCAGCTGGTGCGGCAAACGAATGGCGGTCAGCCCTATGTCAGCAGTGGCAGCGAGGTGGTGCACACCACCCGTGGACCGCCCATAACGACCAACATTGATGACTCTAGTCTGCGCTACCGCCATGAAACGAAACGGGAACGCACCGTTGAGGCTGTCATCACCGATTATCCGGGCGTGGCGCCGCTTGGAACTGTGCCACACGAGCGCACCAACTTTGAGCGCACGGTGACGTTTCAGGATGCGGTGGGTGCTGGCGCTGGTGCCGGCGGCGGCAGCATCGTTAGGCGCACATCGGATAGCAGTCGCGCTCTGGTGCCCTCGAGTGGTGCTGTTAACAGCAGCAGCTATCAGCAGGTGACGCGCAACAAGCGCATCTCCACGGAGGTGCTCGGCTCGAGCGTGGAGAGCACCAAGACGTCGCAGCGTGCGCCCAACGGACATCGTCGTGTGACCACGCACATTGTGCGCAAGGTTACCACGTTGAGTCGCGCTGAGGAGAATCAACAGCCCGCGGAGGATCTGCTGCCGCCCGCCAAGATGATACGCAGCTCTGAGCTGGAGTATCGACGCGCTCTGCCACCGGCCATTGAGTCGAGTGTACAGCGCAGAGAGGTAAAACAGGAAGAGAATTGGCAATGGGAGTTTTTAGGAAGCCTTCAAAGGAGAAGTTTATCTATTGGGAATTCTTTTTTTTTTGCGGTCGAACTTCTGCAGAAAGTTTTGCTTTCTTTTATGTAGCTAAGGGCAATAGAAGGTCATTCATTTTAATCGAGAATATAATCCAAGTCTGGACGCAAATAGTTGTCGTTGACTTCATTCTCCTCTGTGTGAAGGAAAAGATAATCGTAGTCCACTTTTCAGATCTCAGATACAAAAAAATATCTTCCAATATCGATAGTATTTTACTCCCGCAAAAATTTAAGGGTTAAATCCTGCTTTGTAGAAGAGCTCCAAGCAAAAACTTGCTCAATTTACGATCAATCTAATCAATATATTTGTGAATCTATATATCTTGACAATAACTTATCGCTCTCATTCCAGATCTCCGATATTGTTGTAGGCAAAGAGGACAACGTATCCGCACGCGAGGCCCTGCTGCGCTGGGCGCGCCGCTCGACGGCTCGGTATCCGGGCGTGCGTGTCAATGATTTTACATCATCGTGGCGCGATGGTTTGGCCTTCTCGGCGTTGGTGCACCGCAACCGACCGGACTTGCTTGACTGGCGAAAGGCAAGGAACGATCGGCCGCGCGAACGTCTCGAGTCGGCGTTCCATATTGTGGAGAAGGAATATGGTGTTACGCGTCTATTGGACCCAGAGGGTAAGCCGGAATTTCGATTTAAAAATGTTCAAAATTGTAATAAACTCTGTCCCAATTGTTTCCCTCAGATGTGGACACTAATGAACCAGATGAGAAATCCCTGATTACGTACATTTCATCGCTGTACGATGTATTCCCGGAGCCGCCCTCCATTCACCCGTTGTTCGACATGGAGTCACAACGTCGCGTGCACGAGTATCGCGATTTGGCACAACAATTCATCTATTGGTGCCGCGAGAAGACCGCCTATTTGCAGGAACGCTCGTTTCCGCCCACGCTGATCGAGATGAAGCGTCTGCTGAGCGATCTGCAGCGTTTCCGCAGCGAGGAGGTCAGCGCTCGCAAGCGTGAAAAGTCCAAGCTCATACAGATTTACAAGGAGCTGGAACGTTACTTTGAAACGGTAGGCGAAGTGGATGTGGAAGCTGATCTTCGTCCAGATGCCATTGAGAAGGCATGGTATCGCATGAATACAGCACTACAGGATCGTGAGGTTATACTACAGCAGGAAATCGAACGCTTGGAGCGTCTGCAGCGTCTGGCCGACAAGGTGCAGCGCGAGATAAAGCATGTGGATCACAAGCTCACGGATCTGGAGACACGCATCAGTGAGGAGGGCAGACGCATTGAGCGTTTGCATCCTGTGGATGCCAAGAGCATTGTTGAGGCGCTCGAAACGGAAATCAGGCATCTGGAGGAGCCCATTCAGGACATGAACCAGGATTGTCATGTGCTCAACGAGGGTCGCTATCCCCATGCCAGCGAACTGCACAAGAAGGTCAACAAATTGCATCAACGCTGGGCTCAATTGCGCACCAATTTCCATACGAATCTGGTACAGAAACTGTCCGGCTTAAAGTTTCCCGTCCATGAGACGACCGTGACGCGTCAAACGCGCATGGTGGTCGAATCCCGACAGATCGATACGAATCCACATTTCCGTGATCTGCAGGAGCACATTGAGTGGTGCCAGAATAAATTGGTGAGTCTAAAAGAACAAAAAGATCTGTGGTTCGATTCTATAATTCCACTCTTTTGTAGAAACAATTGCTTGCCGCTGACTATGGCAGTGATCTGCCATCGGTCAAGGAGGAACTGGATCGTCAACAGCACGAGCACAAGATCATTGATCAGTTCCACACCAAAATACAGAACGATGAACGCCAACAGACCAAGTTCTCGGGCGATGAATTGAACCTCTATCAGCAGCGTCTCAATCAGCTGCAAAAGGTCTATGCTGAGCTGCTTAGCACGTCGACGAAGCGTCTATCCGATTTGGATTCACTGCAGCATTTCCTTGGACAGGCCTCAGCCGAGCTGCAATGGCTCAACGAGAAGGAGCAGGTGGAGATCACGCGCGACTGGGCGGACAAACAACTCGATTTGCCTTCTGTGCACAGATACTATGAGGTAAGTTCCCCAGTTTAAGTCTAGATAAATGTTGAGCTAGATGGAAATTAATGAGAGATTATTGTCCGTTTGGTTTTCATGCCAACTAATCTGTCATACTTATTAATTCTAAACCTACTATACGTAGTATGTGCTCTGTCTGCAAGGGCATTAATTATTCGGCTAGCCGAAGTTAGTTGTTCTTTGCTGTTTTTATATGTGTTGTGCTTTATCTAATTCCAAGCGTGCATTTGGTAATGGCGACGAGGTAAGATCGGTTCTAAATTCCCTCGGGAATATTTTCAAATTAAAAGCATCCAACCAAGTGCACTCCGTTAATGCCAAAAACAATTGCCTTACTAATCTTGGCTATTTTCCTCTCTTCACAGAACTTAATGTCCGAACTGGAGAAGCGTGAGATGCACTTTGCGACGATCTTGGATCGTGGCGAGGCTTTGCTAAATCAACAGCATCCGGCATCCAAGTGCATTGAGGCCCATTTGACGGCACTGCAACAGCAGTGGGCGTGGCTGCTGCAGCTAACCCTCTGTCTGGAGGTGCATCTGAAGCATGCGACCGAATACCATCAATTCTTTGCCGAGATCAAGGATGCCGAACAGTGGCTAAGCAAACGCGATGAGATACTTAACAGCAAGTACTCACAATCCGATTTCGGTTTGGATCAGGGCGAGGCGCTGTTGCGCGGCATGCAGGATCTGCGCGAGGAGCTAAACGCATTTGGCGAGACGGTGGCTACGCTGCAGCGTCGTGCCCAAACGATTGTGCCGCTGAACAAGAGACGTCAGCCGGTTAACCGACAAGGTCCGGTTCAAGCGATCTGCGCCTATAAGCAACAGGGTCAGCTGCATATTGAGAAAGGCGAAACGGTCACATTGCTCGACAATTCGGGCCGCGTAAAGTGGCGCGTTCGCACCGCCAAGGGTCAGGAGGGTTCCATACCCGGCGCCTGCCTGCTGCTGCCGCCACCAGATCAGGAGGCGATCGATGCGGCGGAACGTTTAAAACGTCTTTTCGATCGCTCCGTTGCGCTGTGGCAGAAGAAGCATTTGCGTCTGCGTCAGAACATGATCTTTGCCACAATACGTGTGGTCAAGGGCTGGGATTTCGATCAGTTCCTGGCCATGGGACCCGAACAGCGAACGGCCATACGGCGTGCCCTGAACGATGATGCGGACAAGCTGCTCAGCGAGGGAGATCCCAATGATCCGCAACTGCGACGCTTGCGACGTGAAATGGACGAGGTCAATCGCTTGTTCGATGAGTTTGAGAAGCGCGCCCGAGCTGAAGGTGAGTGTGGGGGCGTATGAAATGGGCGTGGGGCTCAGGCGTGGGCATTAGCTGAAAGTCGCCTTTCAATTGGCGGCGCTTGGCCAGCTGTCAACATTTGACTCCGGCGTCCAATTAAGCGCGTAATTGAATTGAATTTAATGTGCGCTTGATTTGAACTGACCGCCTCGACCAGGAAGCCCAACTTAGTCTCAAGTCACAAATCAAACGTAACGCAACATGAAAAAATTATTCGCGAGCGCCAAACTGCGCGGTAATCTTCACCAGAAGCAAAACTAATTCCGCATCTTAACCTTTGAATCTTTTGCAGAGGAAAGTAAACAGGCGAGTCGCATTTTTACCGAGGAATGCATTGCCATCAAGAGCAAACTGGAGGATATGGCACGTGAACTGGATCAGATTATATTGGCGCCGTTGCCGCGTGATCTGGATTCGCTGGAGCATGTGCTTGAAATACATGCAGACTACGAACGCCGGCTGCACCTGCTGGAGCCCGAGCTGAAGCATTTGCAGGAGACTTTCCGCACCATTGCGCTGAAAACGCCCGTGCTAAAGAAATCACTGGACAACCTTATGGAGCTATGGAAAGAGCTGAACACACAGAGCGGACTGCACAAGGATCGCCTGAAGCTGCTCGAAGCCTCTCTAGCTGGCCTCGAGGATAACGAGCATGTCATTTCCGAGCTGGAGAATGAGCTGGCCAAGCATCAGGATTTGCCCTCGACCGCAGAGGGACTGCAGCAGGTGTTCAAGCAGTTGACGCACATGCAGGACATAATCACGCAACAGCAGCCGCAAATGGATAAAATGAATGATGCCGCCGATCAGCTGGGACGCATGGGTGTCCCGACCAAGGTGTTGGGTGATCTAAAACGCCTGCACTCGAACGTGGAGCGTCTGAATACGCGCTGGAGTGCGGTCTGCAATCAGTTGGGCGAGAGGTAAGCGCACCTGTCAGCAGCTTAGCCTGTGCAACCTATCAAATGCTTCATCAATTTTACCATATATGTCTCTATATACCCAATTCACCTGTTCACACCTGCCTTTTCCAGAATGCGTTCATGCGAGACAGCCATTGGGCTCATGAAGAATCTCCAATCGAGCGTGCAAGTCGAGGAATCATGGGTGGATGGCACCACCGAGCGTCTATCAGCCATGCCCACAGCGACTTCAGCTTACGAATTAGACGTGAGTAGCGTTCATGATATATTATTTTATTATTATTATTTTTATCATTTTTACTTATCAGTTATGATCAGTTACTTTTTAGTAAATATCTCTCTATATAGCATAAACCCAACCTTGTATATTTACCACTCAGTTTTTAGCGAGCCTATTCAGTTACCCCTTAGGGCAACCACTTCAAGCAACACAAAGTATATATAATTTCTTTACAATGTACAAACAAATTCGAATCGAAGGCGTAGTTAACTATTTTTGCTTAACCAGTGCTACGTCCCCAAACCCTCTGCCCAAAAAGTAGTTTTGCCTAAAATTTTAAATATTTTCATATTTTTGGTGGATCAAAACTTTGGTGTTGGACATGTTCTAAATGTCTGTGTGTTTTATATATACAAATATATATGTATATATTTCAATTTGTTAAATGTGCCCAAACATTATATATGCCCTGTATATTATAACTGTAACTCGTATCAGACCCTGTATATTTCGTAGTTCTTGTCTAATCAAAAATACAAAATCCCCTGTAGCAGGCTGCCTGTTGTCTGGCAGCTACACACACCCACCCACACACACACCTATGTATACTTATGTATAAAATGTATATATACACAATATTTACACAAACTTTGTGACGTCCCCCCACAAACAATCCACACACCCATTCGTATATCCCAACCCGTGTGTTTCCAGTACATTTTTGAAAATATTTTATTATTATAAATGTTATATTTTTGTAGCTTTGTTTTCTAGTTACCTAAGCTGTGCACCTCTATGAATATCATCTATATCGAATTATACATCATCATTATTGTAGTCTTATTTGTATTTGTAGTTGAAAACTAATTGTATATGTATTTTTGTCTAATTTCTTGTATTTTCACCCAAATATCAAAAAACAATATCAATATCACACTCTATAAAAAAAAAACACGAACACTATGAAACAACAAAAACTCAATCAATCAATTTTTTAAAAAATACCAAAAAAAAAAAAAAATCAAATTTGCTACCAAATCCCCCTCGCAAAAAAAAATATATATAAAAATATATAGAAACTGCTTGGAGCTGCTATCGAACGAAAACCAAAAATCGAAAATGTCAACGTGGCTGGAGGACGACTCATTCGCGAAGCTAAGGTAAAAATTTGTATGACTGTCATTTGTATGACTGAATTCTCTATACAGACAATGGGCATGGGGCATTATCTAGGCGGAAAAATACTGAAAATGTATTTGTAAAAGATGCGAGTTTGAACCAAAGAACTTTTATAGACGTTCAATAAAAGTCCAAGCAAAGGCATGAACTAACGAAAGTTTCAAACCAAAAGTACTCTATATGCATGTATGCCAGATAATGCATACGAGAAGTAAGTTGCTATAGCAATTTCAGATATTAGTCCGCGAAACCCCGACTAGTGTATGGGTGTTGGCTGTGGATCTAACTTTGATCAATTCTTATGCCCTTCACTGACTTGAAATATAAAACAAGAAAGATTAAGTCTTATAGCATATCTGCGCTTGAACTCCGTAAGAGTAGAAAGTCTAGGGATCGGAATTCCGTGGAGACAAAAAATTTGCTTATATGAAAAAAACCTATATATTCAATTTGATTTCCCTTCTTCATTTCTAGTAGCTTGAGAGACCTTATATTATAGATTATATTGAAATGTAATCCTTGAAATATTATTTTTCACTAAAGTTCTCTACTTCCGTATGACTGAAAACTACCAAAAAGTATTTACTGTATTCCCTTATGAAAGGATCTCAATATTCTCAGTGGTCTAAAGAGTATATGCTAACAACGAAATATATCTTTGGGATCAGCCCCATGCCTATCGTCAGCTCCCCAACTTCTGTATGACTGTGCGTGTGATTCTGATAATTATTTCGAACCTCTATATCTCAATATTCTATTTGTTGAGCTATACACACTCTACCTATAGCTGTCTTCTCTACCCTACACACAATTTCTTCTATTGTCTATGCTATTTTCGTCTTTTATACCAAACTTTCAATATTTAATGCTTTTTACAACAATTTGTGGTTAAAATTAAAATTTTCGACGCTTCATTTGTGAAGCGCAAGATTGCGAGTAGTTAAAAACTGCGGGTACAAGGTGCGTCAATAACACTTGGGTTACAACTACAACAACAACAACAACAAAAGTATTGACCAACACAACAACAACAACAAACAAACAAACAAACCAAACTCACACAACAAACAATTAAAAAGCAATTGTAATCAACGTAATTTCGTATTGATTAATCAATGAAATAAAAAGCACTAAATATATACCTAGAAAAAAAACAAACCAACAAACAATATTTACCCCCATGTAAACCCCTCTTAAAACCACAAAAATACCCCCCACAAAAAAACAACTTTTGTTTAACACGAGCAAATTACTAACATTTAACCAAAAATTAACCCGAATGCTGCGGACAACGACAACAACATCACGTTCAACATTTGTGACGTCATCATTGTGGCTGGCTTAGATTTACGATAGTAAATGCCTGCGTTTCGTCGATTGGCTGCTCGAGGCACGTCCCTCGTTCTCGCCGCCACGTCGCGATCTGCGTCCGGCGGATAGCGATCCGGGTGCCACACAGTATTACAGCCAGCGTTTGGATAATCTAAATACGAAATACGACAGATTGCTGGAACAATTGTCGCAGAGGCTAAAAACTGCAATCGAGGTGAATGGCAGCGATGGTCTGGTGAGTATCCAATTGTTCACAGGAAGAGAGAGAGAGAGACAGGGAGAGGGCGATAGAGATGTACAACTCCTGATGCCACTTGCTAAATTTAGATACAAGCGTCAATTGCTTAACAATGAGTCAAAAAGTATCTATAATTATAGGCAAAAAGTCATAATACCCGAACTCTAGCAGCGTTTCAAACAGTTGCTCAGCAGTTAAATATTTTTGTGTCTACAGCAGCTTAACAGTTTCGAAAAGTATACATATTTGTTTTAAGCTAGCGGAACAGTTTCTCAGATTCAAAATATATCCGTAAATAATATCACATTTATGTACAGCAGTTTCTCAGTTTCAATAAGTATCTGTATCTAAGGCTTGTATCCCAGATCTAAACAGCAACAGTTTTTCTCGAATTGAAAATCTGTATTGTATCTGTATCTACATTATCTACAGCAACAGCTTTTCAGTTTGAAAAGTATCTCTATCTGATATCATATTTATCTGCAGTATCCCAGCTCAAGTTCAAGTTCAGCAACTCTGAAAACTACTTCAAAAGCTTTCGTTTTCAATGAGCACTCTCTGAGTTCTAGCGCACTTTGTATCTGTATCTTTGTATCTTTGTCAGCCTCATGCACTGTTATTATTAAATTAACCTTCAAAATATACACACTCACACACGCACACGTTAAATAATGACATCAGAGCGCAATTCTGATGCGTTGGCAGCGCTTTTGATATGTTGCCTCATAAATCACCACTTGATTAATTTATAAAAATGTTAAACTATATTTTTTTTGTTCTTATAACAAATGGTATTTATTTTTGTGCTGTTATATCTCTCTGCTCGTGACAATCGTTTGTCTAATGTGCAAATTGCATTTATAAGATATACGGGTTTGTCTATCTTAAGCTTTGGCTCCATACATCATACATATATTTAAATCTTGCCTTTTTTTGGCCAATTAGGCAAATGAAGTCAACTTTGCAATTAAGAATTCTGTCCATAACATGATGTCAATACGCATATATTATAAACATATTTCGCATATTTGTCGGATACCTAATCTTGAGTTCTAGGAAATTCAATGCCAAACAACGTCATCAACAGTCCATTGTTGACTTTTTGTCGCTATAATTTTTTTCAACTGTCAACTCTTTAGATTTTATTTCTTTTATATTTTTAAGACTGTTTTTGGCAACTGGTTTTATTTTTAATTTTGTTTATGCGTTGCGTCAAGAAATTCAATTAAAACAATTCGTTTAACGAAAGAGCCAAAAAAAAAAATAAAAGTGAAATAAAACTCAACTCGTTTTGGCTTTTTTATACTCAAATATTGCCCGTGTTTACAGAACTGTATAAATATTTAGTTTATAATTAACATATAACGAGTGGGAATAGAGAAAGGATTGTTTCTACTGTTGTAAAAGGCAGCTGTTGGGTCAGTAAACCTTGAAGTGGCCCTCTCCATCAATATTTGGTGTCATCAGTTCGCACATCTGTTCAGATATTTGAATTGCTTTGCGGCCCTTAACAAAATTAGCACAATTTAGCTAGAGGATCTATACTCTATATGTATATATTTCGAATCATATCTTATAGGTGTTGCTCTTGGCTGAGTGACATCATGAAGTGCTACTACATAAATGTATGTATATTAGACAACTTCATTGCCAGCATTGGGGTTTATATCTAAGGCTTAACTTGATATGCATAACATGGGCGGCCAAGCTTCGCATTAAGTGGAGTGAATGAGCATATTGCTATTTAGAAGGTTAGCTTCAGCATTAGACTACAGCAAACTGGTTTTCTTCGTATTATTTGTCTACCCTGTAGATGAAACGTAAAACTGGGCATTATAAGACGGCGCCACTGGGGATGGGATTTATCTAAATTCTAAACATTTCGCAATCATAAAGATTTTAATGAGCCTTACGTAGATCAGTTACGAGTTGAGAATACTGTGCTTTATCAAACGTTAAAAAAATAAAATTTTAATTTGCGGTAAACATATTTAACTATCTAAATATGTATATTATTATTTTGTATATGCCATAAATATAATTGTGTATAAACTTTACAATTTGGCAGACATTCTACCCGAACCCAATCTTGTTTATAGTTCATATCTGCCTACAGGGTATTTTCTATTTGATCCCTCTCAACGTCGGCATTCATTCATGTTTCTTTTTTTTTTTTTACTTTGTTTTTTTGTTTACCAAAAATCGAAAACAACCCAATCTCCAGTTTTAACAATTTGGCAGACCCCAAAGAACAAGAACAACAACGTTCAAAAAAAAAAAAAACAATCTCCGAATCGCGCACAGTAGACAGACAACGTTGTTCGAACACGTTGTTTCCATTCTCACCTAACTTCCGTGTATTGTTTTCTGCCCAATTGTAAATGGACTGCGGATTATCATCCGCAGAAGCAACAGCTGAGCGCATTGCCGGCATTTTTCGCTAGCTGCTCAAACGTTGAGCTCTCTGAAAAAGCTCGCTTAGCCTCGCATTGGGTCGAAAGCTCACGCTCTCTCGCGTGCAGTGTACGGACTACGGCTGACAAATTCCGCTGCTTCAGTTCAGTACCAAATGCGACGTGGTTGTATAACGACATAAAATCTGAACGCGTGCGACGCGTTTCTTAAACAAATAAGAAGTTTTTTGTGTGTGCGTGTGTTGTGTGTTCGTGTGTGTTATGAACAAAGGCTAAAAACCTACATAAGGTTGCCCTTTAAGTGACATAAATTCATTTGAATTTAATTTTGTGCATTTATTGCAATTTTTCGAAACGTGTAAGCACATCAAAAATAAAAACAACAAAAATAATACAAAAAAAATACCCTACCCCAGAAAAATAAAAGAATATATCACGTATGGGGCCGGCGCCGTAATGCTCATACGCCGTGTTGTCACATACAAATAGAAAGTGCGACTGTAGCTGTGTGTGTGTGTCTGTGTGTGTGCCTTCAATTGAATACGAAATTCTCGTATGTGGCCCGCTTTTATTTGTTTAATAGAAATTTAAATATTTTATATGCGGTCCTACGGCCCACACGAGGCCCAAATACGTACAAAAATGAAGTCACTCGCAGATCCAAAAACAACAAAATTGGATATATAAAATAGAATAGTGAAGGCATTGCATAGAATTGGAAGTGTGAAAACGAAAATAAAAGCCGAAAAGCAAATAAAAAAAAAATATATAAATATAAAACAAGAAAATAACACATATGCAATATTCATATAGCCTTGAACATGTCGCAAGAATCCCATATGCTATTTCTTTCTTATATATATATGCGTATACTCTATATTTATTTGGGTGTTAATGAAAGCAGACAAAAAACAAGCACGTGAAAGGAAAAACAAAAACGAAATTTAAAACAAAAATTGTTTTTTATTTTTAGGAGTTTACACAACTTGAATAAGTTTGAGTCCAGAGCTAGTTAAAAAATAAAATTGCCTAAAACCATTTATAAACCAGCAGTAAAAAGTCCATTAAAAGAGTTGCGCCTAACTAGATTCATTAGACGACTATTTCGACTAGCCAACTGACCTACACACGCACACACTCTTATACACACACACGCACACACACATGCATACACACTCATCAACACCAGAAGTGACATATGACAGCGCCTATCAACGCCTGCGATCAGCTGCTGTCAGCAGCGGGCCAAGGCTCAAAACGGGGACCGCGGGCATTGCTGGGACGGACTGCAGCTAATCTAATCTAAATATATTTTAAACTGTAATTTCTCCAATAATAGCGTGCAGCCAGAGCTTAACAAATTTATATTTAATTATTCGGGTACATATATGTATATATTTGATTATTATGCTCTGTTTTGATGGGTTGTTTGTGTAGAGTATTTTTTATTCGTCTCTATTGAAACTAGAATTCTCATCTTTTAGTGCTATTAAGGTTATTTTCAAAATAATTTGTTGGGTTCTAAATACCTTCCTATAAAGATTAATAAAAATAAATTACTTACACAAATCGGTGAATATAAAGTTTTTTAAAATCAATTGCTTATATCTGTCACAGTTTTAGATTAACAGTTAAGGATCCCAGCATTATGTGTAGTCGAGTAATAGTATTAGAAGTTCCGATGAAGACTCTCTTGCAAAGATAAAGTTACAGTTTTATAATTACGGTCTAAGAGCCGACGTTTAAGATTTATTGTTTAGAAATAACCGCTTGAGAGGTCTAGTTTTTAATCACCGTTTTATATTCACAGCTTCAGAGTCACATTTTTAAGTCGAAGTTTTAAGGTCAATTCATTTGGACTTCAGGTCTTTTAACTAGGTTTCTTAACCAACTGTTAACGCCTCTTGCCAAAATTGAGAGAATATACAGCGTATCTGAGTAGTTGGGAGTTTGTTCATTATTTCATTTCCAGGCTTTTATCTTATCGTATTTGTCTTTTATGTGTTCTCTGTTTTGTTTTGTTTTGTTTTTGGTTCTTTGCTATTTGTTACCTTTTTGTTCTGCTTTCTAACATGTCATCAGGCTTTGGTTTCTGCATTTCTCATACTTGCAACGTGCTGCTATTTATCGATTTAACGAGCCAGCACAAATTTGGCCGCCGCCTCAAACGCACACAAGAACACACTCACACACACACATGTATTTTTAGTTGTAATTTATGTGTGTGTGTCTATTCTATTAACTAGAAGAAACGAAATGAAAGCGAATGCGACGCCGTGTGACGTCTCTCGAGAGTAGAATCGCCTATTTTTGTTTGAGGCGCGGCATGCATCATGCGGCATTTGGCGTGCAGCATGTTGCAGCGAAAAAGCTCGCCGGCAGCGCAAAGCTTCTTAGTCATCTGCTTGGGCTAAAAAGCGTGTCAAGCGCAAATCACATATTAACAGGAGCGCAGTGGGGGTGGCTGCAGGCCGCTCCAAAAACCCTTTGCCAGATTCAATTTCATTTAATTGTTCTCGTTAATGTGTTTCGTATTTATTGTGGGCGCACGGCAAACTTGTTTTCGATTATATTGAAATTACGGATGACATCATTATTTGTGCTCAACTCTAAATGTGTGTGTGTATGCGCGCTCTCTTAATGTGTTTGTATGTTTATTTATTTTTTTTTGCTTTTTGCATTTTTGTTAATTATAATTTATTTGTTGCTGCTACTAACTCTAGGGCGACCTTCGGCAGCCGTTTTGAATAATGAACACAGGAAAAAAAAAGAAAAAAGTGCTTGCCGCAGCGTAAATTAAGAATTTGTTGCCGAACCGATTTTAAAGTAAAGCAACTCCATTAACATATAAAGAGCGTGCTGATAAAACAAATTGCTGCAAATGCAGTTGTTGCCCAGTCTGTCAGTCAATTAGATTTTTTCTTCATTTATACCCTTACAGAGAGTATAATGCTGCACTAGTAAGAGTTGCTCAAAACTTAAGTTTTGTAATATATATTAACCAAAATTTCGCGTTCATGGGCTACGCTACGCTTCATTCCGATTCTAAAGCAACAACTGGCATAAGATCGGCATATACGACATATCTGTTGTATATATGCAAGGGTATATGCCTTGCGTTTTTTTTTCTTATTTGCTTTTTTGTGGCTGGCAGCTACATCAAAGCTTGAACTTACATATGCCATATGTTCAGATATCAGAGATAGCATTTCCCAAGCACTCCATCGTGTATCAATGCCGGCCGGTTTTGTTGTATTTGCTTTACGCAAACACAGATAAAACTTAATTATACAGTTCATGCAGATTGAAAGCGTTTCTACGAGTAATCGTCCATTTCGAAGTTGACTCACATTAAGAAATCACTTAAAGAGTTGTGAATATATCCACTGCACTCTCTTTTGTATACATACCCATATATATGTATATATATATATATATATATATATATATATATATATATATATTACCCGGCATTTTTTGCAGTGCGTATATATGTAAGTCGGTTTGTGTGTGGCCCTCAATAATAGCGTCATTTCTATTTTCATAAAGGCCTGCTTTTGCTTTCTGTGTCGCAGTGAGTGCTTGTGTATATGGCTTGGTATGGCTAGTTGATAAATATAATACTTAATGTTTTAAGAGCGCTGATTACTCAAGTGCCGGCATTCTGAATGTTTCTTTAAATTTATTTTTGGTGAATGAAAACGAATTCCACGCATAAGTTAGCAGTTTGTTTTATTTTTGGGCAGACTTAAGGGCTCCAGGTTAGGTTAAGATATCACCCTGAAGATTAGCGCTGTGTGAAAAATATATTTCAATCGTAAGCAGTAATTTCGCTTGGTTTGTCATAAATCTAAAATTAAAGTAAACATGCTTGTTTTTGAATTCGGAAATACAGAGCTCTGTTCATTCTTGTTTCCGACTTTTCACATTTTCTAATTGTTTCGCATGATTTTTAAATGCGGATTGCGATTGCCAATTAAAATGGAAGAATGCAAATATAATTTGGGAAAATATTATTAAATAAATTAAAGTAGTAATAGTTTTATAGTAAAAATCTTTTTAACGAAAATTACTTCTGCCGAAGTTCTTAGAACTATTTATAACCAAGCAATTCTCTCTAGATATATTTTTCCTATGAGATTTCTACATTTTTTATAGCTCTATAAAAACTATAGCTCTTAACTCAGGTTCTTATCGGAACACATTTATCACTGTCATAAAACATTGCAAAGTCACACACAGATACAGTCGCAGAAAAAAAATAGACAAGTTTTGAAAGCGAAAATATGTGCGTAAATTTCGTTATCTAATTTGTTGTAAATCTCGCAGTGCATTGAAGAAGCGTCAAACTTAAATCAAGTGCCTAAACCAACCAGTGCTGACTATGACTATGTCAAATTGAAAGAATCGCAAGATTTAGACATGCCTCAGCATAGATCGGGTCGCAAGGCGACCCAAACTAAAACCATAACCCAAACCACAAATGCCTATGTGGCAGAGGAAAGTGACTATGACTTCGCGTTCGAGTTTCAGGTAATGCAACCAACTCTCAACCCCCCAATTTTCCACATTCTCCCCAACTCTCTTTCTCTCTCTCGTAAAGCTGAAGAAACGCAAATTTCTTTTTAACTTTTGTTTTGCTAATTATGCTTCTTTTCCCCGGGTAGCAATACGCTGAAAGTCTACAGAAACCGCTCAAAACCTTTAGAGTTGATTTCAGTGCGGGCAGCGTGCCAACTGGCGATGGTTATGCTGCACGCCCGGATGATCTGTATACCACGACATATAGCACAACACAGTAAGTAAAGTTTCTAAAGTTTTCTGTTGAGTACACTAAAAAAAAAGAAGTATATATATATAAATTAAATTAGATCATAGAAGAAAGAAACTTATATATTTTAATCTCAAATTAGTTAATTTTTTTGAGTGTAGTTATCCCATAGTTGCAAGTATATTACATATTTTTCTGTTTTCTTCAGATTCAGCTCAACGAAAACAACGAAAAGCTCCTCGAAGAGCATTTACAGCAGCGATGGCATCGATGCCGCTGGTCAGGAGTCGGGAGCTACACCACAGTCGCAAATACAATTCAACGAGATACGCAGCCTGAAGCGTATGCAACAGCTTGGAGGTAATGGCACCTCCGTGCTGGACATTGCCGGCATACGAGATCCGCGCACGGGTCGCGTTCTGACCATTGGCGAAGCCATACAGCTGCGAATACTTGACGTGCGCACCGGCGAGATGCTGGTGGGTGAGCGTCGCATAACGCTCGAACAGGCTGCTGAACAAGGCCTGATCGATGCGCAGCTGGCGCGCCAGCTTCTGCAGCCAGGCGCTGGACGAGATGCAGCCGGACGTGAGCTCTCACTGCTGGAGGTGATACAGCGCGAGATAAGCGAAGCCGAGTCCGGCTATGAGACGGCCGAGAAACGCATCAAGGTAAACAACACAGTCACAGTAGAGCAGTCGCCATTGCCAACGCAATCCCCCTTGGATGTGGCATCCCCCGAGAAACCTAGAAATATTGTCGATGCCATTTGTGCGGGCAGTGTGGATGCCAAGACGGGCCTATATCGAGTCAAGTCGGGCCAAACAATTAGCCTGGCCGAGGCGTACGAGCGTGGCTATCTGATACGCCACGAATCGGTGACAATTAAATCGAATGCGCTGTGTTTAAGCGATGCCATTGCCCATGGCTTGGTGGATAGTGCTGGCTGGATAATAGATCGCAATTCGGGTGATAAGTTCCGTTTGGATTCGGCCATTGCCAATCAGCTGATCGATGCGAGCGTGCGCGAAATCGTCGATGCCAAACGCGACGTGAAAATTACTCTGCAAGCCGCGTTGCAGTCGGGCGTGTTAAATGCTAAAACCGGTCGCTACCTGAACGAGGTGACCAAAGAGAAGCTCAGCTTCTTGGAGGCACGAAATCGTCAACTGATTGTTAAACCGTATACCCTTAAAGATATATGTGATCTTAATCTGCTCGATAAACAGTCCCTGATCACAAGCCCAATGCGTCGCGAAAAACTAAGCATTATGCAGGCCATCGAGGCGGGAGTTTTGGATGGCAACCAGCTCAAGTGCATTACGAAGCGTAAGGGTGAGTTAATCACACTGCAGGAGGCAATTGCCGATGGCATTGTGCTACCAGCCGAGTGTAAATATCGTGATTTTATGACGGGCGAGTTAATAAGCATACCCGAGGCTGTGGAACGTGGCCTAATAAGTTCAGTATCACAGCGTTCCATTTTCGATATCGATGGTTTCAAGGATTTGCGTAGCAATGATTATGTCAGCTTTAATGTGGCCCTCTCGCGTGATATTTTACGTCGCAAGAGCACGGGCTTTGCCTTAGAGACAGGTCGGGATAGTCTAGTCCCACTTGAGGTGGCCGTTGGTGAGGGTCTGGTACGGCAGGAGGTTTATGAAATGTTTAGTCGAGGCATTGGCGTACATAATGCCAGCGGCAAGGAGCTAAGCGTTTTTGATCTGGTCTATCACAATCTTATTGACCCGAAGACTGGTTATTTACTCGATCCCAAGACTGGTGAGACAGTGCCTCTGGACAGCGCCATTGAGCGCAAGTTCATCACACCTGAAGGTGCTTTGCTGCTGAGCAGCCTGCTCAACATTACGTTGACCACTGAGACTGTGACTAGAACGATCAATCGTTATGTGACCATACGTGCCGGCTCTCAGGAGCCAGGTGATACAGTTTTACTGACCTTTACCGAGGCAGTGCGTCAGGGTTTCATTGACGAGGATAGACAGCTATTTAAAGATCCCAAAACGGGCAATGTTTACTCGGTGCAGCAGGCGCTCAACTATGGGCTGCTTGTACCCGACAGCAATCAAACGGTGCCGGAGCCCACAAATCGCAAAAAGACCAAGTCCACCATAACCATAGTGACAAAACAAATAATGCCCGAAGCGGAGCCTATCAAACTCAACACACAGCATACTAAATATGTAGAAAAGTCCGTGGAAATACCTATTTCCCAGGAGCTAATCAAACCGCAGCGTATTGTCTCGGAGTTTATTAATCTTGAGAAGAGCAGCTACATGGAACAGAATGTTACAGAGCGTCAAATTATGGAGCTGCCGCCGGGCGGCTGGCGCCTGAAGGACGCCATTGAACAGCGTCTATTTAATCCCGATACGGGCGTATTCCATGTCCAGGGCACAGATCGTCTGGTCAACTTTGAGGAATGCATAAACAAGCAGATTATAAACAATTTATCTGTCGCTGTTATTGAACCCAACACGGGAGATAAAATATCTGTTAAATCCGCCTTTGAGCGTGATATTCTGGACAGCTATGGCAACTATACAAACAACAGGCAGCAGGTCCTAGGTATGCGCAGCGCCATTTCCGAAGGTAAAATTCTATTGGAGACGGTACCGGCTACGCGTGGCGCCAGCCAGAAAACAATTCTACGCATAACGCGGGTAAATAACATGCCTGATGTGCTCGAGGTATCGACGCCATTGCACGATGCACCACCACGTTTCGTGGAGGTCGGCACCTGTCAACGTGAACTGGCTTCACCGGAGCCACTGCAAATAGCACCAGGTGCTATCTACGATCCGTCCACAGCGCTTGTCATTTTCACCCAAAGCGGAGAGACGGAGAACATTTTTGATGCCGCGCGTCAGGGTCTTATCGATGAGCAGCTCATTAAAATTGTGGATCCAACGACGAAGCAACAAATTTCTGTTACAGAAGCAATTGCTAGATCTATCTACGATCCACGCACGGCTACCATTCTGAATACCGAAGGGCAACCGGTGGATTTAATAACGGCTACCAAACTGGGTCTGCTTAGTGTAGTCGGTGCCCCTCTCGTAGCTGCTGAGGGTGCACTGCGCACTGTGCGTTTTGTGGTTGATCCACGAACCGGTGAGCAGATACCCGTTGAGGTGGCTTACGAACGTGGCATAGTATCACGTGATCAGCTTCAGCGCGGACGCTCTTTCGAAAACGAACCCACAATGACAACAACAACTGAGGAGAAGGTTGTGGTGCTTCAAAAGATGCGCAAGATTATACTGAAACCGCGGGATGCACTGCGCAAGTGTATACTCGATGAGGAGACCTGCAAAATACTTGAAGATACGCGCAACTTTACCAATGCCCAAGGCGAGGTCGTAAACATTAGCGAGGCTTTGAATACTGGTCTGATTGATGGACGTCGGGGCCAGGTGGCTGATCCACAGCGCAATCGTGTTCTCAATCTGCGACAGGCTGTTGAACAAAAGATCATCGATCCGGAGCAAACAAATCACATACTCATGCCTCTGGCCAAGAGTCTGTCCATTCCCAAGCTGCAGTCGCAAGGTCTAATTGATCCACAAACACAGACTATTGTCCATCCGGAGAGTGGTTATCCTTTGAGCATACACGAGGCCATTGTTTGTGAAGTACTCGATCCACATTCCAAACTGCAGAAACCCACAAAGTGCACCCTAGAGGAGGCCATCGAAAAAGGCATTATCAATCCAGATGAATCCACATTCAATTACAAAAATAAAATCTTAAACATTTCGGAAGCCATCGAGGCACATCTTTTCGATGCGAGCTATGACAAGCAAAAATTCAAAGTAGAAATACCACCCGTGGGCATGATATTCCCAGTGGCTGTAGAAAAAAGTCTCGTGGAGCCTACAAAGCGTGTTGTGCTGCATCCTATCACCAAAAAGGCTCTGCCCATTAAGCAGGCCATCGAGGATAACTTGATAATGTCCATACCCTATGCTCCCAAAGCGGATGCCATTGAGGTTGTTACTGCGCTGGAACGAGGTCTAATTGATGTGGCTGCACAAACCTATACACAACCCACGACAGGCGAGCGACTATCGTTGCGTCAGGCACTAGAGAATGGCGTGCTGGTGGTTAAACCACTTTCCGATTTTGTTATCAATCAAAAACCCATAGCCAACACCGAGATAATGGAAACGCTGAGGGCGGTGCACACAGTGACCACCAAAACCATTGAACTAATGCAGGGTTATGTACTCATCTCCAATAATGAGGTGCAGAATGTCAACACGGGTGAGGTGTGTACTCTAGAGCAAGCCAAGGAGCTAGGTATATTACGCGAGGAGGAAACAACACGCGAAACCAAAACCACAGCAGGCGAACCTGCCGAACAGGTGGCTCATAGCACGTTGCCTATCGCTAGCGATAAGACTGTGATCGTCGAAGAGCGCACACAAACCGTTGTGGTAAGCTCAGATACGAAAAAACAGGAGTTGCAAGTGGTCAGCACCACACAATCCACTAAGGAAGTTCCGGAGAACGCAGCAAAGCCCAGCAAGGAGCCTTCCAAGACTCTACAGAATGTCAAAGAGGCAGCAAAAATGGGCGCGTTGGGTGTCATTGCAGCGCCAGTACTGGCTGGTGGTGCTATTGTCAGCGGCGTTAAGAGTCTCATCAAGTCCGCCAAGTCAACCGGGGAAGATGTCAAAACCACCACGATAACAACGGCTATCAGTACCAAGGAGTCAACGTCGCAACCAGAAAAACCTCAAGTGAGCTTCATCGAAGAGGAGCGCAAGGCAGCGCAACCACAGTCCCAACAATTGCCAAGTGAAGTTGACAACCTGCTGCAGGATACGGAAAAGTTTATAAGCAGCACAACGGCCAACTTTATTGCAAACGAACAACAGCAGCATTTGCCTAAGGATCAACCACAAGCAGTGATTAAACCAGACGTAACAACAACCGCGTCTACAACAACCACAACTGTGACAACAATAACTACCTCAAAAACAACAACGGAAGCTCTGCCTGTCACTGTCAAGGAAGAACCACTAAAAGAAATATTAGCGGAGCAACCGAAGGAGTCAACGATAGTCAAAGAAATTCCAGAGCGCAAACAGGAAGTGACCGAAACCGTCCAAACTGTGACTAGTGAGAAGTCAATACCAGCTGATCTGCAAAGGGAAAAACTATTGGAGCAGCCCAAGGAGACAACAAAGGTCAAGGAAACACCAGAAGCAAAACGAGATGTCACTAAAGTCACGGAAACTGTAACCCGTGAGGAGCCAATTCCAGAGCCAGGCCAACAACAAAAGGACTCGCCCAAACCTGCAGAAAGGGCAAACACTTCGGAACCAGTTGCCAAGCCGGAGCCCGCGCCAAGGACTGCTGTTAAAGAGGAAGTAACGGAATTTGAGCCACCCTACACAGCACCACTAGCGCCTTTCCAAGAGACAATAGCCAAGGAAAGTGACATTGGAACGGACGAACCGCTTACCACGGATTCACAAAGCACTGTCACAATAACCACAACACAGGTGATAACAACGAAAACTGCCGAACCAACTCTGACGGAAACAACTATCAAAAGCGAAGGCAAACCAGAGAAGCTTGTAAAAGAACCAGAACATGTGATTTCCGAAATTGAACAACCAATGCAACCAATTGAATCAAGTGATATTTTACTTGATGAGCAAATTGTGACTGTCGAGGAGCCCACTACCACAGAGTCGACAACAACTAAAACTACCATTACCACAACAACAATCACAAGTGAAGAGCAGAAACCACATGAAGTTGTGAGTGTGGTGGAAGAGATAAAGGAGGTGCCTAAGGATGAACCAGTTGCACCCATGGAATCTGCGGCAGTGACAAATGATCAGCCTAAAAAGGAAGAGTCTCCATTTAAAGAAATAGTTGTCAAAGTAACAGACGAGGGTAAAGAGCAACCCGAGGAGCAGTCTCCAACCAAGGAAATAATTGAAGCCGTTTTAGAGAAGGCCAAGGAAGTAAGCCCAGAAGCACCCACTGCAAGCGTTCGCACCACAGAAACAGTTACCTCAACAACTGTAACATCAAAGCAACCGCAACAACCAGGAGCTCTAGAGGAACTGAAACAACCAGATGCTACGACAGACAAGCACCAAACAGTTGTCGATTTCATACAACACGAGAAATCAGCGCAACCTGCTATAGCTGGTGGCAGCAATATAATGCAGAACGTCAAGGATGCAGCTAAATTAGGCGCAATGGCTATAGTAGGAGCGCCTATCTTGGCAGGTAAAGCCTTGGTGGATGCGCTTAGCACGGATAAGACTACTAAACCCACACAGCAGATTACAGAAATTATCACGCAAACAGGAGAAGAAATTCAGCCAGCGGCGCCCGAACATGACAGCTCAAGTAGCACCACAATTGTGACCAAAATAACAACAACCACCACCACAACAACAAGCAGTAAATCCACGGAATCTACGCCCGACGATGAAGCGCGTGATACAGTGGAGACACAAGTCAGCACAGTGGAGCACACGGGTAAACGTGAAGTACCTATGACGCTGGCCATTGGTGATGCTATATCACAGAAATTGATCAGCCCCGAGGAGTGTCAAGTAATTGTGGATGGTGAACCACAGTCGCAAAGTGTGGCTGCACTACTCAAGGAGGAACAGCTCAGTCCATTGGATGAGGTGCAAATCATAGACGATAAGTTGATAATTCTACAACAGATTACCTACTTGGTGGATGTAGATACAGAGTTGACGCCCGAAAAGTTAAGTGAACTAAACATCTACGATACAAAACATCAATACTTCTTAGATCCGTCGACTGGTCAGAAAATATCCTTCCAAACACTCGTCTTTGACATGAACATATTCAATCCCGAAACGATTTTAGTCAAGAATTTTAGCACCGACAAATATGAGACCCTAACCGCTGCACTCGAACGTCCCTTGTTAGATAAGCACACAGGTCACATGGTAGATCCCAAAACAGGCAAAAAAATACCGTTCTTTGAATGCATCGAACGACAATGGATTATACGTGCCAATCCCGAAGAGCAACGACCCGCTCCCATTGAAAATGTTACGATAGACTCACAGACAGGAAAAGTGGTACTTGACGATGGTCAAGTTTGTTCCATTGTTGAGGCTATTAACAGTGGCAAACTGGACATACAGTCGATATCGGTGCGCGACCCAGTTAGCGGTGAGGTAATTCCATTGCGTATGGCAATTGAGTTGGGTGTGGTTGATATGCAGGCTGGTACGGTCATAGATATACAGACACTAAAAGAAATACCTATGGAGCTGGCTTTCCAGTTGGGTTTCCTGGTACCCGGTGCACGCAAACCAATTTCCCTTGAAGCGGCTGTACGCAAGGGTCTGTACGACCCCGAAACGGGCAAGCTCTACGATTCCGAGTCTCAGAATCAGGTCGACGTGCAAAAGTCTATAGAAATTGGTCTGGTTGATCCCAAGATTTCGCTCATTGTGGATACAGTTACCAAAAAGGAACTGAAGCTCGATTGCGCTATTGAGGATGAGCTTGTGGTGCCCGCCACCGGTAAGATTAAAGATAACAAGAATAATAAGCTTGTGCCGTTTGATGTGGGCGTTCAACAGCGTCTGGTGAAGACTGACAGCGTCACCTGGAGCCTGCCTGAGGTGCTGCAGCGTGAATTTTATTCGCCCACCACAGGTAAAGTGCTGAATCCTGTTACGGGTGAAGATATTCTTCTTCAGCAGGCCATTGAAATGGGCTTTGTTGAGTTGGATTCCACACTAGTTAAGGATACCGAGCATGATAAGATTTTGCCAGGCAAGGAAGCTGCCAAAGTGGGTCTTCTGGATACGGTGCGTGGCACTCTTAGCTCACCCAACATTAGCCTGGACGAGGCCTTTGTTAAGGGTTATCTTATAAGCACCAAGAAACCCTGGTCTCTGGTCGATTGCCTGCTGCGTGGTCTTTACGACCCTTCGACAGCTAAATTTAACATTGACGGCAAACAGCTTGACTTAAAGTCGGCCATTGCGCAGAAGCTCATCAATCCCGAAGAGCTTGTGCTGCTCGATCCCAAAACTGAATCGATTATTTCGTTGAATGAGGCCATTGCCAAGGGCTATTTGGATCCAATTGGTGGCTTTGTCATTAATCCGTACGCTTCAACGAAACTCTCTCTGCATGAAGCTCTCGAGAATCGCATTCTTATACCACCCAAACGCAAGCGCAGTCTACCCGATGCTGTTTATAGGGGCCTATACGATCCCAAGACCGGCCAGTTTAGCAATACGATCACACGGGAGAAATTAACAACTGAACGTGCCATTCGTAGGGGTATACTCGATCCCGATTCGACGGTCGTCAATGTTTCAGGTCAGGTTGTACCATTTGGTGTGGCCACCGAGACGGGTATTGTGGATAGTCAACAAGGCACGGTAAGGGATACAGATGATCAGCAAATTGATTTCAAGGAAGCCTTTGATAAGGGAGTCCTGGTAGAGGCTAAGAAGCCCTTGCGTCTCATAGAAGCTGTTGTCAAGAATATTTACGATGAGAGCGATGGTCACTTTGTTGATCCCAAGTCTGGAGAGAAACTGAACTTTGCCGAGGCTTTGAATACCAATCTCCTAGATGAGCACAGCGTCCAGATTAGGGATTTCAATAGTGGTTTGTACAAACAGCTCAATTTAACGCATGCTAAGGATACAGGTCTTATAGATGCTCAGAATGCCAAGCTACTTTATAATAACCAGTCGATGACCATTAAGCATGCTTTTAACATTGGTATTCTGATGGATGTGAATGCTCCCATTAGCGTGCAGCGCGCTATACATCAGGGTCTCTTCGATGACAAGACTGGTAAATTGACTGATCCCAAAACTGGACGGAAAATAACCCTATTGGAGGGCATGCGCAGCTTTGTCATTAATCCCCAGCTGCCCTGCTATTTCGATGAGCAGTCTGAGCAAATGTTCAGCCTCAGCGAGACCTGTCGCAATGGCATCATCAATAGAAGGGAGGGCGTCTTTAAGGAACCAGGCAGTACTAGCTTTGTGCCACTTGGTGAGGCTTTGAGCTTGGGTTTGATTGTGGACATAGAAAATGCCGGCTTTGGGCTATATGAGCTTTTGGCCATGAGCTTCTATGATGTGACCACGCGTCAGGTGCTACATCCAGTGACCAATCGCAAGTTAAACCTGAATGAAGCCTGCGTCGAGGATGTCGTTAGTCTTTCCTCCAGTTTGGTCAAGCATTATGAGTCGGGCAAATATATGCGCCTAGCGAATGCCATTAAGGAGCAACTCATTGATGATTCGAAGGGCTGTTATAATCTGGGCAATGAACAAATAGATTTGCAGGCAGCTAGAGCACGTGGTTTAATTGTCTCCAACCGCCGTCTATTGAGTCTGGAAATGGTTCTGCGCATGCAGCTTTATCGATCCGAAACAGGCAAATTCTGTGATCCCACAACGGGCGAGTATATAGATTTGATTGAAGCTATACACGCAGGCTTTATAGATCCAGCAAGTACTGTCTTTAAGAATCAGCTTACAGGCAAGGAATTACCCCTAACGGCTGCTATAGAAAATAGCGATATAGATGTAACTAAGGGACGCGTTTTCGATCCGAAATCCAAATCTACCTACAATTATGATGTAGCTTTCGCGCGTGGCATACTCGTGACTATACCCCGGTCTCTTACCGATCGCAGCGAAATCGTGCGCCGTCAGGACAGCGTTGAACTCTTAAGTCAGACGCCCGTGAGCGTCGTTATTAGCAAACCCCGCGAAATGTCACTCGATGAAGCTATCAGATATAACATAATCGACCCGAAGACCGCACTCGTACGCGATTTCGATAGCTTTAAATACTTGCCCTATGCTTTGGCTCATGAACGCGGTCTCGTTGACGAATCAAAGCGCACGCTCGTCGATCCTAAAGCTTTATACTTTGCATTTGATTCCACGCTGTTGATCTATGTGCGGGAACCCGTTTCATTCGATCAGGCGGCTGAATCCAAGTGTTTGGATCTGCAAACCGGCATGCTTACCTATCAGCCCGTAATCCCAGCCAGCGATGACAGCGCAAACGATTCACTGACTGTCATCGAAACGTCGCCTAAGATATACACGCTTAAGGATGCCGCCGGTGTTGGCATTATTGATCCCGATTCGGCGCTGGTCAAAGATCTGGCCAAAGCGAAGCTTGTGCGTTTGCCAGAGGCCTTCCGCAAGGGCCTGATGGATGCCAACAAGGCGAACGTGTTGAATACCCAAACCTCCAAGTTGTGCACACTGCAGGAGGCCTACGAGAGTGGCCTGATCTGTACACCCAAGCGTTCATTTGGTTTGCTAGAGGCCATCACATTTAACCTGTACAACCCGACCAATGGGTGTCTAGTTGATCCCTTCCAAATGCATCCCGATATCATCAAGCGAAAGAAGTATACATTGGCCGATGCCATTAGTGCAGGTCTAATTGATCCCTCCTCGACGGTGGTGCGTGATCCCAGCACTGGCGTCATTCTACCACTGGCTGCTGCCATTAGCACTGGCTTAATAGATGCCACTGAAGGTCGTCTGAACGATGCCAATGACCCAAAAAATAATATCGATTTGGTGAAGGCCGCCGAGAAGGGCTTACTGCTACCAGCCGAACAGCGGGTAAGTTTCACAGACCTAGTCTGTCTCTGCGTTTATGTGTTTTAGCAGGTTTTTTACTTTCAAATTTCCAAATCACAATCAAAAAATCGGAAAACCACAACAAAATTAGACAAACAAAATTTTACAACGCTTCGTGGCATGTTATTTTTGGTATACTCTATATATAATTTCTATAATAATCATTATTTTTCGAAGTTTTGTTACGAACTTTTTGATCAGTGCGCTCTCAACTTTACTCTTTACTTTTCTTTCTATCATCAGACTAACCCACAGCTCTGTCTGCTTATCTAAGAGAAAACTCTACATTTTAATTTGCAAATCATATTTATGATTATTATTATTTTATTTTGCTTGTCCTGAAAAATGGACAAAAATTTCTTATATTGCAGCGCATGGCATTGAGTTTTATATGTTCTCGTTCACAAAACACATCAATCAAATCAAATCTATCGCATAATTTTTCAAATGAATCAACTAAAATTGCTGAACTTGCTTTCAATGATTTTCAAGTTAAGAATGCAGCAAGTAAAATGTCAATCAGCAAGTACTACATACCACATTATCACAACACAGATCGATTGTTATCATATAGACAACATTATAATCATCAAATTGCTTGATCTGGCAACGCAACGCAACGCGCGTCTCCATTACTCTCCATAACTACTCAGCACGAATGACGTCGGCAATAATAATTTACAATCTCTTTCTTATATACACACATATCTATTAATAACACAAAACATATACATACATATACTCGTACAAATTTATATGATATCTTTATCACACATACCTACATATACTTCCTTTACTCTAAACTCTCGTAAGTCCCACCTAGGCAGCATTCTCCTTAGGTCCATTCCTAACCTTACCAAACTGTAACGTTGTAAAGTCTTAATGAATAACCCTATTGTATACTCTATATATATAATTTTCCAAATAATCCTCTTGGATATTTTAGACGCAATTTGTTATATATAATTCATACTATACTGCCATCTTCGGTAATCAGTATTTCTGAAACCCATAGACCAACTGGTCTAACCTAAGCTAACCTTTCTTTATATATACATATATTAAAAGTATCTTTGCCCTTATATAGTTCTTCTACGTTACAGTTTGGTCTGACTACAGTTGCTATAAGCGCTGGCAAATGTAGTTCTTTAGCTCTTGTAACTTGCTCTTAGTTTACTTTGAACTAAGTTAGTATTTATTAGTATTTATTTTTACATATACATATTTTTTAAATACCAATTTTCTACCTATTTTCAGCATATTATACATACATTTATTCTTATATTATTTCGTTTGCAGTTTTTATTTTTGAGTATGCTCAGTACAAAAAAAAAAAAATACAAAAAACAAAAGGAAATATTAATAATAAAAACCCAAACTTAACACTAATCCAAGAAAACAATAAAACTCAACAACAAAAAACCATTAAAACGTAGTTAGATGCCCATACTAAAAGTATAAAACTGTGTAGTTGCCCCAGTCCAAAAGTAGTGCTCGTTAATTATTTAGTAGCGCCTATTAGTATGCCTTGGTGTTTTTGAACGTATTTTAACTATTATTTATAATAATTGTATTTGTTTTGTTGTTAAACGCTTTAACGCCTAACCTAACCTAACACTTGCCGCCCTATAAATTGCTTCCAAACTTTTGCGTATGCTTTTGCCGCTGCTTAAGTTTATCAAATTTCAGCTATTGTATGTTTGTGTGCTCTATATATATTTTGTGTTACATATCTTACGCCTTTCGATTATATACTGTTTATATACAAAATTCTTATAAACATTTTCATATGCTCTATATATATATTACCCCAAGTACCAAATATTTAAGTATGAACATGTAACTGGCTAAGTAATGCCTATTTTAATTCGTCGTACTAATTATTCTCTTTTTTTTAACATCATGATCAATCATAAATTTTGGCATACAGCAAGCAGTATTCGAAAAGTTCAACATGTGCGAGGAGAATGTCAACGATCTTCTCAAATGGGTGACATCTGTTGAACAAAAAATCTCAAGCGTTGGCGGCCCTCGTGAAAAAATCGATGAGCTGCGCAATCAAATCAATGCGCTCAAGGTTGGTTGATGATTTATATCTTCTATATAATCCTACATTTCATATTTTATTTATACATTTACATTTCGCAATATGCGGCATATAAGTAAATTCGGTGAAGCACGTTTTTTGGCAAAATGATAAAAAACTGGTTTTATTGCTTTTTGTTCTATATATTGCTTTTGTGTATCTTAAGCTAATCTTTATTTCCTTTTCACAGCAAATCAAGGATGAAATCGAATCCCAGCAGCGTCCAGTGGCCACTTGTCTGGAGCAAATACGTCAAATTGTGCTTACCGGCGGCGATGTGCTTTCCGCACCGGAGGTCACCACCTTGGAGAACTCTGGCCGTGAGCTGCGTTCTCGCGTGGATCGTGTCAATGATCGCACTGTGCGTCTACTGCGTCGCCTGGAGGCTGGACGTGACGAGCTGACCAAACTGCGTAGCGAACTGGATGTCTTCTCCGATTGGCTGCAGTTGGCGCGCCGCACTCTGGAGGACAAGGAGCGCGCTCTGTCGGACCTAACGCGTCTTGCTTCGCAGGCAGACACCATACGTGAGTTTGTCAGCGATGTGATTGGTCACCAGGCGGATCTACGTTTCATCACAATGGCCGCACAGAAGTTTGTGGACGAGAGCAAGGAGTTCCTTGCCGTACTCAATGACTTCCGCACCTCACTGCCAGAAAGGCTGCCCCATGTGGAGCCACTGTCCAGTGCCGAGAGTCCCATACGCCAGGAGGTTTCGCTGGTGTCAGCACAGTATAAGGATCTGCTGAATCGCGTCAATGCGCTGCAGGATCGTGTCTCCGGCTTGGGTGGCAGACAGCGTGAGTACCAGGATGCCTTGGACAAGGCCAATGAGTGGCTGCGCAGCATGCAGCCGCGTATCTCGCGTGTCATCTCCGAACCTGTCGCTGGAGATCCCAAGGGCGTGCAAGATCAGATGAATGAGGCGAAGGCGCTTCACAATGAGCTCCTGTCCAGCGGTCGATTAGTGGACAATGCTCAACAAGCTCTAGATAATCTACTACGTAGCCTGGGCGGCCAGCTCAGTCCCATGGAGATTAATCAACTGGAGCTGCCCATTGCAGATTTGAAGAACAACTATCAGCAGTTGCTGGACACGCTCGGAGAGCACTGCAAGACTTTGGATAAGACACTCGTGCAGTCGCAGGGCGTGCAGGATGCACTCGATAGTCTGGGTAGCTGGGTTAATCAAGCCGAGGACAAGTTCAAGCTGAATTTGCGTCCCGCCTCCCTAATCAAGGAGCGCCTGCAAGAGCAGATACGCGAGCACAAGGTGCTCCTGGCTGATCTGCAGTCACATCAGGCTAGCATAGATGGCGTTCAAATCTCTGCCAAGCATCTTCTAGCCAGTGCCTCTAATGCGCGCATTGCCAAGAAGGTGGAATCAAATCTGAACGATGTAACTGGCAAATTTGAGAAGCTCTATGAAAAGGCGAACAAGCGTGGCGAATTCCTTGATGATGTCTACAATCGCCTCTCCAAGTACCTGGATGACATTAGCAATGTAGAACAGCGCATGGGCAGCCTGCAGGAGGCTTTGGACAGCCGCGAGACCAGTTTGCTCTCCACGGAGGAGGTGGCACGCCGCATGCTCGACTTGGCTCGCGAAAAAGATCAGTTGACTCCACAGTTCGAGGATTGTGTGCGCAATGGCAAGGACCTGATAGGTCTGCGTGATGTGACCGATACGGGCGCTTTGCGTGATCGCATCAAGGCTCTGGAATCTCAGTGGCGCAACATTAACATCAGCATCGATGAGCGTGCCAAGCTGTCCAAGCAGAAGGCCGAACGACAGTTGGCTTACGAAAGCCTCAAAAATGACGTCTTGTCCTGGCTAACCAACACAGAGGGTCGTGTCAACGGACTGGCACCCGTGGCCATAGATCTAGACAAGATACGCCAGCAGCACGATGAGCTAAAACCAATCTGCAAGGATTATCGTGACTATGCGCCAACTATAGACAAGATCAATGATATAGGCGCCCAATATGATGCACTTGTGCGACCAGATAGCCCCACACGCAAACGCTCCACGTACAGTCCCATCAAAAGGACAAGTCCGCTGCGTCGTATGTCCGGAGACGCCAGAAGCCCCAGCCCGACCAAGGGAGGTATACTGTCGCCACTATCGACTGGTTCCAGTGGATTCGGTAGCCGCAGATCCTCTCAGGATGGCTTCCAGCTCTCTGAACTGTCTCCGGTGCAGCAGCAGCTGAGCGAGATTAACAATCGCTATGGATTGATTGGCGTTCGTCTCAATGATCGCCAAAACGAGCTGGACAATCTTAGCGAGGAGTTGCGCAAGCAATACGAAAACCTGAAGGGTTTGGCGCAGTTCTTGGAACGTATTCAACGCCAGGTGCCCAAGGAGTCGGTGTCCAACAAGGAGGAGGCTGACCGCTGCATTAAGCAGGCGCGCAAGATCCTCGAGGATATGTACGAAAAACAGAGTCTGCTGGACACAACCAAAGCGCAGATTAAGGACATCCTGCGACGCAAGTCAGATGTGCCCGGCGCCGAGCAGCTGCGTGTGGAGAACGACAACATCCAGGAGAAGTGGAAGAATCTCAATGACATCTGCAAGAATCGCATTGCCTTCTCTGAGAAGCTTCGCGACTTCCTGGACACCCATGGCAATCTCAAGAGCTGGTTGGACAGCAAGGAGCGTATGTTGACTGTACTGGGACCGATTTCCTCGGATCCACGCATGGTTCAGAGCCAGGTGCAGCAGGTGCAAGTATTACGGGAGGAGTTCCGCACTCAGCAGCCGCAACTAAAACACTTCCAGGAGCTGGGACATGATGTGGTCGATCATTTGGCTGGCACACCCGATGCCCAGGCCGTTGAGCTGAAGCTCAAGGATGTGCTCAACAAGTGGGACGATCTAATGGGTAAGCTGGACGATCGCGCTAATAGTCTGGGTGGTGCTGCTGATAGCTCAAAAGAGTTCGACGCGGCTGTTAATCGCCTACGCGAGGCTCTGCAAAACATTAGCGACAACCTAGACACGCTACCCATCGATGGCGATCACCAAGAAAATCTCCGAAAGATCGAAAACCTCGAGCGTCAGCTGGAGGGTCAGCGTCCACTCTTAGCTGATGTAGAGCAATCCGCGGCCACGTTGTGTAATATTCTCGGCGATCCAGCCTCACGCGCTGATGTCAACTCGCGTGTTGGAGCGCTAGAAAAGCAATACCAGGCACTGCAAAAGAAGTTGGACACGAAGAAGGCTGAAACGGAGGCCTCGCTGCGTGATGGCCGCCACTTTGCCGAGAACTGCTCCAAGACGCTCGGCTGGCTTTCCGGCGAGCTGTCCAATTTGACCGATCGTCTGCTTGTGTCTGCCCACAAGCCAACGCTGCAGCACCAGATCGATACGCACGAGCCCATCTACCGTGAGGTGATGGCGCGCGAGCATGAGGTAATTATGTTGATCAACAAGGGCAAAGATCTGTCCGATCGCCAGCAGGATCGTGGTGTCAAACGTGATCTGGATCGTATACAACAACAATGGGAAAAACTGCGTCGTGAGGCTGTCGATCGTCACACGCGTCTACAGACTTGCATGGAGCACTGCAAGAAGTATTCACAGACTTCTGAGACCTTCCTTGCCTGGCTGCGTACCGCCGAGGATAAGCTCGCGGATCTTACTCCCGGTGTCTTATCCAAATCCAAGCTTGAGACGCGTCTGCGTGACCTTCAAACGTTCCGCAGCGAAGTGTGGAAGCATTCGGGTGAATTTGAGAACACCAAGGGCCTGGGTGAAACCTTCCTCAGTAGCTGTGACATTGACAAGGAGCCGATCAAGGCAGAGCTGCAGGATATACGCGATCGCTGGGAGCGTTTGAACAACGATCTGATCGCACGCGCTCATGAGATTGAGAACTGCTCGCGTCGTTTAGGTGACTTTAATGACGAGCTGCGAAATTTGGATCACTCCCTGGGTCGTTGCGAGGATCGCCTTGCCGCACATGATGCGCTGGGTGGTGCTGCCAAGGATCCCAAGCTACTCGAACGCGTCAAGGCAATACGCGAGGAGCTGACGAATCTAAGTAAGCCGCTGCAATCGCTTAAGGCGTTGGCCAAGGACATTAGTGCCGAAGCACGTGCCGCCGGCGGTGATGCGGATCACTTGACCAGCGAAGTTGACGGCTTAGCCGATCGCATGTCCGAGCTGCAGGGTCGTCTGGATGATCGCTGCGGTGAGCTGCAATCGGCCGCCACAGCTGTGTCCCAGTTCAACGAACAGATGAAGGGTCTGGGTATTGATCTGAACGATCTGGAGACTGAGGTTGAGAAGCTATCGCCGCCCGCCCGTGAGATTAAGATCGTGCAACAGCAACTGGATGATGTAGGCAAACTGCAGAACAAACTGGATCGCCTAGTGGGTCGTCTGGAGGATGCCGAGCGTGCCGCTGATGTTCTTGTAGACGCCGGCTTCTCTGCGGACACCAGTCAGACGCGCGACCAAATCTCCACGCTGCGCAAGACTCTCGGTCGTTTGGATAATCGTGTGCGCGATCATGAGGACAAGCTTCAAAGCACGCTGAAGGCTCTGCGGGAGTTCTACGACGTGCAGTCGCAAGCACTGGATGACATCCAGGACGTAAGCGATGAATTCAAGCGAATGAAGCCTGTGGGCTCAGAGCTGGATCAGATTAGACGCCAACAGGAGGACTTCCGCAAGTTCAGAGAGAACAAAGTAGAGCCATTGGCTCTGAATGTGGACAAGGTCAACATGGCTGGACGCGATTTGGTTCGCTCCGCAGCCAGTGGCGTCTCTACGAACACCATTGAGAAGGACTTGGAAAAGCTGAACGATCGCTGGAACGATTTGAAGGAACGCATGAACGAGCGCGATCGTCGCCTGGACGTAGCACTGCTACAGTCCGGAAAGTTCCAGGAAGCCCTAGCAGGACTCTCCAAATGGTTGAGCGATACCGAGGAAATGGTGGCCAATCAGAAAGCACCCAGCTCCGACTACAAGGTGGTTAAGGCGCAGCTGCAGGAGCAAAAGTTCCTCAAGAAAATGTTGCTGGATCGTCAGAACTCGATGGGCTCGTTGGCCAATTTAGGAAAAGAGGTGGCCAATCATTGCGAGCCTGCTGAGCGCGCCTCCATCGAGAAACAGCTGAATGATCTGATGAAGCGTTTCGATGCCCTCACCGATGGCGCCGAGCAGCGTGAGCAAGATCTAGAGGAGGCCATGGAGGTGGCCAAGCGTTTCCATGACAAGATTAGCCCGCTGGAATTGTGGCTGGATAATACGGAACGTGCAGTTAAGGCCATGGAGCTGATACCCACGGATGAGGAAAAGATACAGCAACGCATTCGCGAGCATGATCGCCTGCACGACGAGATTCTGGGTAAGCAGCCTGATTTTACGGATCTTGCCGATGTGGCTGCTCAGCTGATGCATTTGGTCAGCGATGACGAGGCTGTCAATCTGGGCGAGAAGGTGCGCGGTGTGACCGAACGCTATACAGGTTTGGTCGACGCCAGCGACAATATTGGCGCTCTGCTTGCCGAATCCCGTCAAGGATTGCGCCATCTGGTGTTGAGCTATCAGGATTTGGTGGCGTGGATGGAAAGTATGGAGAATGAGCTGAAGCGTTTCAAGTCCTTGCCAGTCTATGCCGAGAAGCTGTTGGAGCAAATGGATCATCTGCTGGAGCTGAACGAGAACATTGCGGGACACGCAAACAATGTGGAGTCCACTGTTGAATCCGGCGCAGAGCTCATGAAGCACATTTCCAATGATGAGGCCATACAACTGAAGGATAAGTTGGATTCACTGCAGCGTCGCTATGGCGATCTGACCAATCGTGGTGGAGATCTGCTCAAGAATGCTCAGAATGCTTTGCCACTTGTGCAGCAGTTCCATGAGGCCCACAATCGCTTGGTTGAATGGATGCAAAGTGCCGAGACCGCCTTGGCACCCAGTGAACCACGTCAGGCAGATGTGCTGCGTCTGGAGAGCGAGCTATCCGACATGCGTCCCATACTGGACACCATCAATCAGGTTGGGCCTCAGCTGTGTCAGCTATCACCAGGCGAGGGTGCCGCCACCATTGAAAGCATTGTTACCCGCGACAATCGTCGCTTCGATGCGATCGTGGAGCAGATCCAACGCAAGGCCGAACGTCTGCACTTGAGCAATCAGCGCGCCAAGGAAGTCACAGGTGATATTGATGAGCTGCTAGAGTGGTTCCGTGATATGGATACCACATTGCGTGAGGCCGATCCACCTGCCATGGAGCCGAAATTGGTGCGCGCTCAGTTGCAGGAGCATCGTTCCATCAATGATGACATTTCCAGTCAGAAGGGACGCGTGCGTGACGTCACCGCCGCCTCCAAGAAGGTGCTGCGTGAATCGCCGCAAAGCGAGAATACCGCAACGCTGCGCGAGAAGCTGGACGACCTTAAAGAGATTGTGGACACCGTTGCACAGCTGTGCAGTGAACGTTTGGGTATTTTAGAGCAAGCTTTGCCACTTTCCGAGCACTTTGCCGACTCGCATTCGGGTCTGACCACTTGGTTGGATGACATGGAGCAGCAAATCTCACGCCTGAGCATGCCAGCTCTGCGGCCCGATCAGATTACGCTGCAGCAGGACAAGAACGAGCGTCTTCTGCACTCCATAGCCGAGCATAAGCCACTGCTGGATAAACTCAACAAAACAGGTGAAGCTCTGGGCGCTCTGGTCGCCGACGAAGATAGCGCCAAGATCAATGAGATTCTCGACACGGACAACGCCCGCTATGCGGCGCTGCGTCTGGAGCTGCGCGAACGTCAACAGGCACTGGAGAGCGCTCTGCAGGAGTCCAGCCAGTTCTCTGACAAACTTGAGGGCATGTTGCGTGCGCTGGCCAACACAGTGGATCAGGTGAATCAATTGGATCCACTCTCAGCACTGCCACAGAAGATACGCGAGCAAATCGAGGACAATGATGCTCTGATGGATGATCTGGATAAGCGTCAGGATGCTTTTAGCGCTGTGCAGCGTGCTGCCAACGATGTCATTGCTAAGGCTGGCAACAAGGCTGATCCTGCCGTGCGCGACATCAAAGCCAAACTAGAGAAGCTCAATAATCTGTGGAACGATGTTCAGAAGGCTACCAAGAAACGTGGCAGCTCCTTGGATGACATACTCAGTGTTGCGGAGCCCTTCTGGAAGCAGTTGAATAGCGTCATGAAAACACTCAAAGATCTGGAGGAGACGCTGTCCTGCCAGGAGCCACCAGCGGCACAGCCGCAAGACATCAAGAAGCAACAGGTGGCTCTGCAGGAGATACGCCACGAAATCGATCAGACCAAGCCCGAAGTGGAGCAGGTGCGTCGCCATGGTAGCAATTTAATGAACATGTGCGGTGAACCTGACAAGCCAGAGGTCAAGAAGCACATCGAGGATTTGGATAATGCCTGGGACAACATTACAGCGCTATATGCCAAGCGGGAGGAGAACCTGATCGATGCCATGGAGAAAGCCATGGAGTTCCATGAAACACTGCAGAACCTGCTCAAGTTCCTCACCAAGGCTGAGGACAAGTTTGCTCACTTGGGCCCTGTGGGCTCCGACATTGATGCCGTCAAGCGACAGATTGAACAGCTCAAGTCGTTCAAGGACGAAGTCGATCCGCATATGGTCGAAGTAGAAGCATTAAACAGGTAAGCTTTGAATTGCTTAAATACTTCGATTCTCATATCTTATAATTTGTAATAATGATATATCAACACCGTGTTTGTGTGGTCTACCTTCAATCGTACAATTGGCAGAGGTCTAGAAAGGCAAGATAGTTTCAAAATTTCGTACGTTCTCTATTGTTCGTTCGTTATTGTTGTATACATTTAAGTGCCTGCATTGTAAGCTGTGAAATGTGAAATGAGATGTGATCAGCGATCAGAGATCCGTGATTTCTATAAAATTTCTTATTTTTGATCTTCTGGTCTATAATCTACGATCTGTGATGTCTGATCTGTGATCAACGATCGCTGATTTGTGATCTCTGATGTGCTTTGCGCATGTTTCTTATGATTTACGCCAAAAGCCACTGGAGCCAGCGGTTCCAAAGTCGTTATTGCATGTGCACCGGCAAGCCGCCAGTTTTTATTATTATTGTTGCGTTCTGCCTGCATCTTAAGCACCAGCCATAAACAACTCATGTTAATACTCTCTTGACCAATTACAGACAAGCTGTGGAATTAACGGAACGCACTTCGCCGGAGCAGGCGGCATCGATAAGGGAGCCATTGTCCGTGGTCAATCGCCGTTGGGAGGCATTGCTGCGTGGCATGGTCGATCGGCAAAAGCAGCTCGAGCATGCGCTGCTCCATTTGGGTCAATTCCAGCATGCACTCAACGAGCTGTTGGTCTGGATAAACAAGACAGACAGCACATTGGATCAGTTGAAACCGGTAAGACAACGAAAGAATAGTTTGCAAATAGGCAAAATTAAATTACTTGTCTTGTTTGCAGATACCCGGCGATCCGCAACTACTTGAGGTTGAGCTTGCCAAGCTTAAGGTGCTGGCCAATGATATACAGGCGCATCAGAACTCAGTGGACACACTCAACGATGCTGGACGCCAGCTAATTGAGACAGAGAAGGGCTCTGTGGAGGCCTCTACGACGCAGGAGAAGCTACGCAAGCTAAACAACGAGTGGAAGCAACTGTTACAAAAGGCCAGCGATCGCCAGCACGAGTTGGAGGAGTCTCTGCGCGAAGCTCAAGGCTACATTGCTGAGGTCCAGGACATATTGGGCTGGTTGGGCGATGTGGATGCCGTGATTGGTGCCAGCAAGCCGGTGGGTGGTCTGCCAGAGACAGCGACCGAGCAGCTGGAACGCTTTATGGAGGTCTACAATGAGCTGGAGGAAAATAGGCCCAAGGTTGAGACAATACAAGCGCAGGGTCAGGAGTACATTAAGCGCCAGAACCAAATGAAGGTCTCCTCCAGTAATCTGCAGCACACACTGCGCACACTGAAACAACGCTGGGATGCGGTGGTTTCGCGTGCATCCGATAAAAAGATTAAACTAGAGATTGCACTTAAGGAGGCTACCGAATTCCATGAGACACTTCAGGCCTTTGTCGAGTGGCTCACCCAGGCTGAGAAGCAGCTTTCCAATGCTGAGCCCGTTTCGCGCGTGCTGGAGACCATTCAAGCCCAGATGGAGGAGCATAAGGTCCTGCAAAAGGATGTGAGCACACATCGTGAAGCTATGCTGCTGCTAGACAAGAAGGGCACGCATCTTAAATACTTCAGCCAGAAGCAGGATGTGATTTTAATCAAGAATCTGCTCGTCTCAGTGCAGCATCGCTGGGAGCGTGTGGTCAGCAAAGCGGCAGAGCGCACACGTGCTCTGGATCATGGCTACAAGGAAGCCCGTGAGTTCAATGATGCCTGGAATAGCATGATGCAGTATCTGCAGGAAACCGAACAGGTACTGGATCAAATCATCGAAGAAGCCACTGCCTCCAAGGAGCCACAAAAGATCAAGAAATACATTGGCAAGCTAAAGGAAACACATCGCCAGCTAGGCGCCAAACAGTCCGTCTACGATGGCACAATGCGCACAGGCAAGAACCTCATGGAGCGTGCGCCAAAGGGCGATCGTCCAGTACTGGACAAGATGCTACTGGAGCTTAAGGAGCAATGGACGCGTGTCTGGTCGAAGAGCATTGAACGTCAGCGCAAACTAGAGGAGGCCTTGCTGCTCTCCGGACAGTTTAGCGACGCTCTGGGCGAGCTGCTCGACTGGCTGAAGAAGGCCAAGAGCCGGCTCAACGAGAACGGACCCGTGCACGGTGATCTGGAGACGGTGCAGGGCTTGTGTGAGCATCACAAGCACATTGAACAGGATCTTCAGAAGCGCTCCGCTCAAATGCAGGGCGTGCTGAAGACCGGTCGTGACCTGGAGCGCTCGGGCAATAATCCTGAAGTGGGTCGCCAGCTCGACGAGCTGCAATCCATTTGGGAGGAGGTCCAGAAAGCTGTGGGCAAACGCGGAGAGCGACTCCAAGTGGCTCTGGTGGATGCTGAAAAGCTTAATGCACGCGTTCAGGCTCTGTTCGATTGGCTGGATCATGCGGAACACAAGTTGCGTTATGCCAAGAATGCGCCCGATGATGAGAAGGTCTCACGCGAAATGATGGACATTCACACCGAGTTTATGCGTGATCTGCGCGTGCGTGAGCGTGAGAAGAGCGAAACGTTCGAGTATGCGGAGGAGATTATTGGCAAGGCCTATCCGGATGCCATACCCATCATCAAGAACTGGCTATCAATTATACAGCAACGTTGGGAGGAGGTGCGACAATGGGCCATCAACCGCGAGTCGAAGCTGGAATTGCATTTGCAATCGCTCAAGGATCTGGACGATACCATTGAGGAGCTGCTCGCTTGGCTCAGTGGACTCGAAGGCACCCTGTTGAGTAAGTTATCCAAATCGGAAGCTTTCTGGTCGATTTCTATTTCTGTTCTCTTCAATTAGATCTGAAGCACGAACAGCTGCCGGATGAGATACCACCTGTTGAAAAATTGATTGAAGATCACAAGGAGTTCATGGAGAACACAGCACGCCGCCAGAATGAAGTGGATCGCGCCTGCAAGCCTCGTCAACTGCCTCCTGGCGCGCGCAAGCCCTCGCGAAGTGGCAAGACGCCAGTGTGAGTATTACGAAATTGTCATCTGACTTTTGTATATATGAGTATTTTATTTTATTTTATTTTATTTTTTATTTTTATTTCTTTTGCTATTTTTCACCAATTTTATTGCTACAAATATCAAATATTTTCCCCTGCAACGATTTGCACACAAACTTTTGCCTATCGTCTACCCAAAATATACCACAATATACCAAATACTCTACACCTTGCAACAACAACCACTCTATATATATATACAACTGTAGTCGTGGCTCCAGTCACGATCTGCGCGAACAGTCGCCCGATGGCCAGCTTCGACGTCAAAGGTTTGACACCTACTTTATACTGTAATCTAAAAATTGCAAGCCACTTAAAACAAAGAAGCGAATGCGCTTACCAACACTACCTCACACACACGCACACATTACCAACTGGTTGAAGACTGCATTTTGCTTAACATTGCAACATTAAACCATTAAAAAAAAACTCAAATATCAGGCAAACATTGCTTAAACATAGCTATAAGCTATTTCGTGTCCTATGTAGTGCTAAAATGAGCTAACATACTATGTTTGCTAAGCCTACCTGTATCAACTACCATACCATGAACTCATCACAGCAACATAAATAAATTGTTTCATAATCAAAGAAATCCTTTTTAACAAGAACTTCAAGCAAAAAAAATACCCTATGTCTACCGCACGCTAGTTGAGTTGTCTGAACTAAACAGGCAACTGAACAGGTTGGCTTCGGGTGCGTCTGCCCCGCCTGGGCTATAGATATTGCTATTTCGAGCTCATGTCTAATAACTAATGTTTGTATAAGGTAAATAGCTTGTACCTATTACCTGTGCATTACTTTAAAATAATACCTTATGTAGCTCTTAAAAAACTGCTAACTTGTCTACTTAGTTAGTACTTAAACCATCTATTACACCACGTAGTATCCACTGCAATACATGCACCTTGCACACATTGCCTCGTTCACAGCACTCGGCTTATACACACTGCTGCTAAAACTGTTGCTTAATCGTGTTTTTGCCAACACTTAGTTTTGTGCAAATTTTTTAATGTGCAATTGCTATCCTCTATTTCACAGCTTCAAGGGCTCACGCGATCAAGGACTCAACGCACGCAAGGGCAGGTGAGTTATCAGCCGTTCCTAGGGCGGTTCTTGAATAGTTCCAAAAATAACTGTGCATGCACTTTCAAAATTATCAATGAAATTTCTTTTGTTTTTCTCAAACTTTACTTTTTTTTGGCTCTATGCAACACTATTTTTGGAAATGCTGCGACATGTTATTTATTTTGTGTGTATATATATATATTTATATGCAAATTTTTGATAATTGTTATTTTTGACTTTTACATTGTGTATTTGTGTATATTGTTTCGTTATTTGATCGTTTTTGTTTTTGTCTCTCTGTTTTGTCTCTTTTTTGTGATTCTACTTTCATCACGCTACGTAAACGTTGTCTCATATCAAACTCTATGCATCTTGCTGCTTAAATATTTGCTCTGCATCATCAATATATCAAAAATATATATATATATGTAAATCGCCTGTACAGTCGTGTTACGCCCACGCGTGATACGCCCGACAGAGATCGCCTGCCGCACTATGGCCCCCGTTTCTCGCCAAGGTAAGTGGCCCGCCGCTCTTCATTTAACATTCAGTGCAGCGCAAACTGTGCGCTCATGCTAAATACTCTATTAAATATTTTGTGTATGTTAAGCATTTTGTAGTTTCGTTATTTGTTTTTTTTTTTCTATCTAATTAGCTCTCTTTATGTGATACGCTTTATAACTACCCTATAAATTTACGCATATATTAATAATATTCTACTATTTCCAAGTAGCTCTACCGGTACCGAACTTGAATTCCGTTCACCACGCGCCAAACTCTTGTGGAACAAGTGGCGCGATGTCTGGATGCTGTCATGGGAGCGTCAGCGTTTGTTGCATGAGCATCTCATGTATCTGAAGGATGTGGAGCGTGCTCGCAACTTTAGCTGGGATGATTGGCGCAAGCGCGTACGTAACTCCCCATATATAGAAGTTAATAAACAATCTATATAATTCCAATTCCCTTTAATTTGCAGTTCCTCAAGTACATGAACCACAAGAAATCGCGCTTGACTGATTTGTTCCGGAAAATGGATAAGGATAACAATGGCATGATACCACGCGATGTCTTTATCGATGGCATACTGAATACGAGTAAGTTTTTAAAATAGACATAGTTCCCTTTCTGCAGCTTTTCTCATGATATTTTTGGACTGCTTTCTATTAGAATTCGATACTTCTGGCCTGGAAATGAAGGCTGTTGCCGATCTGTTTGATCGCAATGGCGAGGGTCTTATCGATTGGCAGGAATTCATTGCCGCTCTGCGGCCCGATTGGCAGGAACGTAAACCCGCCAACGATTCCGATAAAATACACGATGAGGTCAAACGTTTAGTCATGCTTTGCACATGTCGCCAAAAGTTCCGTGTGTTCCAAGTTGGCGAAGGCAAATACAGAGTAAGTTTACATTTTACTAAGAGTTACTCAACAGCTGTTAACTGTGTGTGTTATGTTAATCTTTACAGTTTGGTGATTCCCAGAAACTGCGCCTAGTACGCATCCTTCGCAGCACTGTCATGGTGCGCGTGGGTGGCGGCTGGGTCGCTTTGGACGAATTCCTGCAGAAGAACGATCCTTGTCGCGGTAAGTTCCATACTCAAACGCAACAGACAAACGCTCTCTATAAATATTTAGTACACGTACATACACGAAAATTATCGATAAATCTTGTTGAATTTCATACATTTATCGCATATTATTTCTAGTGTAATTTTTGTAGTCCACCATATCACAAAACTTTGAAAAACATAAACATTCCATTCCCATCTCAGCTCATGCATTTTGTCTATACCTTAGATTAAACATATATGCATCATTCTTTTTAAAAAACCATTTTTGATCATGTCTCTTAATTCACATTCATAAACATAGGTACAGTTGTGCTTAACAACTAATTATACATTTTTTTTTACAAATGCTGAACATTTTTTTAAAACATACCAAATATCATATTAATAATACCAAACGGATATGGTCATTTAACCAACAAATAAAAATATATAATAAAAAGAAAACTTTTGTGCCTAAAAAAATATAACTAGCATATAAACCCAAAAGAAAAACAAAAACAACATAACCTTAAAACAAAACATAACTTTTGAAAACCTCATTAATTTGTTTGGTCGAAAAGTTGCTTTACAAAATACACAAAAAAAAAAAATAACAGTGCGCCTTCTTTTTGAGTAATTTTTTGCCATTTAGCCGGCGCCTATTTTGACGCCCCTCATACACACAATAACCAAACGAGATCAAGAATCTAAACAAAAACCAAAAACCTATCCTAAAGCCCGAAAACTGAAAAGCTCACAGTCTAGGGTTGCCATTTAGTAATCATGCTCATATTTTTGTTGCTTTTATATGTTAACTCTGCGTTTTATCCTACCCCATACCACACATTGTATTTATCTACTTATATAGTATTATTTTTTAATCTGGGTTAAGAACCACTACGTCTTTTGCCTAGAATCTAACTTAACTAAAATTTCGATCTAAAAAAAACTTGATTAGTATTTATATAGTGCATGATGCTTCCATTTATTTTGCTTTACTCTCTGGCTACAGTTGTGCTGGCTGTTAACTAACAGCTGTGGCGACCTTACTTAGCTGTAACTGTACTTTTTCATGTCACGCTGCGTAAATTTGTTCATTTCTGTATGTTGTGCGTCCAACTTTTTGAAAACTTGAATTTTTGTATTAATAATTTTGTATACCGTTTTTCGTTTTTACTAATCAAATTTTATGTTTTCCCCCTTTTTCTTTTTCAAATGTTTTTTTTTTTCTGTATTAAAATGAAACTGATAACGATAACGCAATGTGCCCGATATTTAAATGTAAACCCGTGTGTACCACAAATATCCGCTTGCGCTGCCCACGCCCACGCCCAACATGCACTCGCCTGCGCCCAAAAATTACCACAAAAATACCAAAAAAAAAAAACCAAACTCTGAAAAATACTATGCGGTAACAAAATTTCGTTGTTATTGTTGTTGTTATATGTTCGCCCTGCAACAAAATCAAAATTACAAAAAAAAAAAAACAACAAATGCACACGCTCACACAAACGCGTGTTTGGTATATATAAATATATGTATATATATATATATATATATATATATGTTTATATATGTACCACATGGTATATTCCCGGCATTGAACGGAGCAGCCAAGGGACGCACTAACATTGAGCTACGCGAGCAATTCATATTGGCCGATGGCGTCTCACAGAGCATGGCCGCCTTTACGTCCAGACGTTCCACGCCCAATGCTGCCCAAACTGCCAACAGTTCGCAAAATGGCGGCGCCGGTAGCCCCAACTTGCCGCCATATATGAGTGGACAGGGTCCCATCATAAAGGTAAATCAACAAACCAGTGACAGTTGTGGGTTAACAAAAGAAATAAGAAGAAAACAAAATCAAAACATGAATATTTCCCCCACATTCCCAACACTATTCCCAAATACTATAAGTGTATATCCCATGTTAGGTTTTTTTATATTATCTGAGAGGTAAGTTTTGAGCTTTCGTTTTGGGTTTATTGTGTGTGTTGTTGACAAAAACATAAACAAAAAAAAAAAAACATCTATAAAAACAAAAAATATAATCGCTCGCTGCTGCCGCTGCGTCGCGCTGACTCTTGATTTTTGTGCATGAGAATTTATATAATTCTATATATATTTATTGTATTGAACGTATTGTTGTTGCTATACTACATATATCGTACATAGTATATATCTCTTATAAATATTTATTTGTTACTCCTTGAATTGTTTTATGTTACGCTGCGTCATATATTTTGAGTTGAATGCTAGATAAATTACACATGCGCGCCCTCACTGTCGCGCTTTGTGAGGTTAGGTTCCATTGAGGTTATGTGCAGTCATTTTGAGGTTATGTTGAATATTCTTTGTATAGAGGCCAAATGCTTAAATGATCATATACCGTTTAGTCAGGTTTAAGCTATATTGAGCAAAATGCCAACAACAACAAAATTGTATTTCTATATATGTAGCTGATGAGCACTTGGCCGAGTTAATGCCAATATTTGAGAAAATCCGTGCACAAGACCAAGTCCCATGCGCCTTTCCCATACACATGGGCGCCGGCGGCACAGTATTCGTGCGCTGCAATACCAGCCGCTCGGTACCACTGAGTCCACATGTGCTCCATTGTCATCCAACAACACACTGGGTAAGTCGAACTCAACTGAGGAAGCAGACGGAAGTAAAGCAACAGGAAACAGGGCCATTAGCAGGGGGCACTAATAGATACCCACCACCCCAAAAGATTGCATCACTAATCTTTCATTGTTGTTTACCCATCACCACCAACAGGTACGCGAGCGTTCGGTACGATCCATACCGATGTCAAGGCCATCGCGATCTTCGCTTTCGGCGAGCACGCCCGATTCGCTTAGCGACAATGAGGGCAGCCATGGTGGACCCTCTGGCCGTTATACGCCGCGCAAGGTCACCTATACGAGCACACGCACGGGTCTGACGCCAGGCGGATCGCGTGCCGGCTCCAAGCCCAACTCACGCCCGCTCAGCAGACAAGGCTCCAAGCCGCCGTCACGTCATGGCTCTACGCTGTCGCTCGATAGCACAGGTAGGTGCTCAATTCAAATGAAAAGCAATCAGATTTGAACCAAAGCCTTTTCTTTGCAGATGATCACACGCCCTCGCGCATACCACAGCGCAAGGCATCCGCTGCAAGCACCATTAGCGGCACCGGCACCACCCCACGCCCGGCGCGTCTGTCTGTAGCTACAGCAGCCACACCGGGCAGCCGGCTGAATGGCACCAGCACCATCACACGCAAAACCGCATCCGGTTCGGCAAGTCCAGCGCCTACAAGGTAAGAATTCGTCAAGTCTTTTAGTTGGGGGCTTAGCGGGGGTTTTCGATAAACAAATTTTAACTTTATTAATTTCCAATTTATTTTTGAAATTATTTTCGGTTACTGCATTAACTTTTGACAAAACTCATACAACAAAAAATACCAACAAAATATCCAAAAAAAAAAAAAACAAAATACAAAACATTCTCAACATAATACCAAAATCACCATTTTACATGCTACTTACAAAACGAATTGGCTTATATGAAAAAAAAAATCATTAAAAATACCAAATATACCGAATAAATACCATCATTGAAACGCTAACCTACAAAACGAATTGGCTTTGTTGAAATAAAATATCATATCGAAATTGAAATGCTTGAATGCAACTAACTGCAACATCAAAAAATACAATAAATACCAAAAAAATATACCGACTTGTGCCTGAAACAATAAATATAAATACTGCAAAAAACAGCAATGGAGGCATGAGTAGATCATCCAGTATACCAGCACTAACAGGCTTCGGCTTCAAACCCACTAGGTAATGCCCAAAAACAACAACAACAACAACAATACTAAACATAACATTATCTTATTATTATTATAATTTTATCAATCTAAGTTAAATCAATCAAGTCTTAGTGCTAGTTGGTTAGCTATAGCTCGTAAAATATACATTTTGGTAATGGTTCTACTTATGCTAACTATTCACAAACATATACTAAAGCCGCCCATCACGGATACCGGTTAAGATACCCCTCAACGATTCCAAAACATCATCGCCCACCAGCTCGTCTGCAAATCCAAGCAGCTTTGGGTAAATTTCTATATATCATATAAAGAGAGCGATATATACATATATATAAATAAGCATCCACTGTAGACAATTATGAAATTATTCAGCAATAGTAGCAAGTAATTATTATTATTTTTATATATTTATTTATGTTATTTGTTTCAAATTATGTTATCAATTGTAAAACCAGTGCATGTCAAACTGCAATTGCCTGGATTGCTTTCTAATTCCGACTAATGCTTTAAGTACTATTTTATTATATAACCCTGCACCAAATATTATGATTGAGAACCAAAATAGATAAAACGTCCGATTGTAAAGAACTTCTCACTATATAATGCAATTTTATAGAGCCGCATGATAAGTGGAGAGAACTTTTAATAAGTGTCTTCTCTTAGAAAATAGTCGCGTATACTAGTTTAGAAAAATATTTTAGGGAATCTTAGCTATAGTAAGCTACTTAGGAAGAAGTTTTTCCTTTAGATAGTATACTAAACAATAAATGAACGTATCAAAAGAAATGATTTGAAAAAAAAGGTAAAATTTTAATTGTTATGAAATTCACTTAATTCAAACCAAAAAAAAGAGATGTTTTATTTATATCTACTAAATAAAAGAAAAACTTGTTAATTGTTCTTAAAAGTATTACTATAATTACTATCTGATAATTTGATATCTGATATCTTCTATCTGTTATAGCAATGTAATATTTAAAATTTAGTTTAAATATAAAAACACTCTTTTAGGCATTTAGACCTGATTAACGCGCGTACAACGCGTAACGTACATTTATCGAATATAGCTCGCTTTCTAGTTTGCCTTCAGAAATTTTACTATAAAATTGTGTGCTCTACAAAAGTTGGGCAAATATTAAAAGAATTCATATATCTGCACGGGTATTAAGTCTTCGGCACGCCGAGGCTAGCTGTTATTGTTCATATATATTGTTTATTTAATTGTTAAACAGTTCTAGTTTTTTTTAAATTGAAATTTCCAAGTACCTTGACCTAGACTTATATATTTTTTGGACTTTCCACAGGCGCAACATCAGCGGCAGTTCAACGCCGTCGGGCATGCAGACACCGCGCAAGAGTTCCGCGGAGCCGACCTTCAGCTCGACGATGCGACGCACATCGCGTGGAACCACGCCCACTGAGAAGCGTGAACCGTTCCGGCTTTAAGGCGGACGCAACAGTTGCCAATAAACAATTTAAAACAAATAACAAAAAAAAAAAAACAAGTCTTAAAATAACTAACTACGCACTGAAGTTCTTACAACTAATCAACCACAAATTGTGAACTTTCCCCCTGACCCCCGCCAGACTCTACACACGCAACAGAGAGACTACATTGTTGAAGAAAATGTAGCAACAGGAACCAGTTCAAGCTGAGAATTTATACAAAAAATATTTTGTAAAAAACAGCGCTAGAAAATGTGCAAATCTTGGTTAAGCGTAAAAGACACAAAAAACTCAACAAAATGAGAGTTTAGAGAACTGCAAAAATACGTTTTTATAGCAATCGTTATAAAGAAAACACACACACACAAAGTTGAGAAAGCTACTTGCAAGAAATACTAACTACTACGAACCTTTTGCTACTACTAATATTTAATGCCTACTATTTACTAGTTGTACTTTAATATTGATTTCCAAATTTATAATTTGTATATACTTATATAAAATGCAAAATACACTCCAAGTGCTTAAGCCAATTCAAAATCTAAAAAAAAAAAAATGAAACAAAAATTATAAAAATTAACAAAACGGAAAATGAAAAAAAAAAAAAAAGAAAATGAAAAAAACATTCGAATGAAATGTCGCTGCGTGCTCTCATTAGTCCTTGCAGTCTCTGAATGCGTACACAAAATCGCCAGTTTGTGGGCGTGCTCAAGCTGTGGGCGTGGCAGTTGCGTATGCGACCAAAAAAAGTAAACCCAAACGTTTAAGAGAAATTTGATATTGTTCTGTTGAAACTAATAGTAAAAGTAAAGCTTGACAGCCGCATAAAAAAAGAAAGAAAACAAAAAATATTTAATTATATACTAAAAGTCATTACTCTAAGTTTAATTAATATTTAGTTAGTAAGCCTAAAACAAGAAGATACCAACCACACACACAATTTGTAATGCATAATTATTTTTGTTTTCTATATGCAAGTGGAACATATAACTAATATTATAGAGTGAAAAAGAAAAAGAAAAGAGAAATAATGCAAAAACTTTATATAAATATTGTATAATACTAATACTAAATTATTTTGTTATACGAAACAATAGAAATGCATTCAACGTTTTTTGTAATTCTATTAAATTAAAACAATTTAAACGAGAAATAAACCTTTACAAAAAAAAAATTAATAACAAAATCTGACATGTGTTTTTATTCACAGGCGTTAATGAAATATTTTCAATTAATATGTATAGACAAAAGTGTAGCAAGTATTTTTTGTCGATTGGCTTGCGTTTTTTGTTCGCCTGGTAATTTGCTCAGTCAATCAAAGAAAGTTATGTCATTTTGAGCTCATGAAAGTCTGTAGAATCGAATGGAAAAATCGATTGGTCGAGATCTATATCTCGCGTAAATAAGGTCAGATTGTGCCATTTTGATGAAAATTGGTAAAATCTCAAAATGAAAATATTTGAATTGAAATCGATAATCGGGCTCCGTACGAGTTCAAAAGGCTATATCATTCGAAAATCTGACCATATTTACCTGAAATATGGTCCAATCTGTGGAAAGCTTTATATCTACAATCTTGTTTCTATAACACGTTTTTATGGATTGTTTTTAAATAAAATATCATTTTATGTAATGGAATTGAATTTATTCATTTTAATTTTGTTTTTTTTTTGACACATTGAAATTTGGTATTTGTAGTATTTGCCTTGCAGATCCAAATGGATTCCTATATTTCTGTTCTACACAAACATTTTATTAGTTAGACATTTAAATATGTGAATGCAGACAATGTATGTGTGTGTGTATATATTATAGTTGCTAGCATTATGTACTTGTAATATCGGTTCTGTCATATGAAACTGACTAGAATGGCGCAGATAATTGGGGCGTGCCCATCATTTTTGTGCCTAACGAATGACCTTACATAAGTTTACTCTTTATTTAATTTTGTCATGTATCTTGTGCTAAGCTGCCACAGAAAGGAACGTTAGAGGGGGGGAATAGTTACGAGTTAAACATTTATGCTAAAGTTCAAGTGCGAATTGCAGTTTATGCGTTTAGTAAATATCAGTGTGTGTTTGTGTGTGTGTATGTGTGTGTGCATGTGTGTGTATGTCAACGCCAGCGCTGCCAGTTGGTGCTGCTAAATATACATATATTTCGGAACGCCCTTAATGTTCTCCTAACCAATAATATCGTGGGCACAATGCCGCAAGTCTTTTGTAAGCCTTTACAAATACAAATAGATGTATCGTTATATAATAAACATAAAACTAAATACATAGTTATAAATATACATATACAATATAGATCAATTGAAATTCGCTAAACCACGCTCGCCATACAGCTAAACTAAACATAAGTCAATCAATCAATCAATCATCATCTGAACCAACTAGTTGGTTCAGAAATTCACAGAAATTGAGTGTTGCACAAAGTAATTAAAATAAACAAACTAAAGGAGCGAGTTTAAAAGGGGGCGGAGTGTGTGTGTGTATGTGTGTGTGTCATTTTTGTTGTATATTAGCAGCAGGACAGCAGCGGGTGCAACAGCTTGGGCATTGGCATTGGCATTGTAAGCGTCAGGGCTGCGTCTTTTTTAATTGGAATCGTAAGCCGCAGCAGCCTGGTGCTGCGCCAGTGTCACCTGGCATGGCCGCTGCCGGCAGTTTGCGCCTTTGGCTGTTTGCCTGCACCAGAGCTGGCGCCACTGCCAGCTGCGGCGCCAGCTCCAGCTCCAGCTGCACCTGCGCCTCCTCCTCCAAGGGCAACTGCGCCCGAGCTATGCGCTGCCTCGGCGCGCTCGCCACGATGATGATGATGGTGATGATGATGATGACGCCGGCCGCCGCGATAATGCCGACGATTGTGATGCTGATAGTTGTTGTTTGTGGGCTCCGGCAGGATACGCTGAGTCTCCTGCACCACGGGCGCAAAGTTGCTGGCGGCAGGTTTGGCCGGTGCCGTGCTGCCGGCTGCCTCTGGAGATGTGGCCAGCTTCTTGGCAGCCTCGGCCTCTTCGCGACGCTGGCGCCGACGCACATCCTCTTCGGTCTCTATGGCAATGACGGTGCCGGCCTCGGCCTCGGCATCGATAATGGCTCCACGACTCTTCTGCTGCAGATACAGCTGCGACATGCGCTGCTGCATCTGGCGCAGTTCCTGTGTTACCTGAAATTCGGGCGCATTCTCCAGCTCGGAGGGCGGCATCGCGCACTTGAGGCTGTCCGACTCGTCGTGTATGTGCTCCCGGCAGACGGGGCACAGCGCCTGGAAGGGATCTGCAGTCTTTTGCAGCCAAGCCGGCAGCTTGTCGTACTCCTCCTGGTAGCTGCGACGCAGCGCATTCAAATGCCGTGCCAGGCAATAGCTGTGTAGGTAATGGAAGCACTCGGTCCGCGTGAACTCGTCGCCCTCGCTAAACCCATACAAACAGATGACGCACTGGCCACTGGGCAAATTGCTGCCGGTCAAGTGCTCCCGCACCACCTCAATCAAATCGAAGACAACGGGCAGGCCGATCGACTCTTTGATCTTGGCGTTGCAGGCGCTGCGTATGGCCTCCAGGCGGCCATCGTCCAGGCCGCGCGGACGCAGCAGCTTGAACGCGGGACTCACATCCGGATAGCCAGGTGGGGGCAGCACCTGGAGCGTTACACAAATATATTGCTGCTCGTCCTCCTCGCCGGTCAGCGGCAGCACCGTGGTCTCAATGCTGTCCACAGCGCCGCTGCAAGCAAGCCAGAAGCACAAAGCATTCATTCATATGGTGAGAGGGTTATGTTAGTTGTGGGACTCACTTGGTGCTGCGCGCAATGCTCACATCTTCCATGAGAATCGCCTCCAACGACTCCAGTTCCTCGTCTAGCAAACTGCCGCAAGTGCATAGGATGTGAAAAACAACAATAACTACATTCGATTTTAGCTCGATACTTACGTCTCCATGTTCGTTGTTACTTTTGTTGGGATATTTTGATTTGGTTTAGTGCCAATTTCTTAAATATTATAAAAAAATCGATTGAGACAAAAATTTTGCGCCTGACAACAACAACTCAAATGGGACAGTCGCAGCGCAACGTTGACAGGGTGGCCAGTCACAGCGAGCGCTAACATGAGGCAGCCGCTTTAGTGGCGCCATCTAGTGCCTGGTAGACGAAACAAGTGTCAACATAGCCTTTAGCAGCCAGTTTGCCACAGCAGTTACAGGCTGTTAAGGTAACGTTAAAAATACAGGTTCCCGCCCTTTTTGAATAATTAAATTATAAATAGCGTTAAAAAGAAATCACTCTCCTGCGGCTTCTTTTTTAAAAATTCGAATTTAAAATATCCAAATTGATTACTTTCTCTTATTACCCCTATAGCGTATTATGATTGTGCTCGTCCATATATTTATATTATTATTGCTACTCAATTTATTAGAGCGTGTGCCACTAACTGTTTTTTACGATCTCTTTCTAATTACCTTCAGTTAAATTGTATGCTTGTTAACATTTATGTTACGTAAAACAAAAACATACAAATGAATTTATGTTTATTATCTTATATTTTTTCGTCTGCTCACCCTCCCTCTGTTTCTTTTGTTTTTTTTTCTCTTAAAAACACTAATAAAAGGACCCTTGTGTCCTGCATACACACACAAACACACACACACATACAATCTCTCACACAGAGAAAGCTAAGCAGCCGCTAGGGGTTGGCTCTGTTTTGGGCTTGAATTTTTTGACATCCTAGCCAAAATAATTTATGAACTGAAAAATTTCCATGCAAGAGTCCTGCCGCCGCCCGGTTGCGTCAGTTCTCAGTTGTGTGGTGGGGTGGTGCCAGTGGTGGGTTGGTGGGTTGGTGTTGTTTTCTCGTACGCTTTTCACCACAGCGCGCCGTCGCAAGCTACTCGCGTTTGTTTATCGAATGAAGAAATGGAATTGAAATCGAATGAATATCGCACCCCGGAGCAGTCGCTATTAAATGGCACTGGCAGCATTTTCGTTGCTCGGCGCCAAGCGAAAAATCAGTTTACAACGGAAAGCACAAAGCGACGGTCGTGAAAACCGAGCAAAGCTATTTACGTGAAATTACAAATTTAAAAAAAAAAAATATATATAAAGAAAATTTAACGCAAATTTTGCGCTGAATAAGAAAAGTTTTTGAAATTTCTGTGCGTGCGCGCGTATGTGTGTGTAGTGCATGAAATTCCAAGAGTTGTCAGAAAGTTGGTCAACAAGGATAATAAAACGGCGCGCTGTCAGCTTGTGTCCTGTGTGAAAAAATCCGCCCCTAAACGGAACATCTAAAAAGAAGCTAAGCCAACCCAAAGTTTGGTACGTTGTGGCTTCAAATAAGAAGAGATGAAATAGCGCATAGAATTTCACAGCACTTTTATCCTGACGTGTCCTGCGCACGCAGCACATGTACAGAGACACACACTCACACACACACACACACTTGCACACACATACATATACATATGCATATAAGCAAAAAGGATGCACGTGCTTTGTCTTTACTGCGACTTTTACGACTACAATTATTCATTTTTGTCCCATTTTAAATATTTACATTTTTGTGCATTTACAATTTCGCTAAGCAAAGAAATGCGAATATACAAAATCAACAATCAGCGAATATTTTCATGCAAATTATTTGCACGACTCGCACGTCGAAGTTGTGTTCTTTTTTGTGCTGTTTTCATTTATTATTTATTGTTTTTTATCAATTTAACAAAGAAAAATCAAACAAACAAATTTATGCCCGTATGGAGGCAGCACGTGTTGCAGCAGCTCCAACAATTGCATAAAGCTCGTTAAACAAGATTGATGTGTATAGTATATTATATGCTTTCTGTAATTTTTGAGCAAAATCATGTGATTGATTTTTGCATAACCCATAAACATAAACAGTTTTTAGCCAAAGCAAATATTATATGTCCAAATGCTGTAAAGCAATTTGATTTTCCCCCAAGCTTTTCACGCCTGCTCTCTCGCACTCCTGCTGCCACGCTCCCTTTCTCGCTATCTCTCTCTCGCTATCTCTCTCTCTCTCATTCCTTCTCTCTGGGTCCCATCTTCGTTGTGTGGCGAAGGGAAATTGCATTGAGGCTGGCAATGGCATTGGCTGGGGGTTGTTCTGCCCAAAACCGTAGAAAAACCTTAAAAGCTCACACTCAAATACAACCCCCTTCCTCTCGGATACACATTCGCGTCCGCAACTGTAGCCGCAGCAGCCCAACAGACCAACAGTTGATGCTTTGCCAAAAAAAATAACACGAGAGTGAACTTTGTGCTTGGCTGATTGCATTTTGGCCCTGGCGAATGCCAGTCTCACTTTCCATCTCCCTCCCACTGCCGTGGCCAGAGTGAGAGCGAAAGTGCCGCTAAATTGTGCATACATATACATATATATGCCTGTAGAAGAGAAGCTCTATATAAGGTACTGGTTCTTTATTTCTTTTTTGGCATTTCCCGAGTGCAACCGTCAACGTGATGAATTGATCTTGTCCGTGCCGCAAAACTTTTCCGTGCACTTGCCCCTGAGAAGTGTCACACACAAATTTTTCGTAGTAGCACTGGGGAGTGCCTTACATATATCAGCTGCTTTTGCATGCCGTATAATCATGGGTTTCCATGGAAACGAAACCAAATAAGCTACCTTTTGCGAATCTAGAGCGAGAAACAGCTGAGTTACACTCGGCTACAGTTGCTTGGATAGTTCATCGACTTTCTCTTTACTTTTAATTAAATATATTTTGCATATGTAACGTTAACGAAACTATACAAATCATAAAATATTAATCTACAGCAGAAAACAGCTGAGTTACATGGGCTTAAAAATTAGTGAATATATATCATTGTATATCCCAATATATTTAAATTCATGGATAGTACCTGACACTCTACTCAATAATCGATGATGAGAGAAAACACATACAAAAGCAACAAATAGCCGAGTTCGGTTTGGCTTTAATTTGGTTCCATTGGAATAAAGACCAGCCGCCGGCTTTAATTGGCAAGTGGATGGTATCGGTATTTACTCTATAATCTATAGATATTCCATAATGTAAGACACCGTTTGTTGACATAAGATTGCACAAAGCAACGTTACAATAGGTTTACAATAAATGAATGGAACTTTGTTTCAGTATCTACCATAAAAAATTTACTCTATGGATTTTCGCTAGAAACGAAACTCAACAAATCTTGGAAATCTTAGAAACCTAGAGCAACAAAAAACAGAGCTCCAATAGATAATAGTTAGCGCAACATCTATTGAATATTCTAAAAACTTTCCGTAACAGAGCATCTATCAAATACTTAGAAAATGCATAAAGAAATCCATCCGTTGCATGTGTTTATATAAGAATTCTGGCAAGTTGCAATAGACCAAGGTTAGGGATGCATAAACAATACAAGCCAGATGAAATACAAAACCATTCAATGAAGCAGTTTAAGCCAAACCCAAAGCAGTTTAAGCAGAGCCAAGTGGCTCCAACCAGTCCAGCCCAGTCTATGCCGCTTCGAAAGACTAGCCCAGATTTCCAGGAAGCCAAAGCGGGGGTACGGGCACAAGCAAGGCCAGAGAGGGAGGGAGAGTGAAAAAAAGGTGGGCGGCAGCGGGTGCTGCACTTGAATTCTTCCATTGAATGTATATTACATAGATTTTCGGCGCCAAATGAATTACTTTCATTGTTAGTTCAGAAAAAATATCAAATAAGAACCTTGGAAGGGGTGCAACCACTTGCTCAATACTCTGTTCAGAGTTTTTAAAAACTGCTTATTGGAGTCGTTTGTTTGGCTTTTGTGACTTTTGTGGCCTGGGTGGATCCTTGAAGAAACTCAATAATCCACCTCTGCCATATATTTATATAGACTAGTATATAGACTAGTTTATATTCCAAATTTCCACCTTGCATAAGTACAATATACTCTTTATCTGTCTCCGAACAGGGTATACAAATTAGAGAAAATATTTGTTCAAGAGCAGAGGCCAAATGTAATGCCTGGGCTAGATTTCGCCGAGTGCCTCAAATTGCAAATGCCAAAATGAATCGAAACAAAAATAGCTGAAAACTATGTATATGCAGCTATTAACATGGCTATTGCCAGTGTGTTTACAAGTGCAGCGACTGTGTGTGGGCCTGGAAGAAATTACGAATGCGAAAAAAGCCATAAAACTTTGCAAATCGATTGTATGAATCGAATGTGTTTTATAGGCAATCACACTGCATGATTTATGTAAAATGGTTAAGACCCCAACAACTATCTCGCTCCGCCCCTGCATCTGCCTCGCCCTCTCACTCGGGTCAAGCCGCGTCGACTACCTCAATTCGCTTATCGATTTGCTCTGACAAACACGCCATGTCAAATGCACTCAGGCTCCCCCGTGTGCCATATCTGGCGACCCTTCCTTCCAAAATGTGTGTCTGTGTGTGCTTTGAACTTGCTGGAGCTAGCGTCAGCAGTTTTAAAGCAACCCCGCGCGCACCCTACCTTGGCCAAGCTGTTAAGGGGGTTGAACTTAAAATACCCTATAAACACAAATTAAGTGAACAGAATATGTTTGCGAAGCAGAAACATTTTGGGATTATGCAAGCAACCTATAAAAATGTTTATGATCTTTTCCTTCGTGCTCACTTATTTATTATTGATCTCGGGGTCTTTACCATCTAAGGCTATTAAATTTAATTTGTGACCGTTTACATAATTTATATGCTTGCATTCTGCTGCATATTACCACGCTCAAGAATGTGTACAATGATATTATAATATTTAACAAAAATATAAGTATATATATAAAATTAGTTGTATATATATAAATGCATATACTGAAAAAAAGAACATAATTTGCCTATTATAAAATATGCATAGCTATCGATCTCTTTATACTATAGTTGATAATGATTAGATACTATTGGTAGCCATATAAAATTATTGTTCAAAATGATAATAATACTTTTTATACTGAAAGCACATAAGGATATATAAACAAATATATTAGATACGGGGATATATAGAAAGCGTTGTTAAACCAGATAAAAAAACTCTGCACAGATTAGTTTATTAACAACAAGTAAGTATATCTATTCATAAAAGCTTTTTATAAAACTCTTTGACAAATTAAAGGTTTCGCTTCTAGCATTGACTACAGGGCATTTGCTAGGCGAGCATTGCGCCGAACGAGCGCTATTTCCTGTTTTAAATATAATTTTGGCACGACGCAATTTCGAAATGTCCTTTATTCGGGGTTTCAAGTTGAGCCGCACTGAAGAGACACCAATACAAATGCGAAATGGCAAGCTTTTCGCCAGCACGTGTGAATGTGTGTGTGTGTGTGTGTGTGTGATAGGTAGCGTCGTTTTAGGGGTTATGCGCCTGGTATATTTCCATTCATTTGAAATGTATTTTTGTGTCAGGTCGGCTAAAAAAGAATGCTTTGCTATTTGCGGCGTTCACTGGTGAAATAAATCTGTTTGCATTGCTCAGTTATGTAATTGAGCCAGCGAGGGGATATGAAAGCCATGTCTATATATATATATATATTGAATAAATTGATAGACCTTTTTGGTATAGTATTTGCTGAGCTATTCGCTTGGCCTATCCGAGTGGCAGTACAAAGCCGTTTGGCTTCTATTAGGCGTTCAGTCGTGGAGGCTATTATTGAGTAATTTTCTATAAAAACAGTTTTAGCATTGTGTTGCAGACCACTCAGTAGCTAACACTCATACACACACACACACACACACATGCACAGCGAGACGCTGACAGGGCCAGGGCCAGGCGTGTCCTGCGAAAAGCAAAAACTTGACAGCTTGAGCTTTATATAGAAAAACGCCGGCAGGGCGGCTGGGCGCTTAAGCCTCGAAAGACGTGGGCCAGCTGCCAGGTGGTTTAACAAAAACAAAGCAAAAAAAGCAGCAAACTGCGACGGAGAAATCACAGCTTAGCAACAACAACAACAACAACAACAACACAAACAATAAACAGAAAAGAACAACAATAGCCACAGCTCGGCGATGTGCAATCGCAGGACGTTTATTTTTGCGCTCTGTTTTACGTAACGTAAATGGGATTGTGTAATCAACGGAGTGAAAAGATTGAAATGCCAAGATGAACGGACAACAATGCGTGCGCAACAACAACAACAACTATTAGGACTAGATCAAGGGTATCCGCTGTTCGCCAAGCTAGAGAATTAAAATGCGTATTGTTTTGTTTTTGCCTTTTATGGCATGTAATAATATTTTCAATTATTGAAATAATTAATTACAATTATTGTCGGCCTATGAGTTCCGTAACATCTTGCCTATATGCCAAAGAAAATTGTACGAAATACGCAATAGCCGTTGGCTGTTCAGCTGCCAAAGACGTCATAGCGCATTACGTATACGCAATGTTGGACAAACCAAGAACATCGTCAACACACACATACACATCTACACACATAGTGTGCGCCTCCTACCTAGGCGCATTTTGGCATCAATGAAGCGACTGCCGCAGCAGGACGCTAACAAAAAGCTCTTCGCTTAGCTTTTACCATACTCTCTCGCTCGCCCTTTGCTAGCCTCTGCTCTATCTTTCGCTGTCTCTCACTTGTGGTGAGTTTCTATTCAATTTGTGCAGCTGCTGCTGCTTCTTGCTGCACAGCTGCTTACACACACACCCACGCAACGTCTGCTCTCTGTCCTTCCTACTCCCGCTCTCTGTGGCTGTCTCTCTCCCTCTGTCTCTCTCGGTTTGTCCATTACGCTTTAGCTTCCGCCTGGCATGACTTCTGCTAACGACAATTTTTACTACGTCAGCAGGCGAGACGAGCCTCCAAGTAAATAGCACACAATACATAGACAGAGACTGGCCTGTATATATGCATAAACACATGCATACATATGTGAGTGTGAAGTCTGTGTGTGTGTTCCTTTTGCTTTTGCTTAATTTGCAACGACCTTCTGCCATAGATTTGGGCAGAGTCCACCCTCAACTAAGCCACATGTTTTGAGTGCAGTTTGGGGCTATTGGCAGGGCGTGAACTTGGTGCAGTGACTGTCAAACTGTGGCACAAACACTCACACAGATATATTTAGCAGCATACATAAATGCATGTTTGTGTGCAGTTTAATTAGCTGCGACCTTTTCATGGAAAACCGTTGACATTTGACTTGAACTAAGGACAGCAAAAGAGACAAGGGAGCGCTCTTCAAATTGATTTTAGCAACTGGTACATTTGAATCTCAAAAATATAAAAGAATTGGACCCAACTACTTTAGCTAAGTAACTTAATAAATTTACGTATACAAGTTGGCACACAAAAAAATTGAACACGAAAAAACTTTCCTTAATGGCCAACAATTAGGGCAAAAATTGAGTTAAGCGTAAGGACACGAACCGCCCACGCGCAAAACACTTGAAGCCACAGCTCAAGGACGGGACACAAAAATGGCAAACTATAAGTGATTTACATATAAAATTCATGGGTACAACACACACTCACACACACATTAACACGCACATACCTACGGAACTTTGGCCAACTTATTGATCAAACAGCCAGAGTGTTCTTTAAGAGATGCATGCTGTGTGTGTGTGTGTGTGTGTGTGTGAGTGAAGGAGATATATAGTTAGGGCTGCAGAAAGAGATAGGGAGAGGGACTGCGGGAACTATAATATATAATACACTATAACACGTAGAAAAATAGGTGGAGTCGACTAGGTGTTACCCAGTATTCAATTCTGAGATATAATATTTTTGATTACTGCCAATTTGGCGTAGTATAATTATGCATGTATAAAAATATTTGGACCATTTTGATAACTAACTAACAATTTGTACTCTAAAATTTTTAATTATTTTCTGAAGTTAGATATTAAAAAAAATTTTAAAGCTGATACTAACGAGGGACTCGAACCTGATAAGAAAAACTAAATCAAAGTCAAAGACAACCAATTGTTTTAACATACACTGAGTCAACCTATTCCGTTCATAGCATCTATAGCCAAGCTGTGTAAAATTTTGAGAATCGGAGAAATAAATCTATAATAAGCTTTTAAGTACAGACACTGTTCAATTTGAAGCTCATGTTAATCGAAAACGTACTGAAATTAAACTGAATGTTAAATCAAACATGTTCTTTGTGAACTGCATTAAGGCGAAACATTAGCAACCCATGAAACCAACACTGCATTAATCAGGACTTTGTCAAGCCTTTGATAGTATATGCATTTGATTGCGTAGTATAAACCTTGTTTTGTCTGCCACAAACATATGCTCAACATTGTAATTTGATGACAACAGGGTATAATAAGCAGTTTTGTGCTCTAGATTGAGCACATGCAACAGCGCATTCGCTTGCCATATGTCTTGTGGCACACACAATTCTCTAGAGACTGGATATTCACTTTAATTCCAGCAGAGTTGTGTGACCATAAGCCAAGTAAGTTGACGGCTTTAGAAATTAAGGTCTAATTCTCTTTATTATTATTGCTATTCGTACAGAAAACGGCTCGTTGGAACGGCAACAATCAGAGTTAACTCCCAGCGTTGATGGCTGCCACGAAAATCATTGATGCACCGCGTAACGGTCACGAAATGGCGCCCCTGAACACAAGAGCACGGGGCGATGGCACCCACGGGGTGACCATTGTCCTAACCGCACCGCAACGCAATTCGGTGCAATCGGTGGATATACCAGGAGAACCGGATCGCGCCGCCTGGAGCGGCAAGATGCAGTTCTTCCTCAGCATTATTGGCTATTCGGTGGGGCTGGGCAACATCTGGCGTTTTCCTTATCTGTGCCAACAGAATGGTGGCGGTGAGTATTACCTATCTATCGAATTACCCAAAGCGTCTCCGGTAACAGTCGTTGATCGACCAAAAATTTGCAATATGTGGCACTTTTTTTCCTTCTGTTTTTGCATTCGCGTGCGCCAATCACTGTCTGCACTTGGCAACCCGATGATAGCTGACAAATCCCCCGACCAGTTCCAATTACAATCCCAGTTCCACTCCCAGCTAAAGTGAATCGGCACCTGTGCGACGTTGATAAAGCTAATTACTTTGACTGCAGCTACTCATATTGGGTGCAGTCCTTACCAGGGGCGGAGCATATTATATCGGACAATTGGGCGCATGTTCAAAGGGGTCGCGTATTTGTATTGGCTAAGAAATAACATTAGAGCTAAAATGTTCTGTACGTTAAAAAATATTTGGAAGCAACCTTTTCCGCTATTAGAATAGTCTTCATTAAAGTCTTGCCTCGCTTAGTTACATTTTCTAAGGTTAGCCCTTTTGGGCTCATTCACTTCAAGTCCGCTCCTGTGTATTAATTAGCACTGTAATCGAAGAACCTAGAGCAGCATATCGGGCGCCGGTAACAGCTTTTTGTCGTCCCCAAACAACACTTTAATCTGCCAGCTCCTATTATTAGCCCTTTCAGGCGCCTTTCACTCCAAAGTCCGCTCGTGTTCTCTATGCACATACATAGCCGATATCATGTGACTGCTAAAGCTAATCAAATGCGCAGCTTTGACAATAACATTATGAGATTTAATGTGAACTAATTGCAGAGCTTACGATGGGTGAATGGTTCGTATGGTGGGTTTGGGTGGGCTGGAGGGCGGGGGTTATTTGCACATTACTTTTGCGCCTGCCGGAAGAGCTTAATTGGAGGGTCTTTTTTGGGCGGGCCGGGTTGGACTTGCGCGCCTCGCGCCAAACAACGCATTTTTATTGAAAGACACATTCCAAGCTTAAATCCCACACGGATCTAATTCAATTACGAACGAGACGAAAATAAAAGAAGCAGCCGGCCAACGCATCGAACTGCAAATACCCTAACATATAAGCTGAGAAGCTGGAAATATGTAAATGGTTTGGGGATAAATAATCAACTGCGTTTTGGATTTCGCTTTACATTTTTTAGGTGCATTTCTGATACCCTTCATGATCATGCTGATATTGGAGGGCATACCCTTGTTTCTCATCGAGCTGGGCATTGGCCAGCGCATGCGTTTAGGCGCTCTGGGCGTGTGGAATACCATACATCCCTGGCTGGGCGGCATTGGCATCTCCTCGTGCATTGTCACGCTCTTCGTGGCGCTCTACTACAACGTGATTATCACGTGGGTTTTCTACTATCTGTTCAATAGTTTTCGGGTAAGTTCAAAAGCCGCGAATATTTATTTCCATTCCTAAATACACTTTCGTTCTATGCTCACAGTACCCGCTGCCCTGGTCCACCTGTCCACTTAATGGCAGCGGCTTTGAGCTGGAAGAGTGCGCCAAGTCATCGGAGACTACATATTTCTGGTACCGCACCACCTTGGATGCGGCGCCCTCGATGGATGAGCCCGGTGGCCTCAAGTGGTGGATTGTATTGTGCCTGCTGCTCTCCTGGACCATTGTCTTTTTCATTGTCATGAAGGGTATACAGAGCTCCGGCAAGGTGGTCTACTTCACATCCCTCTTTCCCTACATTGTGCTCACCATATTCTTCGTGCGGGGCATAACGCTGCGCGGCGCCGGCGCCGGTCTGATGCACATGTACACGCCCAAGGTGGAAAAGCTGCTGGAGCCGACAGTTTGGCTGGATGCGGCCACACAGGTCTTTTACTCATTTGGCCTGGCCTTTGGCTCGCTGATTGCCTTTGGCAGCTATAATACTCCCAAGAATAACTGCGTCCGGGATGTGCTGCTGGTGTCTGTTTGTAATGCAGTCACCGCAATCTATGCGAGTGTCGTCATCTTTGCCATACTCGGCTTCAAGGCCACTGTCAATGTGGATCGCTGTGTGGCCGGGTAAGTTAATATACCCTATAAAATGACTAAAAGAGGGTTACGGGCCTCGTACCAAGGCATGTAACGGGCTGAAGAGGGTATCTCCCATCCCATCTATACTTATTCCCAGGCAGAGTCGATGTAGCCATGCTCGTCTGTTGATGAAATTTTTACCATATGCATATTCATCCACTGCGTATAGGGTAACTTCCCTGTCGGGCAATCTCAAGTAGTGTACACTCACTTGTTAAAGGTTGGGGTCGTGTCATTGCAAGTTCAGCAGCACGCATCAGCGGGCAGCGAATTGGGTGGGTCAGTTAATCAGTTAGTCGGACAGTCAGCCAGCTTGTCAGTCAGTCAGTCGGTCAATCAGTCCATCGCCTAGTTGTAACCGCATCGGGCGGCGGCTTTGTCTATCTTTAGATTTGTTATTTGTTCATTGATAGGCCAATCGATACGCGCTGCTCTGTCTGTCCGTCTCCCCATCTGACCGTCAATCTGTCAATTTGTTTCAATTAATGGGCGCTGCACAGGTTTCTGCATTGTGTCCCCGCCCTCTCGCCCATGCCTTGAGTTATTGACAATTGCTCTTGAACTATTAGCGTGGCCCATTTGAGCTGGTGTATTGGTATTGAGCTTAGGTATTGAGCTACTGTTCGAATTGATTTTAGCTAGCTATCCAATAATATCCCTCTCTCCTTCTTTCTCTTCCTCTCTCTCTTTCTCTCTCTCTATTTATAGCAATACGGATATATTGGTCAAGCATGCGCTGCTGCCCTTCAAGAATGCCAGTACCGAGGATTACGAAACAGCCATGCATAAGATCAATGCAACAGAATTCAGCTTATTGCATCTCAGTGAGTGCAGCCTTTCCAAGGAGCTAGACAATGTAAGTAGTATATATGACATAAAATTTAACTTGGAAAAAATCTGGATATAAGTTTCTGGTTGCTTTTCATTTAAACCTGAACCTGAAGTACATTATTTTCAAGAAGATAAACCCATATATTTTCTATATTCAATTACCTTCTAACTGTTTAGGCCGCTGAAGGCACCGGCTTGGCATTCATAGTCTTTACCCAGGCCATAGTCGAGCTGCCCGGCGCACCGTTCTGGGCGGTGTTGTTCTTTACCATGTTACTGTCGCTCGGCTTGGGCTCACAGATTGGCATTCTTGAGGGGATGCTGTGCACGTTGTTCGACATTGACATCATCAAGCGGGTTAAGAAACAACATGTCACTGGTGTGGTATGTCTATTCTGCTTTATTGTCGGTTTCATCTTCTGCACAGGTGCCGGCGAATATTGGCTTAAGATGTTTGATTCATTTGCCGGTACAATTGGTTTGGTTGTAGTTGCCCTAATGGAAATGATTGCTGTTATATTTATCTATGGACATGAACGGTAAGTCCTGACACCCAAATATCAATACACATTGTTGGCTTACATGTCCTTTCACAGCTTCACTGAGGACATCTATCAAATGACGGGCTACAGACCCGGCTTGTATTGGCAGTGGACCTGGCGCTATATTGGTCCAGTTATCATGGTGTGCATATTGGTCTCCTCCATAGTCTTTATGGTCATACGTAATCCTACATATGGCGCTTGGAATGCCGACCTGGTATGCGTATACCTTCAATTTTCCTACATAGTTTATTAATATTTTCCATGGCACCTTCTAGGGCGTTGTTGAACAAAAGAATTATCCCAGTTGGGTTATGGGCGTTGCTCTGGCAATGATCCTGGCTGGTGTGCTGCCCATGCCTATTGTGTTCCTCATGCGCAGCTTCCAGTGCCTTAAAGTGGATCTGGACATACACCAAGGCTCCATTAGGCGAAATGAGACGACTGCCTCAACCAAGGAAATGATTGACAATGATGATGATGTGAGTGACAAATGGTTAAGCCTGTGTATTACCTTCCTTTTTACGGGATCTTTACTTTTGTATAGTACTTGTATCTAAATTTTGGTCCAAGTAATTTGTTGTGTTTGTTTTAAACGTTTCATTTTTTGATACGTATTTAAGCTAAGATACTCTTTCTCTCTATCTCTATCTTTAAATGTAACTAATTGTCTTTCTCTCACTCAATGACTCATCCCACACATTTACGCTTGTTTCTCTATCTAAAAATGCTTTGAAAAAATACCGAAAAAATACCGAAAAAAATAACATTCATCACGCTCTTAACGCGCTCAATGTCGTTCAGAATTTGAGTCCGGATATGCCACCGCAAGATTTATTAGCGGCCACACGCTTCACAATTGGAGACTTTGAAGTAAGTTGTTTGTTGTCCCGCCCGAAAACCCCAACCGTACCAATCCCTGAAATACACGCCCCTTAACTTGCTGCTAATCACAAAATTTACTACTCTCTTCTTTCTCTCTCTCCTTCCTTTGTGTTCTACTCATCTTACAGAACTAGACATTAAAGAACTAAACATGTTTAAAAAAAGAATACCTAACCTAACCATTGAACTAACTCAAAAAGTAGCCTCCCGAAAAATAAAATCCGTTGCAACGCCTGTCACCCACGCTGTAAGGATAAATTTCACGTGCCGTCTGCCTGACTAGAAAAAACCCTAACAAAAATCTCACCAATACGTTACGTACCGATTCGAACCGATTCGCATACGCCAATAAGTAAAATATTAATACTTTAAAAAAAACGCACAGCAAATACTCAACTATAGCAAAAAAACAATCGCAATGCCATTTAAATATAATACAGTTCGATAAACGATAAAGCGTTAAGCTTCAAAAACACTAGATAACTCGTCAGCGCCTTCTTTACAAAGAACAAGAAAAACTTAAACGTAAAACAGAAAAAAAAACCAAAAACAAAAACAAAAAACGTTTACAATTATTTACCAGCAACTTAGTTTAGTGCAATGTTGATAAACGAAATGATAACCTAAAGTTTAGACATGTATCATTCACCTAGACAGCTCAATATTTAGGCTAAGTGCGTCAGCTGCAGCTCAAGGGGCTGCTAAGCGAATAAAAGACTCTTTAATTTGGCTAATGAGAAGGTTCAGTAATGCAAACCAAGAAGGTAAAGTACAAAATTATATCGAAAATTAATGCGAATTTAAAACCCAATATTTGCCCAACTTTGTACTCTTGTTATTATTTTTTGTTGGTTTTGTCTTGTACCGAGTTTCTTCTAAAGAGTTCTAGTATTTATTTTTCAAGAATTTTATTATGGTTTCTAAGTGTTTAAGAAAACGGCCACTGCAAGCGCTGCATGCAGCGCCCTCTGTTGGTTGTTTTTAGAAAGTGACGCTTTTCGAGAGCTTTTTGTCAGCTTGAAGCTTTGTGATATTAAGCATTCGCCGCGTGTTCACATGTTTTGTGTTTATCAACAAATAAACTGAACATACAATTATTATTTTTTTTTTAGCTTTATATTTAGAATTTATAGCTGAAAAGAAATAAAGTGAAATATCTTAAAGAATTTTATTTTAAATGAAATATTCTCTCTTTGATAACAGGATGACGATGAGGATGATGAGAATGACTTTAGTGGGCCCGCGTTGGGAGGTCATGTGAAGACTCAGAGCGATTTCTCAGAAGATGATGAGGAGGACAAGCCCATGACAATGCGTATGATGATGATGCGTCCAACAACAAATGCAAACACGCCCCTTAAAAACCTGGGCACCAATCATCTAAATGTGCCAACAAGCAGAAAGAAGAACTACAGAAAGCACGCCTACGATGTGTAGACAAGCAATTGTGGCAAGGGTAATCGACCTCTTAATTCTAGAGGTTAGGTAAAAAAAAAAATAAAAAATACAACAAAAAAATATAAATATATATTTAGAGAACGACATGCTATATATAAATGTGGTGTTGCGATTAAAGCGCAAAACCATTTATATATTTACACTAAGTATTTTAACATAATTTATATTTAAAAAAAACCTTAAGTTAAGCAAAAAAACAAATTAAACAAATATTAAACAAAGAAATTTAAGAAGATTTAAAAAAGAAGCTATAAATATGTAAAACAAAATTGTTAAAATAACATTTTAATGCACACCTACACACACTCACACACAACTAAACTATGTACAATGAGCTACAATTGAACTAAAAACGGGTCTCTGAAGAGAGTTGAAAAAAAAATGTTTGTAATTTCTGTTGCCGTAGAATTCAGTTGAAAACTGTTTTTTAGAATTTAACTGTTGAGCACAATACAATTGTATTTGTGTCTTTATAAACCCTAATCTATATATATTATATATATACTATATATAACCCAGTTGTATACCCTGCCTAGCCATGAGAACTTTTAATTGCAAAACGCTTTTTGTAGTGTAACCCAAAGAAACTTTTAACCAAACGCATTTCCAAGAGTTAAACTCATTATTTTTATTTACTTAGTAGCATTCAGTTTCAAGTTGAACTTATCGCGCCCAAATATATATTCAGTTTAGCTCTATACAAAGTTAATTTAAATATATACATATATGTATATGTATAAATGCAAAAGTATTGTAATAATAATAAGAATAAATTCATAAATTTAATATGAAAATAGATCGAAAAGGTGAGGCAAGTTGAAATATTAACTAATGAATTACTAGTTCAGTTGTTAATTGCAAATAAAATAAGAAAATACAAAAATACCAAAAAAACGACAAAAATACTAAAATTTACACGCAGACAAAATAGAAAAAAGTAAAAAATAAACAGCATGGCATGTGTGATATTCTAAATAATATCCTCGAATTGTAGTCTAAGGAAATATCATCATTTATGTTTACGTTATACAACTTATTTTCACATACAGCCACTTGCTTCAACCTAATCTCAAATATTTCAGTATTTTAATATTTTCTGCCCTCACATGTTTGTTTTTCACACACTGAAAGTATTTTCTTATATTCAAAAACAAAAACAAAACTGCTGTGAATAGTTTTAGTGGTTGTAAAATGCTATTACAAGAGGAAGAAGAATTACAAGAAAATAAACGTTATGATTAATTATATAAATAGTTCTTAAGACGGCATTAAATTAAAAGCAAACTCATACACTCACCTAAGTTCCCTTGATCAGGTTCTGACAACATAATCCTATTTCAAATTCGGTTTCCGCAAAGCACTGCAACAGGTTTTTGATAATCAATCCAGAAAACACACACATCCAAAGAAAAACTAGAATTTCTCGATTTTGGATCAGGCAAGATAACTGTAATCAAAAGAACATGGAATTTTTCAAAGTACTCGTAAACGGCAAACGTTGAAGACAATAAGACATAAAATTAAAACAAAGAATACTTATGATATGAGCCTCGTCGAGATTTGTGAATGTGGGCCACCAACTTGACAGTTTCGATGGGCACGCAACTTTATACAGAGATTTTTATTATTTTGAATTTTTTCTAAAAAAAAGATTTTGAAACACAAGCAGAAAAACAAATTCCTTTGCAGTGAGAAGAATCCTACGTATAACCAGTATCTGGGAGGGCTATATAAAAAAAAATTTATAGAAAATAAGCCCACCCAAAGCTCGATTAATGTACCTTGCGCAGAGACAGGTCGTTGGTTAGTTGGGTTAGTTGATAAGCTTGTAGACGGCGAGCTAGAGCTAGAGAGCTAGAGTAAAAAAGCCAAACAGTTGTTTTGTATATGTTAGTTATATATATCTAACTCAAAGATTGATATAGGAACTACTCGTAAGTGTTATAAGCATAACGCTCCGCAGAAAAGTTGAAGAAGCATACGAAAGCCACAGTTAAGTCCATCACGTCATATCCTCGCAAACCGTAAACCGTAACCAAATAGTTACCAATTCCAATTGTATAGTTTATTCTCACCTTATTCCTAACTCGAACATACGATCCTATTAACATATTGTATATCAATTATTGTCGTAGGGCTTAAGAGAACTAAGCGATAATATATATATATTTACATAAATATATATATATATATATATATATATATATATATATATATATATACATAAATATACAATTATGTATGCGAACAAAATGGACTCGTGTAAATTTGATTGTATTTAAAACGTAAAGTGAAATTACTTATGTGAAACATTATTATGATATACGCAGGTAATTATTATTTAAATAAAGATATATAAATAAATAGTGCGTTAAGTTCAAGAACAAGAGAAGATTGTGTTTAAATGAAGAACTTATTTATGTAGTGTTTCGATTTTGGCCTTCACCCAAAATAATGCATTAGTATTTACTGGATAAAATAATTATCTTATTATAATAATCAAAAACAAAGCATTGCCTAAATTTCTAGTAAAAAATTTCTTCAGTTTCCTCAAAAAAATAATTATTAGGGTATTGCTGACTCGTCTTACTTTTCTGGCGACAAATAAAAAATTCTTTGTAATATTTTCTACAGGGTCTCGAGAACGAAATTTATGAAGGTGTGTTATTCTATTCATTACGATTTTTTGCTGTTTTTTTTTCTCTAAGTTTGTTTTCATATTTGTCGCCAGCACTTTGCACTTTGAGAGTAAAGCTTGCCAAAAGCTGAAAACGCTCATTCACAGATTAGGCTTATCGTCGGGTTCAAGTTTCGTTTGGCAAATTTGGTTTTTGCAGCGGTGCAAAAGTAGCACTTGATAAGTCAAAAAAAGGCAACGCTCTACCTCTCCCTTTTTCATCATCTGTCTTTATCTCGCTCTCTCTCTCTCTCTCTCTCTCTCTCTGTTTTTCTTTCACTCTTATTGAACAGCGTATTATGCAAGTGCAGCGTGTGTGACCTTAGTTCAAGCAATTAAAGCGGCTATAACGGTAAAAATACCATTTAATATGACATTGAGTCCCTGAAGAATGCCGCCTCGTACGCGGGAATAATATTAATAAACATTTTCGATATTGATCAATTGATAAGCTTGGCATATGTCAACAAAAGTGAAATCTTTGTTAACGAGAGTTACTTATTGACTAGAAGATGCCCTGTACAGAATTTTCAAATAAATACCTCCAGTCTGGGGCCTTCCGGGAATTACATAATGACAGATCTTATTTCACTCGGTGTCTTGTGCTTGCACAAGATTTTCGTAATGGTATAAGATACCCTTCATATTATTTGAGAATAATTTGTTTGAGCCGAAAAGGCTCTAATGCACGACTAGCAGATCCCCTATATTTATTTTGAGAAGAAATTTAGGAAAACGAATGCTAGAAAATCAATATTTCAACTTTGTATATGTATATTTCTAAGTAGCCCTTTTACAATCTACTGCTACAGGGTATCATATATACAACATTGTGTAGTATCCAACAGTCGTGAAAAACTCTTAGTTTGCTCTTGGCTTTCGCTTGGTTGTTTAGAAGCTTCTCATTCAATATACCCTTTGCTGTGCACTTACTGCAGGGTATGAGAAATCAAAGCCGTGTACAACAACACGATAAGCCGCGACTACTGCTGTTTCTTCTGCTGCTGCTTATGGTTTTGATGTCAGCTGATGGATGATGTAAGCTTAATTCGGGGCAGACGCGCAGCAGGCAATAGGCCACAAACATTGATAAGGAAGCAGTTAAATTGAAGGTGCGGCAAGAGAGCGTGTGTGCGACAACAGCTGAGCTGGGCGGATGAAGTTGTACGGCAAGTGAATCGAGTGTAGCAGCAGGAGGCGCGGCGTCTGGTGCATGCGGTGGGCGGCACGTAGCAAGCGGCAGGCAGCGTGGGCATCGTTGTTATCTTATCAGCCAACCGGCTGTGCATAAAAACAGAAAGAGCGCAAAATAAAGACACACACACATACAAAGCGAAATGGTAGACGAAAATGTACATATGTACAAATACTCTCAACCATTTGTAGTACATCTGTTACTTAGGCGCACCGGCTGACATAGAGTTTCAGTTTCGATTGTTGTGTGAACGCAGCAACAAGTGCCCCGGCAGCAACATCAGCAACAGCAGCGATAGCAACAGTTGCCGAAGCGCAACAAGTGCCACGCGTGGAGGCAGATACTGGCAACTAGAGAGAACGAGACCGAGACCGATACCGAAAGCGAGTGAGGGGGAGCAGTTGCAAGAGCTAAACGCGCGCCACGTCCCTTTAATTAGTTTTTGCAGTTATATTTAAATATAAATTCGCATTAAGTCTTCGCAATTTGATCAAATTAAACGTTAGCGCAAGACGAAATAAATTCATTAAACGACTGAATTCAATTGGCAGCAGCAACAGCTGAGCGCAAAAACACAAACAAAAAAAAAAGGAAAAAACGAAAAAAAGTGAAAGGAAACAGCCAAGGAAAAAGGGAAAATAAGTGTAAAAATGCTGTTAAAAGGCGTGCAACTGTTGCGCAGCGGGTGAGTCTCAAGACTTTTATATAAACTTTATAGCTGTATGTACATATGCCCCCCCTATATAGAGCATTAAGCGGATCAGTGTCAGACTGCGGTTGGGTCCAGGCACAGTCTGACCTTGGGTGGCCTACTTGGCTTACCTGTGCGTTTAGTTAAAGTCATGCCGGCAACTAACTTGGCTAATAACCTACCTCAAGCCTAGTCCATATTAGGGCAAAAGGGGTCTTATCGCGGCGATAAAGCCAAATCTTTGCTTCATTCAGTTAAAGCAGAGGAAAATTCCATGTTGATCGCACGCACACACAAAGCACAGTTGAAGCACACACACACACATGCAGTCAGAGCAACAGCATCAATGTTAATGCCGCAGATAGTCCACGGATCAATGCACTCGCTAGGGCAGCGACAATATTAAAAAGAATAACAACCACAACCAGCACAATGCCATCTAGAGCAGTGCGTAGGTTTCCAACCCTCTTCTTTCGCATATATGTATCTGCATATATCACTAATTCTGCCCAACCCTTGCACTGCCCCGCTCCTATTTATTATTTTACACACATTGTTTGTTTATAAACAACTTTTCACGCACGCTTTTGGCCCGTGCCGCCCCTACCCAGCCCTCTTTCCACAACAAGTTTTATCAATGAATTCGTGGCAGCTTTATTTAGTTGCTCACATAAGTTATTTTGTTGCGCTCGAAAGTAGACAGCATATTTTAGATTTGCAGCCAATTGTGGTTGCTATGGCAAAAACCGCAAAACAAATTTCATTATTTTATAAATTATATAAAAGTAAATTCATGTTAATAAAGTTGGTTAGCCAATTTCTCAATTGCTTTTCGATATCTTCATTTGAATCAACTTATAGGTAGCTCAGCTGTAAGCTTTTGATATTACGTTTTCTTTTAAATAAATTGCATCGTTTTTCATTTTCATTAAATTACATTTTGGCCTTTAATTCATTATTGTTTGACAGATTTCCTATTAATGTGTATTACCTTATGTGGCTGCTAGGATAGGTTGGCTCAAGAATGACCAATGGCCTTTCAAGATTTCATACCTAAGTTTAATTGTATATAAAATAACAACAGTTTGAAGGTGTGTCATGCATTACCTGACCCAACTTAACCCAACATAATCTAATCCGATTTAAGCCAAGTATCCCAAGCCAATATCCCGCTAATAACTAAACGCCGTAAGGCAATAATTTTATAGACTTCTATTTGAATAAATACAGATATTAAGATGTTATGTTGCGTTATGGGCGCTATCATTTAAATTCCAATCAATATCAATTGCCGCGAAGCTGTTTGCAATAAATGTAGCATACTTTCCAGCTGCCCACATAATACGAAATTCGACTTTGCTTCCGTTTACTTAAAATTTGCATAGCATACTTCTGTGGGTTTTAAAAGCTTCCGAAAGTCGAGCGTTTTCTTTGTTTGCCTTGTGTCTTGTTCTTTGTTAGCTTTACAATCAGCGCTCGTCCGACCCCTTAGCACGCCCCGTCGATTTACGCCCACGTTGTATAGTGTTTTTGTGTTTTTGTTTTGGCTCCGCTTTTTTTTTTTCTTTCTGCGCTGTGAGTGCTTTGTGTGTGTGTGTGTGTGAAGGAGAGAGCGATCGACGGGCGGCGCTGCAGTTGACCGACGGGTTCTGCTGCCGACTCGCCTTGTCTGCCCCAATGCGACTTGTCTGTGCGTGCGTGTGTATGTGTGTGTGTGCGTAAACAAAAACAAATTGCTGCTTGTATTGGTGTTGCCTTTGTTTTTGAGGGCGCTTAGCAACAGCGCCGGACACTGGTAAACAGTAAAGCGACGAGGAAAAAAATGAATACAAAAATCTCTTTGGCTTTTTTAGTTGACTTGTTTGGCTTGCTGTTGGCTTTTGTTTTGGTAGCCGCTTTGGTGTGTGGCGTGTTTTGAACTGGTCAGCACTTTGTGCCCTGACAAACAACCTTTTTTAATACCCTGTATTAGTTGAAAATAGGTAAATTAATCTGTAAAACCTAGTGGTCTGTATGTACGTATGTCTCAAAAACTCTCAAAGTCAATTATAACATTATGAGGACATCAAACCTAAACGTAATCTGTGTATATGGGTTCTACGGTGCCTCACCTGTAGATACCCTGTACTCAGCACTGCCCTACAAGTTAAGACGAAAGAATGTCATAGCAATTCAGCGCTAGGTAGACGGTATCTCCAAGTCATTCACCCTAGGTAAGAGTCCTAATTTTTGCACTCGCTTTGCATGGGTTTCCTCTTGGCAAGTAGTTTTTAAGAAGCACAGATATGTATCTGTCAGATACACTTCGCGTTCAGACGTTGTTGGGCTTGTGTAATCTATAGACAGCTGGCGACAAGAACGAATGTCTGAACTCTCTGAATGATAACCTTACACAACCCGGGCAACGGCAACAACAATGACAGCAACAATATTGATGTTATTGACGCTTCGCATTGGCATTTATTTATTTTATTTTGCTAGCCGAGCCCCCCAAGTGAGCGTAACAAAACAGAAATAGAAATACGACAAAAAAAAAGAGTAAAATAAATAATATTCGAATAATACAATAATATTTATGAATTTACCAGAACAGTAACAACAAATTAATGTTAAATAACATACGCAATTGCCATGCGCAATTACATGTGAATAATATTTTCCAGCTAACTGCACACTAAAAAGTCTCAATTTGTCATTGCTGAAAGGAAATGCTTGAACCCGAAAATTCACTTGCTAATTATGTCGCATTGTGTTTAGAGCTTATCAGTTAATTGTTTGTTTACAACAATATTGAAATATTTATCGCTCGATTTCGTTTCGGTTTCAAAGAATTCTATTTCATAAGATAAGATATGATAGCTAATGATCGTATATATGCTTTATTTCGATAGTTTTGGGTAAACACATGTTTTTTTATGAGCAATCGCAGACGTTCTCGATGACGTGTAATATTGCCATGCAAAAGTACACTGCAAAAATCATTTTTACAAGTAGTTTGATTTGCTGAGAACAAGTTTTTTAAGTCGGGTACCGGAAACGAACTGAGGGTCTGTCGTGTAACAGGTAGGCGCCACTTCAATATGCAACTTGTAATCTGAGACAAAGACAGTCAGTCCAAGATGGAGAGGGAGAGAGAGATAGAGAGAGAAAGAGAGAGGAAAATAGGGAGATAGAGCGATGGTAAGATTGTTATAAGATGGATTCTGGGTGGGTGGGTGATATCTTATGGTCTCATTTGCTTGGTAACTTTATCCAAAATTGGCTTAAATGGCAAATTCTATGGCTCTACTTTTATTAAATGGAATCTTTTTTGTACTGTACACATACACGCTATATATATGTATTACACGCTCTACGCGGATCTTAGCATTGTAATTGCGCCACAGAAACTTTACGCCCATCCACACAGATCACCCGCATAGACATTGATTGCGATGTTACGACGCGTATATTACCTACCATATAATATATGGAATACTCTGTAATCTACACAGACCTATAGGCGTTTATACGCCTACACTATGTTCGCTTATCAGTTGGTAAACACACGCAAACACAGACACACGGAGTCGTTGCTTCTGGTTGTCGCTTGGACTTTGATATGCCATGGAGCTCATTAATACAAAACACTATTCTCGGTTGAATAAAGCCAATAAGTACCAGTTCTCACTGGAACTCAGTTTTTGTGGGACAACATTCAGTTCAGTTTCTTGACCTTGGCCTTGGATAGGCGGCATATTAAGTTGTCCGGGTTGCCTAAGAACATATTGGTTAATATTTTAACGCTTTATAATCTAGCAGCTTCGTTATGTTAAAAAGATATCCTCTGCAGTTACTTGGGGAACAGTTCTATGAGCTCAAACGACTGGGAAAAACACAACACAACCTCAGCATAATAGCAATGCACAATAACAACCAGTTTTTACTGGAACTTTCAATGTGGGAGAAACATGAAACTCGATTAGCTGATCTTAAGCTAAATAAATTGTTACTAGGACAACTTTTGAACATGATCTTAAATAATGATTCTGATGGCAATGTAGTTGGGTAACGTTAGGCTATTTGGGCTAAATACACTGTGAGTTCTTAAAGTCCTTACCATAACTGTCAAGTTGCCAATTAATCAAACGAACCTATCTTCTTAAACATTTCTTCCTCACACTTCCTACACAGAGCATGCCTCCAGTCGATTGTATTGAAAAACATTTCTTGAGAAATAATTTAAATAAATTTTCTCAAGAAATTACTGCCATAATATTAATCTTTGCTGATTATGTGGGCGAACTTTATAGAATACAATATACTATTATAATAACAATACTGTAAGACACGCGCATGAAATTCGAACCCGGATCCCTTAAACAACTCATCTTTAAATATAAAATTTCAATAAAACCTATAGTTTTCCAGCTTTTGTGTAGTCTAGAGATTAGTATGTGACGTCAAAGCAGTGCCGGAAAAACCTTTAATAATTAAAAAAAACACTAGAAATAGTTATATAGAGCAAGCGCTTGTATATGGGAGGCTCGAAAAGTATCATATTAATTCTGCACTTCAGACCCAGAACGAAAAACCCAGCTATACAATTTTTCTCAGCGTCATTTCAGAAACGAACTGCTGATATTGCAATATAGTAGTAAATATTATGGCGGCTATAGCAAACTTTCCATCAGCTACCGTGCGGCTGAACGACTGTGACTAAGGGAAGACTCCCCCAGTGAAACAAAGGCGTCATAATAAAACGGTCTGTAAACAATTTGGCACGTAAATTTTGTAAGCCAAAATAAAGTAGAGTCTTGTTATTTTTTTCCAACTCATTACGCGATTTGCCACGCGTCGTCATCAATTTTTTGTTTGTTATTGTTATTGATGTCGGCGACAACTGGTTCAAACTGGAGCTGGAAAACTGGTTTAATTTCTGAGTGCTTGGCCGACTGGCGTTGGCCAGCTGATAAGAGTGAAAAAGGAGGGTCACATCGATGGGTAAACCTTAATATATGTGATTACGGCTGCCCTTAGGCGTTTGTGTGTGTGTGTGTGTGTGTTTTATTTCGGTCTGTCTGGTTCTGAAACTAAGGGCAAGGCAACGTGGCAAGTTAATGAACTTTTTCAAAGCCAAACTAAAGTTCTTTTAAGGTACAGACTTTCAAAGAGGAAAACATATGAAATCCATTTAAGATTTTTGAATTAAATCAGCCGAAAATGTGCAAGTATGAAATTCCCAATTCGGTTGCCACGCATCCAGAAATAAAAATGCCACGTCAAAATTTATATACACCTAGACATATATTTACAGATATATATATGCACTACATATACATACATATATAGTTGTTGCCATAGCGCTATAAATTTTCCATATATATACGTATGGAGAGAAAACACGCGCTTGTTAATTTTCTGCGTATTCATTTTCGCAACGCATGAAAATCTCAATAAAAATAAAAATAAATACACGGCGCAAAAATAAAATGTGCCACAGCAATGGCAACAAAGCAGCTGCCGGTACGTGTTGCGGCATGCCCACAAAATGGGCGTGCGGCCATATACCCAGCACTAAAAGGATACAAGGTGTATGTTAGGTTTGAAAAAAGTCAAACAAATAATGTAATGTTTAGTCTAGAGACTGATTATTGAGAGTATTCCGTAAGTCTATAAGAGTGTAACGTCTTCTAAGAATGTTTTTTATATTTCCTCTCTATAAACTTGTACATGAGATCTTTGTTGGCATGGGTTTAAGCAAGCTATTCCAGGGTATATTGTAGTCTATCCGACTGGATTGCTTTATTAACAAAGCATGTAATCAAGAAAAATTCCAAAAAAAATTGTATTCTCAAATTATGTTCTCAGGCTTTTATTGGATATAGTATATAGTCGAATCTCTCGCAAGTGCTGAGTATCTTGTAGTCAGCAGGTTTACATCAGGTTTTTAACAGGGTATATTATTGTATAGAACATCTCTTCCCATGTTAAATAACTCGAACTCTAGCTCCTTTAAATGATTTTATGCCTTAGGTTAGCTGGTCCAGAAGAACTTTATGCTTTACAGGATATCCCGACGCAAATATATTTTACATTCTTACCTATTTTAAATTAACAGAGCATAAAAAGCAGCAATGTGTGAGTGCGATAAAAATGCACTTGCCATTTGCAAAATGCCAAGAGAACAAACGCACGCGACAGCGAGTCGAGCGAAATAATGTTGATCCCATTTCAGATTCCCGTTCCCATTTCTAATACCCATTACCTTTCACACACCCAGACCATTTTTGAGTTCTAATCAGCTGAAAAGTGAGCTCTTAGTTTGTTTTGAGCGCGTGGCATCCATCAAATATTGTAGAAAAGCCTGTTCCGAATAATTAGCTACAAGTGTCAAAGCTGATAGCGAAAATATCGCTGTTGAAAATTTGTTTTAAATAAACAGAACTATTTAACTATGGTCAGTTCTTATCATTAGCAAAGTCATGGCACATAAATAATGCAAAAAATAAATACAATTAAGAGCCCCATAAAGCGGACCCATAAAACCCGCCAGACGGCAAACAGCAGCAGCAGAAATGTTCGTAAATATTTAATCTGGATTGGGTTGGGCTTAGGTTTCGCTTTTCGTCTTAAGTCGGAATGCAAATAAGCCAAAGAAGTTAGCAAAACTTGGTAAAGATAAATAATAGAGCTCTGCGTATCGCCATAAATGCTGTCAATTTGATAAAAACGAAACAAAAACAAACGAAAAACACAACACATACATTTATTAAATAATCATTCGTTTTAAATTAGCACACAAATTAATTAGCGCCTTGCGATTTGATTTGACGTAAACGAAGTAAGGTTAGTTTCAGCAAAAGCCCAAAATTTGTCGATTTCACAAGCATTATCATATAGTATATGAATATATATTTTATTTTCTATATACCCTTGGAGAAATTGCAAACAAAAATGCACAATATATATTTACTATATAGTGAGCAAGCATCTTAGGCAACACAGTGATAATTCTAATAATTCTTATATAAATTAACTGTTTACTGGGAAAAAAGAAAAGGTATCAGAAAAACTGTTGACAAATTTCCATTTAAGGCATTCAAATAATTTGTTGTATTTTAACAAATTCCTTTTCTCGTCAATTTAACTGCACAAAATCAACATCAGTTATTGTTATGTATAAAGTTTTACAACAAAATTTGGAAAAACATTTGATGCTTCAAGATGAGTATTATTTGTACAAGGTATATAAGTGGTATGTTTTAAAACCTACATCAAATTGAAACAGAACAATCTGAAAACATAAATATAATCAAGAGTCATTAAGACCTGATCATATCATATCCTGATCATATTTTAGTGGTGCTAATTATATAAAATTTACATACAAATCTGCATGATCAAGCAGATGATTTGTCTTAGTGATTTAGTCAATAGCAATAATAATGATAATAATATTATTTATCATAATACTAATGATATTAATAATACAAATAGTTATATTAATAATAATAAAAGCAATAATATTAAAATTAAACATAATAAATAATAATGGTAATACTAATAGAATTACTAATAATAACATTAATAATAATAATTATTATAACAATAACACTTATAAAAGTAATAACATTATTTATATTTCATCTACTTTTAAAGAGTATCTAAATTGTATGACTCTCCATGGGCTTAAATTAGTTTGGTGACATTTTAGATACAGCATCGAGTATTTTATCATGTGCCAGCCATGCAATGTGTGTTAATGACTCCAACCAGGGCACAGACCATATGCCACACACACACACATACACTCACACACCGTTCACATTCACATATATAGATATAGTATATACCACGCATGCATAGAGTATTTGAGTAGCTAAACGTGCCGCTAGAAAATGCGCAGTTTCAAAAAATTGTCGTCTGACCAACAAATTTAGATTACATAAACGCGTGTGACGTCACTAATGGAACAGGCCAGCGAACGACAATGGCGTGAATAGTCCATGGACTTTGTACCGCCCTGTCAATGTAACTAGAACTACACAAGTGCCCCAGATATCAAGATATGAGAGCTGATTAATTCGATGAACGAGAAAGAAAGAGTGAGATACATATATCATATATAGAGCTGTACCAGCGAAAGCGTAGAGATAAACTGGGGCCGGTTAGCAGTTAACTGAAATGTTTGGCCAAGTTTGGTGTTTGGCAGCAGTAGGCTAACAGCTGAGCTGAGAATCTTATACTCTAACCATAACAGAGAGCACAACATAATATAAGCAGCAGACCTAGAGGCTGTCTGATGAAACATTGCATCATTCAATTCAGTTCAGCCAGTTCAACGAGACGATCTCTTTGACCAGATGAAAGTGACGCAGTCATGACGCCTTCATATTTTTCACCTTCCCCCTCGCTCTCTCTCTTTTTGCCCCTCTCTCTCTCTCTCTGTCTCTCTCTCTCTATACGGCGGCTGTGTCGGAGACAATTGAAGGTTGTCTCTCTGCCGCTGCTGCTTTGGAATCCCCAAACCGAACGCGCTGTGCAAAAGTCTGAGCAAGTTTTTCATGAATTCAAAAACAGAATGAATTAAGAAAATCATTTAATGACTTACAGATGCTCTGTAATTGAAAGTACATCCATTTTTCTGCCATTTAGAGAACATTAGCTATTACTTAGCCATTGAAAAGTATAAATACCTACCTAATTCTAGCCTTACTTATTATGTGGATACATTACGAATTTGCTCTAAATCTCTAAGATAATCGTAATATTTTATATTAACTTAAAATTCATTTGTTATCTTCAAATGAATTGGGTTCGTTTGTTTTGAAGTATCTTATATACTAGCTTAGTCAAATGCTTAAGCTAATCTTTTAAAACTGTGCTAATAGTCAGAGTACGATTATTGAGAGTCATTTGTTTTGATCATTATCATTGTGCTTATACTAAGATGATGCTGATCTATATAAATATAAAAGCAATATATAAATAGTCTTCAAGATTCATAAATACAAAAAGTCATGATATAATTAGCCCATTACCTAAACCTATATTTATATATAGGTATATACCAGATATCGATTAAGATTTAAGGATAAGAGACAGGTACCGGACCCTCAGTTCAGTTCAGTTAATAATTTGATTTTAGCTCAATAGACTTAGAAACACTTCCAGTAACCACTTAACTGACAATACAGCCCCCCTCTGACATACAACCCCCATTTGGTTCCTTATGCTTTACAGGGTATAGGCAGAAACCTGCACTACCAGCTAACAGCTGATTAGCCAGTTTTCGTTTTACAATTGTGTGTGGGATAAATGCGACGGCGACTCGGCTCTTTTTTCCAGCAGCTGGGGCGCGCATACTTAGAATACTAATTGAGGTACAGTTGTGCACAAAACGCGTCGATAAGACGGGGTACGGCCAGCGTCTGTGCAGGCATAATGGTAGCCGCTAAAAGCAGCTGTGCTAGGGTTTGAATCTGCGCCCAGTCTCCAATTAGGTAGCCACTGATCTTACTTACTGAACCAAGAAAATTCTTTTCTTCCACAGGCTGGCCGCTCCGCCAAAGTGCTACAATTTTCGTCTGGTCTGCCGTGCACTGTCCGTGCAATATGGGGATGCCAAGACGTTGACGCCCGCTGTCCGGGACTATGTGGATAAGTGCGTGAATCTGTGCCAGCCGGAACGTGTGCACATCTGCGATGGCAGCCCGGCGGAGAGCAAGCTGCTGCAGGGTCTGATGCTCAAGCAGGGCACAATTCTGCCGCTGCTCAAGTACGAGAACTGCTGGCTGGCGCGCACTAATCCCGCCGATGTGGCACGCGTCGAGTCCAAGACGTTTATTAGCACCGACCGCAAGGAGCAGACGGTGCCGGTGACGCCCAATGCCACACCGGGCACGCTGGGTAACTGGATATCAGAGACGGATCTGCAGGCAGCCATCGCAGAGCGTTTCCCTGGCTGTATGAAGGGTCGCACTATGTACGTGATACCCTTTAGCATGGGACCGGTGGGCTCGCCACTCTCCAAAATAGGCATTGAGATCACCGATTCGCCCTATGTGGTCGAGTCCATGAAGATAATGACGCGCGCCGGAGCCCCAGTGCTGCAGGTGCTGCAGCAGGGCGATGGCCAGTTCGTCAAGTGCCTCCACTCGGTGGGCACACCGGCTAGTGGTGTGCAGGCTCAGGCCTCCTGGCCGTGCGATCCCGAACGCACCATCATTCTGCACAAGCCGGCCGAGAACGAGATCGTCTCCTATGGCTCCGGCTATGGCGGCAACTCGCTGCTGGGCAAGAAGTGCTTCGCTCTGCGCATTGGCAGCACCATTGCCAAGCGGGAGGGCTGGCTGGCCGAGCACATGCTCATCCTGGGCATCACTAATCCGCAGGGCAAGAAGATTTACGTGGCTGCCGCCTTTCCCTCGGCCTGCGGCAAGACCAATCTCGCCATGATGACGCCCACTTTGCCGGGCTACAAGGTGGAGTGCGTGGGCGACGACATCGCCTGGATGAAGTTCGATGCACAGGGCGTGCTGCGTGCTATTAATCCCGAGAATGGCTTCTTTGGTGTAGCGCCTGGCACCTCGCGTGCCACTAATCCCATTGCCATGGACACCATCTTCCGTAATACGGTCTTTACCAATGTCGCCTCCACTTCGGATGGCGGCGTCTACTGGGAGGGCATGGAAGAGGCTCAATTGGCGAATGTTACTGTCACCGACTGGCTGGGCAAGCTCTGGTCAAGGGAATCGGGCAAGCCTGCCGCACATCCCAACTCCCGATTTTGCACGCCCGCCGCCCAATGCCCCATCATTGATCCCGCCTGGGAGGACAGCGCTGGCGTGCCCATCTCAGCTATACTTTTCGGTGGACGACGTCCAGCGGGCGTTCCTCTAGTCTATGAGGCTCGCGACTGGGCACATGGCGTCTTTATAGGCGCCTCAATGCGCAGCGAGGCCACCGCCGCGGCGGAGCACAAGGCCAAGGTTATCATGCACGATCCCTTCGCAATGCGTCCCTTCTTTGGCTACAATTTTGGCGACTACCTCGCCCATTGGCTGAGCATGGAGAAGCGCGGCCAGGTGCCCAAGATCTTCCATGTCAACTGGTTCCGCAAAAGTGACGAAGGCAAGTTCCTGTGGCCTGGATTTGGCGACAATTCGCGCGTGCTGGACTGGATTTTCCGTCGCGTGCAGGGCGAGAATTGTTTTGAGGAATCGCCAATTGGTCGCCTGCCCAGTCAGGGCGCTCTAAATGTTGCCGGCCTGGCGGGCAATGTGGATCTCAAGCAGCTGTTCGAGCTGCCGAAGGTGTTTTGGCAGCAGGAAGCCAAGGAAATCGAGCAGTACTTTGACGCACAAGTGGGCGGTCACTTGCCACGCCCTGTGGCGCAGCAGCTGGCCGAACTGAAGAAGCGCGTGGCCAGCATGTGATGTGTTGTTGCTCCATTTTGGGTTCCATAGGTTATTGGTAATCTTAGTTTAATAAAGTCTAAAAAAAAAAAACCAGCAACAAGTTTTTTGTACCATGGCATTTCATGCCTGCCTCATTATATGGCACGGGGCGTGGCTTATCGGAAGAGAGAGTGTGTCGGGAGGCCCGTCCACAAATTGGCGTAAACAAGCATATAAATTCATAATCGCGTTAACCTCTCAGCACCGCTGCGAATTATCAAGATCGCCGCGAAAAAAAAACAAGTAAATAAAATGGTAAAAAAAAGTACACCAAATTTTGGACAACAAAAAAAGTTTTATAGAACGTTGATCTTGGTGGAAAAGCAAACGGGCCTCCGCAGTTGTCAAGGTCTGATTAACGCCTTGCTCGTGAGGTGGTGTGATTCTACATGTAGCAAATCGCCAAAGAAAAGAGGCCTCAACAAAAAACTGATAAGCCAACAAGTGTGCCCAAGAAAGGGGTCTAAGATCCGGTTAGCTGTTCAAAAACAATTCAATGAAAATAATGGTAGTCTTCCATTTGAATGCAAAGATGAATCAAGGCTAATATTATTAGCTAACATCTAATGATATAGGGTTACGTGGCTAGGAAAACTAAACTTCCTAGAGTGTTGAGAACCCAGAATCAATCTTCCAATAGAGAACCACTTAACCATAACTGATAAGTACACATCTATGATAATATAGGTTAGAAAGGCAAAGAGTTCAGATGTGCAGGGAATATTTGATAGTTATGCCAAGGTTTTATCCGACAAGCCTCTAACCGATAAAAAAAACCTCCTGAGAATTTGATAAACAAAAAAGGTTACGCGATTCGACACGTTAATGGTTCCTAATATAATTTGAGCCCAGGCTAACTGAGAGGTACCTAACTGATAAAAATCTTCAACTGCAGTTGTAAAGGGATAATTTTAGACCTCAAGTCAAGGTTAAGGCATTCGTCCAGAAGTTATCATAGTTTTGTTTGATTTATAGACCTTAGAGTTGATAAATATATTTATTTTAAGGCCGAACGATAAGAACCATTGGAACAATGATTGGTAAGTTGCTTAGTATCTTTAAGGCAATGTCATAAAAGGTTATTCTTAGTCTTTAAGATAACAAAAATTCAATAGATGTAACTAAGCTCCTCTGGAAAATACTCGCAACTGCTTGACAATTTTCAGATCCGGTTCGCGACCAGCATTATGAACTAAAAACAGAGCTCAACTCTATATTTAGAATAGAATATTTTCCACTGCTTTCCGAGTCTAGGGGCTCGTTTACCAGATAGATAAGCCGCGAGCTGTATTACAATTTGTATGTCTATAGCGTTATGTATACTGATTTTCATTATTTTTTTATTGATCCGTCGAATCATTGACGTAAATTCAAAAATAAAGTCAAGTCATCAAGCACGCTTTGCTATAGCAAGGCGATCTTTGCACGTCGCGGGGCTTGGGCATGGGGCATGGGAATTGAGGGGAATCGCGAGATCAGGCAGGGTAGAGGTGTGTGAACACTGGCAGCACAAGCAGACAGTTGATGGTGATGCTGCTTATCAAGCTGAACTAGAAAAACAAGTCCATGGTTTAAAAATAAACACACGAAAAAATATTCCGCGAATTTTTAAACATTTTTTTTTTGCATTTCAAGAGACGCATGGAGGTAGGCTGATCAAAACCTTAACTGGTATATAAACAGACGTCATATAGGGATTACAAGGTGTACCAGTTCCTTAATAAAAAAATATTAAGGTCAGTTCCCTGATCAGAATGCTATATGACTTGTAGGCACGGGCAGCAGTTAACCCCATTTGGCATTTGGGCACCTTCATTTCTCCTTCCCAGAACACATGATAATATCCATGCGTATATGTTCGTCAGTTTATGCGAATGCCAAAAAAAACTAAACTGTTCTATCCATTCATGGCCTCGAAGCCGTTTGGCTGATGGCCATGGCCAATATTATAATAGAACGCAATGAATTTGGCTAGATCATCAAAATCTTTCCCGTCACCAGTTTTGCCAATATGCGAAAGTGGCCACAAAAAACGCTCTGGCAATTTGACAACAAGTCGCAACAGCCATGTGATGTCGGAGCGTAAGGCGTGGGTGGGCGCGTGTGGTGCGCATTAGGGGGTGGCGGCAGGTAGGCGTAACTACCATGTGCTTATGGGCGGGAAATTTCCTTTATAAACATACAAGGTAATGAAATAAAGAGTGTAAAAGGAAAAACTGATAATAAATTATATATAATAAAAAAGGTTAACGGCAAAGTAAAGAGAAATATCGAGAGAAGGTAACATTAGTTAGATCATTTATGTAGATCATCTAGAGTATATAGATCGCATAGATTATACCACATAAATAATATATATTATATATTAAATAGATAGGTGCACACATGTGAATTGTTTGCCCACATCGATCGAGAAAAGAATGGAAGGATACACAATACACCCAAAAAAGCAGAGTAGGTTACGATAATTAGACGAATGTAGATCTTATCGACAATATCTAATAACGATGTACATCAATTGCAGGCGATTTACGTACTCGAACGATATCGAATGGAAAACATAAATAAACAAAATAATTAAATTAGAGGTTGGCGAGGAAAACAAAAACAAATATCAGCAAGTGGAGCACAAATAGCGCTAAATGAGTCTTATCAAAGCGAGCGAAAGGCGCGCTATCAAAATAACAGCAAAAATGAATTGAAGAGCGGTAATGCAAATAAAATCTATATAAAAAAAAAAGACACAAACAAAAAGAAAAACAAAAATAAACTGAAACTTGCTACAGCGACAATGACAACCAGGCCTGTTGCCAAGCGGCGGCGGCCGCCACAATAACCCCTCCTCACACACACACAACTCCCCTCCGCTGGACAAACGCAGTGAAAAACCAAAACAATTGCCGAGCCTCCCGGCGAGCGGCCAATCAGCGTGTCCGACGTTTGACCTGAGGCGCGCGCGCGCCTCTCATAAAAACAAAGCGAAACAAGTGCCCAGCCGAGCCGAGCCGAGCCGAAGACGCAGCCGAACGCCAGCCGATCGTGCGGCCCCCGTTAATCATGTTCTAGTCGCATCGGGCAGTCACCAGCGGCAGCGCCGCCGCGGAGCGTATAAAAGGCCGACTGCAGCGAACAGTTGGCATCAGTTACTCGTGGACTGAGTAAATGGAAAGATCAAGTGAAACATTTAATTTCAGTGATCTGAAAATCAAATTGATTTTTGACAAAAAACTCTGGAGAAACATATGAAAGCACACACAAAAACCAACTGAGCCAAATAAAAAAAAAAAAAAATTTTAATACAAATTGTGATAATTAAATTGTGATATTTGACAAATTTCATTGTTTTTTGCCAAATCCAAACGCAAAATCAAAAGTTAATTTGTGCGCCATATTCCAAAGTCTTTAAAAGAAAATAATTTTCTTATTATTAATTTAAAAAAAAAAACAACAACAAAATGCCTGAGCTCATTGAACAAAGCAAAATTATGTAAGTACGAGTTGTACGAGAAGCAAGAAAAGATATCCAAACACACATATACATACATTACCACACCCAGAAACCTCTAGATGTTGCATGCCCCCAAAAAGTATTTTTAACAGAACACAAACTTTTCATTTTAACAAGACTGAATTCTTTGAATTATTTTGATGTGCAGAAAAAGAGCTAAACAAATATTAAAAATATGTTTTGTGCATATTATGATAAAATATATAAATAAAATGACTAAAGCTTATTTGTTTTACCGTCAAATTTTCTGAATCATTTCCTTACAAAGAATTATAAAAAACATGTTTATACCAAAGATTAACAACAAAAGAATTTACTACATTTTTTGTGAAGTTCAGGAAAATTTGAAATCGGACGTAAAAAATTTGCTTTATAAATTAATGTTTTTTTTTTATTCGTCGTTTCCCCGAACTATTCAAAATTTTGTTGACTAAATATTTTGAAGAACTTGTAGTGTTAAATTGGAAAAAACAAAACTTACTGTGTGGCTTAACACACGAAATCTCTATTTTCCATCTGAACTCTTTTTAAAATGTAATTCTAGCTCTATATTTTTTTTCTACTTTCCAAAGCAACACTTTATTCACGGCTCACCCACTGACCCACTGTCTTCTCAACTTACACTCATAAATTCCCTATTTTCCACTTACAGCTCCGCCAATGGCTGCGGTCTGCCCCAGCTGCACAAGCTGCGCCAGGATAATTGTGGCCTTTACAGCCACATCCGTGGCATTCCCACCTCGTATGGCGATGTTAGCTCTTTGACTGCTGGCGTGCGCAGCTTCGTAGAGGAAGCAGTTGCTCTGTGCCAGCCTGATCAGGTGCACATTTGCGATGGCTCCGAGCAGGAGAACAAGATGCTCATCAAGACGCTGCTGGAGTCGGGCACAATTGTGGCCTTGCCCAAGTACGAGAACTGCTGGCTGGCCAGGACCAATCCTGGTGATGTGGCCCGCGTGGAGTCTAAGACATTCATCTGCACCGAGACACGCGAGGAGACCATACCCACTCCCAAGGATGGCGTCAAGGGTACCCTGGGCAACTGGATTTCCCCTCTGGACATGGAGGCCGCTATTCAACAGCGCTTCCCTGGCTGCATGAAGGGTCGCACCATGTATGTGGTACCCTTCAGCATGGGTCCAGTGGGTTCACCACTCTCCAAGATCGGCATTGAAGTCACCGACTCCGCTTATGTGGTCGCTTCCATGCGCATCATGACCCGCATGGGCGCTTCTGTGCTCCAGCAGCTAGCCAAGAAGGAGGAGTTCGTGCGCGCCTTGCACTCTGTGGGCACACCAGCCAGTGGTGTAGTGGAGCAGCCTTCCTGGCCCTGCGATCCCGAGCGCACCATCATCTTGCACAAGCCCGCCGAGAATCTGATTGTCTCTTATGGCTCTGGCTATGGCGGTAACTCGCTGCTGGGCAAGAAGTGCTTCGCCCTGCGTATTGGCAGCACCATTGCCAAGCGGGAGGGCTGGCTGGCCGAGCACATGCTCATCCTGGGCATCACCGATCCCAAGGGCGTCAAGAAGTACATCACTGCCGCCTTTCCCTCGGCCTGTGGCAAAACCAATCTGGCCATGTTGAACCCCTCCCTGTCTAGCTACAAGGTGGAGTGCGTGGGCGATGACATCGCCTGGATGAAGTTCGACTCACAGGGTGTGCTGCGTGCCATCAATCCCGAGAATGGCTTCTTCGGCGTTGCACCTGGCACCTCCGTGGAGACCAATCCCATTGCCATGAACACCGTCTTCAAGAACACCATCTTCACCAATGTGGCCTCCACTTCTGATGGCGGCGTCTACTGGGAGGGCATGGAGAGCAGTCTGGCTCCTAATGTACAGATCACCGATTGGTTGGGCAAGCCCTGGACCAAGGAATCGGGCAAACCTGCTGCTCATCCTAACTCCCGCTTCTGCACACCGGCCGCCCAGTGTCCCATTATCGATGGTGCCTGGGAGGATCCAGCTGGCGTGCCCATCTCTGCCATGCTCTTTGGCGGTCGTCGCCCAGCTGGCGTGCCCTTAATTTATGAGGCTCGCGACTGGACACATGGTGTCTTCATTGGCGCCGCCATGCGCAGTGAGTCGACAGCTGCGGCTGAGCACAAGGGCAAGGTGATCATGCACGATCCCTTCGCAATGCGTCCCTTCTTTGGCTACAACTTTGGCGACTACGTGGCCCATTGGCTGAGCATGGAGAAGCGCGGCCAGGTGCCCAAGATTTTCCATGTCAACTGGTTCCGCAAGAGCGATACTGGCAAATTCATGTGGCCCGGATACGGAGAGAACTCTCGTGTGCTTGACTGGATCCTGCGCCGTGTCAATGGTGAACCCTGTTACGTGGAGTCTGCCATTGGTCGCATACCCGCCGCTGGTGAACTCAACTTGGCAGGCATGAAGGAGCAGATCGATGTGGAGCAACTGTTCTCGCTCCCCAAGGAGTTCTGGACACAGGAGGTAGAGGCTATACGCAACTACTTCGAGACGCAAGTGGGCGCTGATCTGCCCGCCAGCATCTATGCGGAACTGGACAAGCTGAAAGGGCTCGTTGCCGACTTGTAACTGCAGTTGCCCAGCAGAGAATTAATCACAAATCTTTCACCCGCACGCACACAAACACGCATCTTTACCCGCCTTGCACCACCTATATACCTAAGCAAAACTATCCCACGAAACCTGCAAACATATAACCCATAACCCCGCCCACAAAAACCAACATATATACTCTATATAACCCGAAGACTATGCTAACAATTTATTTTTTCACTTAGTCGTTTCTCTAGAGTTTAAGCCGCAGACTTCCAAAACTATTTATTATATAAGTGTTTAGCCTTAAGTCTTAAGTTAAGATCTGTATAAAAGAAAAAAACAAATAATGAAGAAAACAAAAAAGTAAAAACATAAAATTCTAATAAAACCAAAATATTTTATCATAAACAGATTTGCATTTCTTTTTCTACTCTTTTGAAAAGCAAATTAATAAATAAGCTAAAAGGTAATACTTTAACAAACAAAACAACATTTTAGCAATAATATTATAAAATATGTCTACTGTAAAAACTTTAATTGTGTAGCTTCCACATATTGGACTATGCATAGATCATCCATCTGGCAATCAGTAACAATCAATGAAATTTAGATATTTTGCTACAAAACAAAAATGGTTTTAAAAAAAGTTCACTTCAGTTCTCGCAAGATTTTATGTTCACATAAAAAAAAAACAAAAATGAGATCAAAGGAAAAAGGAAAAAAAATATATATATTTATTTTTACTAAATTTTTGTGTTTTATACTGTTTTTTTCAATTTTTTTTTTATAATAAAGGTAAAATATAAAGTCTTTATAATTATAGTTCTATAATTTATATAATTAATTTTAAGTACACTACCAACACTTTAACATTTAAATCTTAAGATTAAGCTCAAGATTCTGAAGAAACTTGCCGCAAAATACAATGAATGACATTATTCAAAAGGACCTTTAATTTAAAACAAAAGTGAACTTTAATTCTTAAGAGATTTTAAGTTCAGATTCAAAGCAGAATAAATTCAAAACAGAAAATATAAATTATATTAAGTCAAAAGAATTTTATATAACTTTCTTAAAACACCAGCATTCTTAACTTAAAAAGTTCTTAGCTAGGTAACAGTTGATTAATAATATAAAAGAAATTAAAAGGAGCAGCCAAATTTGCCACCAAAAGACTTAACCACAAAAAAAAAATCATATTCCCTAAAGCAAAACTACATAAAGCCATTATTAAGGCTAATTAGTGATAGAAGAGCAAGCTCTTTGATTAAAAATATAAAATCGGATGTGCACGAAAATGTATACTTTAATATATTTACATAATATTAAGCAATACTTTGAACCACAAACCAAAGGCAAAAAACGAAAACAGCATTTTTGAAAAGAGCTCTCAACAAGTGAAGGACTTCCAGGCTGGAAGTGAGCTTTATTTGTGTTGTGGTTGCGGCTGAGCGAAAGCTTCATTTGGCCAGCAACAAAAATGCAGCCGAGGCGCGTGGCATGCCACAGTTCAGCTCGAGCTGCGTGCGCGCTCGGTCGGGCCATATTCTCCGGCAGCCAGCAAGCGGCACCAGTTGCAGCGCGCGTTCAAGCGGAAACGGAAGTGCAGCGCAGCAGCCAACAGCAACAACAAGAACAACAACAACAACAACAAAACAACAAAAACTGTGCAAACTGTTGCTCGGCTAAACGCGTGGTTTTCCGAGTGTCGCAACGCAATTGAGACAATTAGAAAATTAAATTCGGGAAATTAAGAACAAGCGGTGTTTGCAGAAAATTAATGAAAATAAGAGAAAATACATTTTTTTAAAATGGTAAAAATTAAAGTTGATTTCAACAGTTGTACAGTTATGTGAGCTGTATGTGTGGGTGTGTGTGTGTGAGTGTGAATGCTGCTAAGCTGCGATTTGACATGTTGATTTATGCGCTGCCTCTCACCAATACACGCGCGCTTCATCTGCCACTCTGTGTGTATGTCTGCTTATGTGTCTGTGTGTGTATGCCTGTCTATCTGTGTGTCTGTGTGTGTGTGTGTGGAGGTGTGTTTTACGCTGGGATTATGCGTGTTGTGCCTGTTGGCACTTGTTGCGCTTATGCCTCGCACACAGGACACTCGCTTAATTGCTAATCCTCGCGCCCAACTTTGACGCCAGACGCGTCTAATAACACGTAAATTGCCACAAAACGTTGCCCACCTGTCACTGTTCTCCCTAGCACTCCCTCGGCAGTCCGCAAATGACGCATTTAAAAGCAAATTGGCCGCCGAAAGAAACTGCTCCCCACTTAATATGCCATCAACATGAGATTTGCGCAAATGGCGCGCGCCAAGAATTATGTGTGGCAATAAAATCGATTGACTACGCCGGGGGGACAGCTAAGGGCGACGGGCCGGCGGCATGAGGGCTGCTCTAATAACTAAGTTTCTGAACGTGACTTTTGGCCCACAATTCTAATTTGAACCGAGCAGCTGACCAGAGACCGCCTTAACCGCTAAGCGAATCGCACAGGGCGCCGCTAAATAGGCTACAGTTTCCTGATGTCTCTGGTATATTGTTTGATCCTAAGTGTTTTATGGACTTTCCTTGTTTATGCTTTGGCCATACACTTCGTACACATAGACAGACATACAGTATCACACACACACAAGCACACTGACATGCATACGCATTTATTTTTACAACAAACGCTAATTCTGTAGCCAAGTGCTGGTCAGAGCTTGGCATTAGGTGCAGAGGCGTGTGTTAAGGAGGGGGCAACAGCAGAAACAGCATTGTGTGGCTGCTGAGAAAATATTTACGTTTGCTTAATGTGTGTGTGTGTATGTGTGTGTGGGTGTTAAATATGTGCTTAACGGGTGCGGGCATGTAATTAAGCAAAGTTTACTAAAAGGGTTGTCCAGGAAAGACCACAAAATACCAGCTAAAGTGTGAGCTAAAGTGGCTATGCACTCAGAGAAATAATAAACCTCTTCTTAGATTGAGTAAAAAGTATGCTAGATTTCATAAAATACACTTTAACATTAAGAAATAATAATAAAACGCTCTTAATTAAAGTAGAAAATGGCTTCAATTATGTCTCTGATTATTGTATCTAGAATGGAATAACAATTTAGAGGAATTTGCAGTCTTGAAATAAGCTTTAGGTCAACATTTCACTTATGCTAAGTACTGTATCTGAGCCTTGAATTAGGGCATTATCTCAAGATATGTAGAACTTGTTTAAAGTTTAAACTTCTGCTTAAATTTATATTATTCCCTTATTTTCTCTGAGTGTATGCCTAACCACAATTTAATAGCTGCAAGAAATGCACTTGAGTTCATTACACTCCAGGATGTTAACAGGGACCTGATACTCATAAGGCAGCAGACGCAAAGTTTGCGCTGGAGTTCACAGACATTTGAACTTTTTTTGATGACTGCTAGCCAACTATTTCATTTCGCACGCGTAATACTCACACAAATTACATTGTCAATTCAGTCGAGTCTTTCAAATATGCAAATCCTTTTCGTGCTCACCCTTTTTTTTTTTTGGCCCTCATGCGACTGCCTTTTCTACCCACACAAATCGTACGCTAAATCAAATCAGTTTCAGTCGGTTTGACCCTCAGGTTATTTGGATCGAAAGTGTGCATAATATCCTATTACAGTCGAGCTACATTACGACAAACCTATCTGTAGAAACTGGGTAATTGTAAAAGCAGTTTCCGTTTCCATAGTTAAATGTTCAGGCAGGTTTGTATTAGCATTTCTTCTTCTTTACATAAATCATTTGATTATATCCTTGAAAATCACTTCATCGGAAAAAGCTCATAGTATTTAAATACATTTCAGCAATTTCTACGAAACAGTGCAATACAAATTGTTCAAATTTTTTTTTTTTTTCTTAGAAAAAAAAATTGCTACTAAATGCCAAAGCACAAATTTTTTGCTGTCACTAGATTTTTAAATGTAAATAATAAAAAACGTTTTTAGCCCTGCATAACTACTTTTTTTCATTGAAAGGAACTTTGAGAGCTTTTCCTATTACATTTTTTTTATCACAGAAAATTGTTGAAGCCTCTTTAGTGGACTTTAGGGATGTTTCGAAACTTTTGGCTGTTGCCTGCCTTTTTTTATCACAAAAAATCGTTGGAACTCTTCAAGAGTCTTTTGGCTATTACAAAATGTTTCAAGGCCTTCTTTAAGTTTGTAATTGTAAAGTTTCACAGCAAACATTTTAAAAAATGACGAAATGTTTTTAAAGCCTTCATTTGGTCATTTAGTTCACTATAGAGATGAAAGACTGTAAAAATTGGTTGCATAGTAAAACAGTACTATTGCTTATAGTACGTTATTTTAAAGTTAAGTGGTACAATATTAATCTAAATGAATTATTATAAGCAACAAGTTCATCGTAAGGAAGTACTACTGTATACAAAGACCAGAAAAGAGTATATAATGTATTCAAGGCACTATAGCGCTGTTTTACTGTATAACCTTTAAAAGTTTGTGGTTTACACCAATTTGTTGCTTCAGTCGACATTTCATCAATTATTTAACTCTAACTTTGTCTTTCAAGCATCAAAGGCAATCTGACTGATAGACCAATTGGTTGAGCGAATTAGCCTTTACAGTTAAAGCTAAGTTAAAGCTAAAGCTAAATTTATTGTCATGCATAAGCTTTTACTTCTTGATAAACCCGACTGCTGCCTAGTTAAAATCTAGTTAAAATTCTTTCAAATTCAATGCATAAAATACAATGACATAAGCCACAACCGAAGCTTTTGTGCGAGATAGCTTCTGGTTGGGGTTGGGCATAGATGTATCATTCATGCATATACAATACAAATAATGCCAAAAGAAACCCAAAATGAAGACCAGTTGAATGTGAGTTGACACACGCCTTTATTGGCAGACAGTTGAAAGCTGAAGCTGCTTAGTTGGGATGGTTTTTATCCCATTGATTTGTTGTTGGCTGTCCACAGAATTTGCACAGCCAAAAGTGTTGTGTCCATGCGTTTGGCTGGTCTTGAACGAATCTGAACTGTTTTCTATTCAACATTTTCATGATTATTCCATCTATGTCACAGTCCTGACCCTCCTACTGCTTTCCACCTGTTCCTTTCTGTCTATCTGGTTATGATTGGTTGCGATGGCAACAGGCCTGGTTACGTATTTCCCAAGCTAACGATTGACAAAATGCAGAAAATTATTGCGAAATACCCTGTAATTAGGTCCAAAAGCTTGCTCATGCTCATAGGTCGGCGTAGTACGAGCCTAATATGCTGCTGCCCTTTTATTTGGGTAAGGAAAATAATTTAATACAATAATATATTGAATACTTTAAATTTCAGAAAAAATACATTTGGGTAGGCTTGAGCAAAAACAAACATGGATAGATCGAGAATGTAATAGGCCGAAACTTCGATCAACTTTGACATTCAAGAAAAACGTTGAAACAACCTTCTACCCAGAGAGAAAACTAATAGGAAAGTTAACAGCAATGTTTTGGCAACTTTAATAGATTTTAGCCCAGTTTTATATGTCTGTCATGCTTTTCGCATTTAATCTCGCACAACGTAAACATGGCAAAACTATTCCAAGCGTAATATACTCCCAGTGGAAACCATATTAAGTCTGTATAAGAACCAACAGGTACCATATAAATACTCATTTGTACGTACATACATATGTACGTATTCGTATTCGCATTCATATTATTTGCTTTACAATATGAACACGTATTCACGCTTTGTGTTCACGGTTCTGTGTCTGCGGCGAGTGAGTGGGTGTCCGGCTATTTGTGTGGGGCACAGACAATAGATAAGTTAGTTTCAGCGAGGGGGTCAGGTGGCTGCAAAAGCAATGCGAAAAACGAGAATGGCAACAGTTGGGATTCACGTTACGAGCCATGCGGACAGCAGCTGGAACAAGAGCTGGACAATAAAATGAGACACTAGATTTCGTCATGTAAGTGACGGGGCAATTTTATGTCAGGATTAATATTATTATTATTTTTCTCGTTCATACCCTGAAACAACATAATTAGTAAAACGGGGCATAAGAGAGTTGTCTAGCAAAACAGTCCTATGTATTCAGGATTAGTTGTAGAAGCCACTCGACTGTCCCTTTACATGATCTGATGCAAAAGGTTAAGCAAGCTCTTGCATTTCGTCTCAAACTCAATAATATACGAGAGCAGCTTTTTTGCAGCCCCAAAACTAATTACAGGATATCTTTCGGTAAAACCCTCTACGCTTAAGCATTCAGTCCGGCTTTTATTGACACCGGGGAGCAGACAGTCATAAAACTATAGTACAAATAGCTTGTATGGGCGTTTTGGTGCTACAATCAAAAGAAAATCAGTTGACAGCTACCCTCACCAGAACTTTCAGTCATACTGCAAAATGCTCAACACTTTCCCAGGTAATGTCGTAAGAAACTGGACAACTTACTACACCTGAGTCAGTGGCAAAAGCGGCAGACGCAGCTGAGTTCGAGTCAGTCGCAGACTCGACTCAAGTTAAGCAACTGCTGCAAACTGCTTGAGAAAACTTCTCGAACAAATCTTTTGTAGCCAATACAATAAGTAAAGTGTGGCAGGTGTGTGTGACAGCGTGTCTGTGTGTGCCAGCGTGTGTGTGAAAGGTGTGTAGGTGTGTGCGGTCTGTTGTGAGTTGGCAAATTGCGAAGCCAAAGCAAGTAAAACGGTAAGAGTGCTCTAGTCGTGTGTGCTCAACTAGCAGAACGGTATCAAAGCAATACAATCAATAAATCAATTCTGAAAACTCGATATGTATCGATTTTAATGAAATACTGAGGCGAAATTGCGATATCTATCGACTTGTGCATATATGCATATCAATCATATATATATTCGTAGATGGACAACAATTATACAACCAATTTAACCCATTTACAATGTGTTACAGGGTATAACATTAATTTTTAACGCACAGCAAGAGAAACTGTTGCATGCAACATGGCTGGGAAGCTTGCAGCGCGAACGCTTTGGCTTAATACAGGCCACCAATACAGGCCGCAAGAGGGGCTGGCAGTTAGGTGGTGAGGAGGAAAGAGGGCGGGCTTGGATCGCTGTGGGCGTGGGTGTCTCGGGGCTAACCACGGCCACTTGGGCTGTCAACTTAAAGTGAGATGAACGTACATTTCACAACAATTTGCTGACACACGCGAGGCATTTAATGCTGAAAATGTGTACAGCTATTGGAGGGTGGAAGAGGGAAGGGGTGGGGGTGATGTGGCACTCAGTAGAGCCCTTTTATGAGTTTTAGTTTTTATTTTAGTTTGCATTATTTTATTAAATAAAGATAAAACCATAAATTATGTTTGCCCACTGCGTGCGAGTGTGTGCATGTGTGTGTGTGTGTTGAGTAATGGCCCATGATATTTACACATGAGTGGCATTCAACTTACAGCAGCTGCCGCAGTAAATCTACCCTCGCAGAACCACGCCCAATCCTCGCCAGCATTTGGTAAATATGGCACAGCAGCAGCATAGCTGGGATGGCGGCGATGCCTCTGCCGCCGGCACGGGCTACGGCGTTCATGGACATACACCTACACATACACATACACACACACATGGTGGACACAAGACGCCAGCGCGTGCGGCCAGCAATCCGTTGCCGTATAAAGGCGCCACGCCCAAATCGCCCAGGTGAGTCGACCAGTTCGAAGCAGTTGTTGAAGCAACAATTTTACACTGGACTCGCCACACAGAAGCTACCATGCGGCGCCGCCCTCGGTATATGCCACGCCCACACAGTCAAGTAGCAACTATGCCTATGGCAGCTATGATCCGCCACCGCCGCGTAGCCCGAAGATAACGACAACCTATGCGAATGACAGCTGCGATGAGGGAAGCAGCTCCACGCCCTCCTCATACTATCAAACGCCCACCTCGGGCTCCATGGATGATTCCTGTTCGCTGCTCAGCGGTCAAGCGATGCGCAGTCCCAAATCGCCGTGCAAATTTGTTTTCGATGCAGTCAGTCCAGGCGCTGGCATGGATCAGTCGGCACTGGGCAAGAAATTTGAGTATTATGAGCCCATATCGCCGGACGATGGTTCGCTGTACTATGAGCCGCCCAGCTCGCCGCGTCGTCAGGGCTCCAAGAAGCTAATGCGGGCACAACCTCAGCAGCTGGAGCAGCGGCCGCAGTTAACCACCAGTCAAGGCAGTAGCAAGCGGCGGCGGGATGAATGGGAGCTGCCGGTAATAACCAAAATCGATGCACGTTGCCTGAATGCAACGGCAGCGGCAGCAGCGGCAGGCATATCCACGGGCTACTCCAGTGGCAGCTACTTCACTCTGAAGCGGGACTCGTGCGTCACAGAGTGCACACAGCTGTCGATGGAGTCGGGAGAGAGCCAGACACAGCACACGAACAGCACGCTGGTGACCACCACCACCACCAGCTTCAGCTACACGGACACGGATGCAGGCGGCCAACAGCAACAGCAGCAGCAGCTGCATCGCCAGCGCCGTCATGCCATTAACATCACCTCGAATCCAGGGTATCAGGTGCTGCACAGTTCACACTCCACCTTGGATCGCACCTGCTCGGATAGCGTTGTCTCGCTGCGCTATCGCAAATCTACAAGTGACCTGACCCAGGATGCCGAGCATGAGCTCAGCGGCTGTAAGCCGTCTAAGCCCAAGCGTGATGCTGTCGAGTACAAGCCGCGGCGCAGGGGTAGCTCTAAGGGTGGGCTTGCCTACTTGGCCAGTCGGCGCAGCTCACGCGAGTCCATGAAGAGCGCCTGCTCGAATGCTTCCATATTCTCCAACGATGACATCGGACCGTTGGCCTTCCAGAGCTCCAATCGCGGACGACAGCGACGCACCTCCAACTTTTTGGAGCTTCCAGGTGGGTAAAACTTTTTTAAATATCGAAATTTGAAAGCTTTGTCAGGGTCAAGTGTTTTGCTATTCCACCCATATTCTGGCCGTGAAATAATTAAAATTTACTAACTCAATTCCATCCAGTGGCCACAAAGGAATAACAATACATTTTTCATAAGATCTATGGAAAGTCTGACTTTTCCGCGTATTTTCCGTTAGGAGGGGTGAATTTGTTAAAACAGGTGAAAACGTTTTTAGTTTTGTGTCAGTTGAAAACGATCGGAATGTTACTTATCCAATGAAGATTCATAAAATAAGTTTATGGTGATCGGATGAAAAACAAAAACGTATATACAAATATTTTGACCCATTGTTCATCCCTGCAGAAGAAATATTTCAAAGTGTGCACTAAGCTCGGAAAAGTAAAGCAGAGCAAATGATACAGCTAACTAGTTCTTATATTCATTCAGTCAATCAATCAATCAACATGATAACAAATATATATATAAAAGGAATCTAATTTCATCCCTCTACTAGTTCCCGATCATGTACGTCCGCGCGTATGCTCGCTGCCGGAGCGCCCGTACAATCCACGGGCCAGCGATGATCTCTATCGGCTGCGCCACTTCTCCATCAGCAAAGGCAACGTGGTCAATTGTGGGGACTCGATAATTTCGCGCCGTTCGCGCAGCAACACAAGTGTTAATTCCACCAACAGTCGGGCCAGCGAACGTTCGCCGTTTGAGGGCAGCTGCTGTGGTGCAGGCTATGCGAACGTGGACTCGCTGCCCGCCTCGCCGGACGAATCGGAGAATATGGAGCCGCCCCCGCCGGCACGCTATCGTGTCGTCATGCTGGGCGATGCGGGCGTGGGCAAAACGGCGCTGGTCAATCAATTCATGACCTCGGAGTATATGCACACCTACGATGCGAGCCTAGGTAAGTTGATAACTCTTGACGGTCCAGCCATCTGTCCAGATGATCGGGGCGGAGTGCACAGAGTGAGTAGTTATTGCTACCCTTAGATGGAACCTATGCGTGTCGTATGATCCACAGTCGATCCCATGCCGCTGGTTTCCGCTTGCGTCTATAGAGTTTAATTCTGATCTGAGTTTTAGACGATGAGTTCGGCGAGAAGACGGTCAGCGTTCTGCTCGATGATGAGGAGTCCGACATGGTATTCATCGATCATCCCAGCGTTGAGATGAGCGTGGAAAATTCCCTGTCCACATATGAGCCGCATGGCTGCGTGGTGGTCTTCTCTGTGGTGGACAAGGGCTCCTTTCGCATTGCCGAGGAGATTATCAACTATTTGTGGCAGGAGAATTACACCAAGGATAAGGCCGTCATACTTGTGGGCAACAAGGCGGACCTGGCTCGTGCACGGCTTATCACGACACAGGGTAAGTTATTGGGTTTGAGCGGATTATAAATAGAGATGGCAAACGATACGATTAAACACGACACATTGAAATGAAGTGCAAGGAGAATATAAAATATACAGATTCAAACAAGTACTGCAAAGTACTACAAACGAGCTGATGGGTATTAATGAGTACTAATAAGTTTCTTCAATACTTATGAGTATTGATGATAAGTAAAAAGTATAGAATATATTTAAGAGTAAATATGAAAATTGACGAATATCGTAAGTATAAATACAGATGGGTATGTGTTGAGTTTATAAAGAATATTTAAAATGCGTATGAGTATTAATGAGTATTGAAAACGGTTCCAATGAATATTTTATTTTTAAGTAGTTATGAGTATTGAAGCCTGTTTAATAATATATTTAAAGTACTTGTGAGTATAAAGAGTAAGAGCAGATTAAACAGGAGTAATAAATATTTGATAATATTTCGTTTAAGAACTAGTTCAATTCGTACTAAATATTGTGGAACTCCAACAACTCCAATCAACACGCACCCATCTCTAGCAAGTAGGGTGAGCCTAGGCAGGACTGTAACGGAAATCCCACGACTTAATTATGATTTCTCATTTCTCATTTCATATTTCATGTTTCACTTTTGGCCACAGAGGGCAAAACATTGGCCGCCTCACGCGATGCCAAATTTATTGAGACGTCCAGCGGCATACAGCACAATGTCGATGAGCTGCTAGTCGGCATACTGAAGCAGGTAAGCGCAGAGGGGGTTGGATTGGAGCTCAGTTCAGGGTGGGATCGGCTTTGCGGTTATTCCGGTTTAGGTGCGAAATACACGCAACTCATTGATGCATGCGAAAATTGTGCAGGAAATAACTTAAATGGATTTGCGGTGAGCGGCAGAGCGAATGGCGTTCGGGTATTGGTTTAGTGGTTTAGTGGTACAGCCTTTCGCATCGGTTCACTAATTAATGAAAATTGAGTAGAGCCGGCTAGACGGACACGTTAATGTTATTAAAACTGGGCCATCGAGCGAGGGGCTACAATTTTTCGATACACATGTTACATTTACAGATGCGGCTTAAGGAGACGCGCGAGAAGAAAGCTACCTCATCGAAGATGAAAACCTCACGCACTCACATTTCGCTGCATCTGGCCAAGGAAATCCTACAAAAAATTTGCCTTAGCGACATTTCCAAATCCAAAAGCTGTGAAAATCTTCATGTGCTATAAAAAACTTGGAAAATTTGAAACAGAAAATTTCCCCAACAAGCAGGCGCAACAAATCAATAGCCGAAAAAAAGAAAATAATAATAATAAACAGAGCTAAACAAAAAATTATTTTGCTAGCATTTAAAAATGTAAAAGAATGCATAAAAAAATATGTATGTATACAAGCTCCCTATAAAGCCCATATACCATATAAACCATATAACATATATATTCGTATTATATAGCCAATGCTCAGCTTGCATGTTTTGATGTTCTCTTTTTAAAGGCGTTTTTACGAGTATTATAAACATATACAAATTATTATGAATGTTGAGACAAGAAAAACAAAATATGTTACAGCCAATTTGTGTACGATATAAACCTATAGTATATGTATGTATATGTGCGGGTTGTGGATTAAACTTGAGAACAGGTGTTGAGCAGAAAATGTTATAAATCATGTTGCAGACAATTGGTAGTATTTGCCATAATATTAAGGCTCGATTCTCATGTGCTTGTCAAAGTTGACGATTACTTTGGCATATTCTCAAAATAGATTCCATTTTCTCAGCTTGCTGTTAATTGATTTATGGGCTGGGATTAACAACAAGCATTTACGTTGGCAGGAAAATGAGAAACTTAATTCAGGTTAAGCCTAATTGAAATTCTGAGATAACTGCTGGTCAACTTAAGCTTTGCAGTAAACGGAACTTAAGCTGCTTTTATTTTTAAACGGCTTACATTGACGGAAACATGGGCAGAATGATGTAAAGAGAAAAAAGCATGAGAGAGAGAGAAAATTTGCGTATACTTGTGGTAAGCTTTTGGTCAACTGACCTGAACTTTGACAGGATAATATGTTAACGTATGTCAACTAAGCTTATTTTAGAAAATGAAGTTAATTAGTCAACTAACATGGACTTTGTCGTACGTCAAATTGACTCTTAATGACCTGGTCTAAAGCTCGCCAAGCTTCTGGTCAACTGACAAGAACTTAGACACAGAAATGGGGAAATAGACTTAAGTAAGCTTGGTTAAGAAAATGGAATAACTACTGATTAACAAATGTGACCTTGGCAGGAGTTAGATAGGTATTAGATGAGTTCGCTTTAAGCTGGGTTAGCTTGTAGGTCATTTAGATGAACTTTCGCATATGCATGAGTAGAAGGTCAGTAAATGATCCACGCTCAGAATCTAGAATCAATTCTAGTCAACTTACATTGACTCTTATTACTGTAATGTTGAATCTATGGTCAACTGACATGCATTTTGACAGGGACATGACCTAAAAGGCCACTAGGTTAGGCTTAAACAGATAGCGATACATGCGATGTCGATATTTGATACCTTTAAAAACTTATCACAGACTCGTATAACGCCCCAGTCAGTGGCATTTGGCTGGTGCGGTCAGGCCCCCGATTTGGCGATTGTAGCGTTTTGTTTATAGCGGATGTTTTGATTGGTTTGCCAGTTAGACCCAGACATCAGCAGGCAGCAGTTATCGCCAGTTCGAGCGTCTGGCCTTGGCATAGCCCCGAGCGCACCTACTTTTTGGTGCCAGAGCTGATAACAGCGAGCAGCAGACGCGACGCGTGGCATTAAGATTTTTGCAAGATGGGTTCTGGTGGGGAGTATTGTTAGATCTCGCACACATATGCGTACAATATAATTAAAATAATTGTATATTTCTATGTGTTCCAAGGCAAGACAAAAATGTTTAATTCAATAATGTGCTGTCAATTTTTTTTCTTAAAACAAAAACAAAAAACGAAAAGATGCTTCAAGTATAATCCAGCAGAAATATTTAAGTACTAATATGAGTGTGTTTTAAGAAAATTTACATTGTTAGGTGTGTGTTTAACTAAACTGTATATTTATGATTAAAGCTCCTTTGAGTACTTAGACGACAAGCTTAAGGCATATAATTATATATGTATATTTTCCAAATGAGCGACAACTTTATCAAAATTTACTTGAAACTTGGTAAGCTACCAAAACAAACATATACAAACACACACACACACATACAAAATGAAATCTCTTCCAAGCAAACAAAATACAAATGCAAATGAAACTCATATCGGAATGACTGTTAAATGTTGACTGTTGTTTATTAACTAAGCCTAAAATGTTACTGAATTTAGTAAAAAACAAAAAAACAAATGGAAAAACTCTATATATATATATATATCTATATATACATACATATATTTATGTAACTCTCTTTTAGAATATCTAATGCGAAATGTTTAAGAAAAATATTTACACTGCGGCTGCCTGCTGTCTTTCTATCCTCTTAACTCGTGCGCTTAAAAACAAATATATTTACATACGTAAGTCAGAGTTCTATTTGTAGGTACTTTAAATATCACACACACACCAACACACACACACACACGCACACACATTTAACTATTTTCGTATTCGCACATTGTATATGGAGCTAACGAGCAGCTTGCCACAGGACTAGCCAGGACTTTGTCTTTGTTTAACCTTCACTCACAGCTTTCTCAAGTGCACTTTATCATTTGGCAGACAATCACACAAACACACACAGACACACACACACAAATGCACTGGCTCAACTTTAATGTTGGTTCGACTGCAGCTGAAAATGAAAATATGAAAATAAAAAGTTTCGCTTGGCCCAACTTTTAATTTGCAGCAGTTTGCAAAGTGCGCAAAAAAAACCACGTCAACAACATAAACACACACAAAAGCAGCGCTAAAACCTAAAAACTCAACAAAACAAAAAAAAGAGCAAAAAGTACCATATAAATGTATGTACAAACAAGGCGTATACGCAATCTGAATCGCGCATACGCTGCGTGTAACGTCCCAAGCGGCGGCTTTAAATTTGATTTACGCAACAAGAAAAACTCTCTCGCAAAGCATAAATTCAAATCAAAGCTAACTAAATGCCCACCGAATTTATTGTGTACTCTTACAATGAATGTACATATATATGTATTTGTGTAAAACTGAAAACAATATTTAAACATTTATCTAAGCATTCAATTAATAAAACTAGTATTTATCGCGCTATCGAAAGAGGCTCAAGGCTGAGTTCAGAGTGGCAGCGAGAAGCGTAGCACGTAAATGAAGAAGTAAAGAGAAGCAAATGAGGGTGTCGACGGGCAGCGAAAGAAACACTGAAGAAAGAAAAGAATAACGTTAAAACAGGCATCTCAAAAAGTTGAGCAAGGCACTTGGAAATCAATTTATAGAAGGGAGAAGCCCGATAAGAAGTAAACTCCGCTTTTCTGCTTGAAAAGCAATAAAACTCGCTGCGCCCAGCACATTTTCAAGACATTAAAGAAAATAAAAAAAAAGTTATATGCTACTTTAATTGCTTCCTTCAGCTCTTATCCTTTAATGAGCTTAGCGCAGGAGAACAAACGCAGAAGCGTAACAACAAGTACAATTTTTATCGCAATTGAAATTGATTTTGAGGATACTTTTCCACCTAAATCGTATGGCTTACAAGTCGCCTTTCGCAACTAAAATCAAGCTGCGCTTCTCTATTCGCTTCTCGCAGTCCATCCGACCTCAGCCAAAGGCATAACTGTATATACATATATATTTTTCCACTGCAAACTATGCAACAAGTAAAACTGTTGACAACGTGCATAACTTAATCGAAACTATGCAATTACCAAAAACTCTGAAATACTATTTTTTCGTAGCGCAGTTTACTGTCAATTTCCAAAGTGCTTAAGCTACAAAACTTTCAACGAATTTGTTGCATAGTGTTTAATGAAATCAAAAATGAAATATGGCAAAACCAAAATAAATTGAAGTAAATGTGCTGATGTCACAAAGCTGAGTCTGCATAAAGATACGAAAAGAAACTTTTCGAACCGAACTAAACATGGAGATCAAATGCAATTTTTTACTATTGTGATCTGTCTCTGTATATGTATCTGTCTCTGTCATACACAAACTATATAAGCATTATAAAGGACAAAGCCACAACATTTTTCAACACGGTGTTTTACTTTGGGTGGGCAGTTTAATGTATAATATATCGAAGTATATCGAAGGTATATAACGACTCGACTTAAAAATAAAGTACCACAGTTTCAATACAAAATCCCGTTACTGATAGCCAACATAAAAAAAGTTTTTTTTAACAAACAACAGCTTACATAATTTACAAACTTTTACTAATAAGCTTTTCGACCTCTTTGCAAACTTAAACTGGTTGAGAATTGCAAGGCGTCAAGCAATAAAAATTAGCTCAGCAGGCTCACTTTCGCTACAGTTGGCAGCACTGGCAGATACGAATTCACATGCTGCCAACTCATGCGACTGATGCTCAGCTGTTGCGCACTTGCGGCTCATTAGCAGCGGCCGCAGGGCGCCCACACAACAAGTAGGCAGCGAACTGTGCTGATGGGGGCGTGTTGGCTGGAGCTGGTGTCTACTTTTGGGGGCGACAGAAAAATGCGTTAAGTGCCCGATGTCAATCACAGTCAGCCGTGGGGCAGCAACATGACCGGATTACACGCTTCAGTGCATCAGCGAGTGAATCTTTTTCTGATTTCTTAGTGTCTTCTTCAGTCTCTCTCTCGCTCTCTCTCTCCGATTCGTTGGCAATGGGTGCGAGAATCAATCAAGCGCAAAACTTTCATAATTAACTTTAAGTTGACACTGCGCCAGCCTCAGGACTCAGTCCTGGGCTGATTGATGAAGCAAATGGGCAGCCAAATGGCATGGCAACCATAAAGCAGGCAATCACAGCTAGAGATGGACGCGGGATTGAGCACGAGTCAAATTTTTGGATATCTTTTATGTAACGACCAAGAGAGGAGAGTATGAAATTAAGAAAAACTCAACTGAATTCAGCAAAGAAACTTCAACAATTAATAAAATGTGAGGAGTAGAAGAAAGTGGAAATTGTAGAAAAATGTTTAACACTCTAGAGATATGAGGTAGATCTTTATGATTAGAATCCGCAGACAGTAAAAAATTACTTAAGTAGATTAAGTATTGTTTATCATTTAAATTCTAAGAAATTGGGTAGTCCAAGCGATTTGAAAGTGGACAGGATTCGAACCTCTTAGCCGAAAGCCAAGCTATCAAACATTATTTTCAAATGAAGTTTATAACCCTAAAATTAAAT